CTGCGTCTGCTGATCATTCTCGTCGTTGTCCAGACGTCTCTGTTTACTGGGAGGGATCTGCGAAGAGAATTTTTACTGTTAACGTACAAAGCTATAAATTAATAAGTTACAACGTACTCTACTGTTGGGAGATTCGTTTCCCTCGCTGCTGGTGCGCTTCAAGTGGCTCTCGTTGTTGTTGTCCTGGGTCTCCATACGCTGTTCCTCTCCGAGATCCATAGCGAGCTTATGAATTGTTTGGAGATGTTTGTTAAGCATCGAGGGAGGATCCTCGTCCATGTAGTTTACCCTCGGGCTGCCATCAGGCGTGTCCAAGATTTCAATGGACTCGATTATAGATTGGGCGGAATTCGTGGGTGGCAACGGACCTACGGCTGCTTCGGCTTCTGCAGCAATTACAGACCCTCCACCGCTAACGCTACCATTGGCCATCAGGCGCTCTGTAAGCTGGGGATACTTGCTAGATTTGCTTTTAGGCGTGGTCGTGGTGAAGCTTTTAGCCGGCGCCGTTAGCTGGCTGAGCAATATGTTCGAATTGGGCGATGCAGCAGCCCTAACGCGACAGTCAGCTTCCTCGCTCACATAACAGCCGTTCGCAGTTTGAATCCGCAGGCAATCGAGAAGCAACCCCTTCGGCGATATGCGTCCAGTGAAGTTGTTAGGCACATGCGTTGGCGAAGAGCCCGGCGACGGTGACGAGGTCAGGTCCACCATGTCCACAACGTTGTGCTGGGACTGGGCAGGCTTGCTGGCCTTACTGGCCTTGCTCCCACCGCTGACTATGCCGTTGCTAGCGGGCATGGGCGGTAGATTGTGAAAAATCTTGGGATCGTGCTCTTTGGAGAGCGAATCGTCGATCACCATGTCGTCCGAATTACGGCGAACTTCATCAGAAGCTGCAGCTGCTATATCTGCGTCCGGGTCAGAGAAGCCGCAGAACTCCTGACTACTGCTGTTTGACTCGCCGCCATTCGTCATGGTAGCCGGCGTGGGATTGGGCGTTGGTTTTGGAATAGCCAGCTTGGAGGCCGCCGTTGGTGGCTTCTCCTCGAGCACCGCACGAACCTTGTGCTTCGGTGAGCATAAGTTCTTGATAGTCAGCTTGGGCAGCGGCTGCAACTGCTGCTCCAGCTTGGCTGTCGGTTCGTCTTCGAGCACCTCTATGGATTTCGTTTTGATGGTGAGTTTGGGGATGCTCTGAGCGTTATTTAGGTCGTGCGTCATTATGACCGTGTGCACATGCTCCTGACCGCCGCCACCTGTCTTGATTGTTAACTTTGGTATCTGCTGCTGCTGTTGATGCGGAAGTTCCTCACTGCTGCTGATGCAGCTACTCCCGGCTAGCGTTGTCTTGATCATCAGCTTGGGCACCGTCTGCATCTCCGCCAGAGAGGACGACGATGACGATGAGGAGGATGACGAGGCAGATGAAGACGAGGCGGATGCGGGCGAGAGGCTGGACAGGTGGGCATCATTCTTGGCGGGCATAGCTGACTGGGCGCCACTCACAGCTGATGAGCACGATCCAGAGTTGGAGCCGGAAGCAGCTGGGTTCTCAGGCAACTTTATCGTCAGCTTAGGCACCACGCTGCCCACGCGCCTCTCGTTTGCGGCGCGGATAGTCAGCTTTGGCACAATGTGCGGTGTGTTCCGTAGTTGTTGGCCGAGGGTGGTAGCCACCTCGTCCTCGGCGCACGACGAGGAGCAGGAAGAGGCGTCCGCGTCGAAGGCATCTTGTGGCTTCGCCACCAAGCCTCCTTCCGCTCCGCCGCAGGGCAGCTGGATGCGCAGGGGCTCCACGCGCCTTTCATCACCGCCTGGCTGAGATTCATTTGCGTTTGAGTTGGGGTTGGTGTGCTTGGAGAGCTTCAGAATGATCTTGTGTCCATCCCGCTCCTCGCTCTCTACCTCGAGCGCCGTAGCAGCCATCGCTCCACCTGCTGCTCCCGCTGCTGATGGTGCTTCTCCGGATGCTGAGCTGGCCGATGCAGATGCTCCAGTTGTGCTTGGGGCATCGTCGCACGGCGTCGTCGGCGGTGGCAGCGTCGGCGGAGGCGACGCTGTGGTGCTGGTTATATGGCCGGGCTGATTGTGCTGGTGCTGCAGTGCCTCCTCCCGCTGCTGCTGTGGCTCTGGCTCCTGTTCCCGCTCTCGATCCACATTCAGCTGCTGATCCCGCTGTGCTGGCGACGACGTGGAGCTAACACGCTGCTCCTCCTCACTCGAACTGCTCGCTGCCACTGACTTGGCGTTGCTATTAGCGCTACAGTTCGACTGGGCTGATCCTGCTGTTGATGTGGCGGCTGCCGATTCTACCGCTGTTCCCGATTCCGATCCTGATGACGATGTCGCTGCTACCATCTGCTGCTGACGTAAATCATTCATTGCTATATTCGATTGTCCAGTGGCCGCCAGCCTGCAAAAAGAAGTGGACGGTCCTTTAGATAAAGGTAGATGATAGCAGAAGAATGCTCAGTCGATATGATTCGGGATTATGGGCTTTCGACACCTACTTCTAAGCAAAATACAAATTAAGACCAAACAAATTCAATACAAATCTCCTTCCGTCACCTTGCATGTGAAATCAAATATATATCGACAATTGAAGTGATTATTTTTTTGGCAGATCATCTCTGAAAAAGGTGAGACTACAAAACTGGATGCACGCAGATGACTTATGACATCGAATCCTAGTGAAATCCGCCATATAGCGTCTAATGCGTACAATTGCCGCCCCAAGGGCCGGATTTTGTTTACACTAAGAAGACAATTTGAAAAGGGGAACGACCTACAGACACACACACACAAACACAATAGCTTAAACACACATTCATACTCATATACAAATGTACATACTCACTCATTGGAGCCCAATGAAAGAAGAAAATTGAATGAAAGCCGGACAGAGTTAGGATCTAATTTTAGCACATTTCCAAATTATTACACCGTATTTGTAAATACCGAGGGAAGCGTAGATTACGGCAGTCAGCAGCCGGATTCCAGCGAAAATACAATCCTATTTTTCGGCGCTGGAAAACAGCGCTCGAAATTGCCGCGAAAAACTTCGAGCGGAATAAACACAACAAGAACAACAGCGAGGAAACAACAACAGCAACACTTAATAAATAATAAGCGCTGCAAACATGCGCACACAGCTGTCGACTGGGGGAGAACGAGAAAAGGCAGAAGGAAGATGAGGATGAAACGGAATGGGTATGGCGGTGAGCGCAGAGGAGCGCAGCGAAGCAGCGGAATAGGCAAATACTAAGAAAGCCGCGCCGCCACGAATTATAGACTGTTACTGGTGTATGCTGGCAACACTGACACCAATTCACCATGCTGGCTGGCGAATCCACCACAGCAGTCGATGCCGCTGCATGGAGAAAATCCACACTCTCTCACACACACGCACGGGCAAACACACACATAGGCAAGAGCACGACACGCACACACACACAGGTACGGGTTGGTTGGCCTGGCCTGAGTATATGTATGCTTACACTTCCACTGGCCAAATGCAAGCATCTATCTATCTGCACTGCGATTATTATTATTGTGGGCACGATTTTAGAGCGCAATATCGACAGCCAGTGCACTGGCAACAAAATTAGCAACAACGACGCCGCCGCCAAAGCCCTGACCCAACACCACCACTAATACCAATACCAACAACAACAATAACGAACGGGCAGAGAAGAAGAGGAATGAGAAGCAGGCAGCACCAGCGACAGCAAACGGCAAACTCACCATGCGGCAAAGTCGTCGCTCAGAGTCAGACAAAAGAAGATGGTGGAGTGGAAGAGCGCCTGCTTTTGATTTGCGTGCACAAGTCGAGTTTTGGATTTGCTTTTGCGGTTGCTGTTGTGCTTGCCTTTGCTGGCATTGGCATGCTCATATTTCTATGCACTTTGACTGCTGCTGGGCGGCGCGGTGCGGTGTTACTTTTTAGGCGTTCGGCATTTTTGGGCGAGTAGTAAAACACATTTTTTCATACGATTCAATGCGATTTTGAAGCACAGGCAACACTCGACTCGGCCGCAGTAGGCACTACTCGCACGCACACAGTGGCAATGCACACGCACGCACACACACAACAGCAACAGAACGACACACACAGACACACACTCGCACGCACGCACACAGAGGCAGCGCCACCGACAGAGGCACAGAAACAGAGACAAGCGCAACGAGCGCTCTCGGTCGCCGTTGTCCCACTTTCCGTGTATTGGTTTCGATTCGTACACTTTTCCACGCACTTTTAACGATTCAAATTCGATGGTACAGAAGGCTGGGCGACACGAGAGTGCATTGGTAGCTAGCGCAAACCTCAAAAAAATATCCAACACGCTGGCCGCACGCACGACTCACACGCAGACTGGTTCTCGGCGCGCGTCGATCGTTCTTATGCATTCATTATTGAACGGAATGCTCTGTTTCGCCTGTCTGCTTATGTTTTTTTCTTTTCGATTCCGAGGTACTCGTCACGACAAATGAAAATCAGTGTGGCCGTCTCGCGTGTCAACTAGATACCCGGCTGGCGGGAAACGCACTAAAAAATACCACAAGCTCTAGGGGGAGGGTTAGCCGAGTCGCGAACCAGCACGGACACAAACCTGTATGTGTACTTGGCGGCCCCTAATGCGTCTCAACTTAAAAAATATTAAATAAAAATTACCGCAATCGAAACCACACAATAAGGTTATTAATCTTATCGATGCTAGTTATCGGCAGTGTATCCTTTTGAAAAAAATGTATTCACCAATAGCGCTCTCACTTTCAAATCTCCCTGCTTTATGGTGTAATTTTTCTCCAGAGTTATCAAGCCTATATTCGTCAAAACCTACCCTACGTTTTCATATGGCACCAACAAAGCATTTGTAAGCAGTTGGATTTGTCAAATTGTGTTAAATTTTATTCAGAATTTCTGTTGTTTTATGGCGCAAGTTTATCTGGATATTCAAATTTATATATATACATGATAGCGGGAAAACGAATAGTGCGCATTCCACCATTTTCCAGTGGAATTTTGCAGACGCGGCTCTGGCCACACTGTTCGGTACACAACATAATCCTGCTTGTCGCCCACTTGTTTTCGTTCATTTTAAACTTGAACTAATAAGGAAGGAATAGCCTGCCAACATTATCAATAACCGCAATCGACGCCAAATCGCTAGTTACGCCTCTTCCTTTTCGTAGACCCCGTTTTCGTTTCGTTGATTCCGCCCGAGTTGAGTTCACTGCAAGCGTACGGCGAAAGTTCAGAACCAGATCTTTGCAAGCTTCCGCGACAACACAAGCCTTGCGATGAGTGCGCAACCAAGTCCGCTCATGAATCCCCAGCAGCAGCAGCAGACCGAGCAGGAGAAGGTAGGCCGGAATCGGCGATGTCAAGTGCTAGTTTGCAGCTTTTAACTTTTCGCCCGGCCAGGTGTACCAGTGGATCAATGAGCTGGCCCATCCGGACACCCGGGAGACCGCTCTGCTAGAGTTGAGCAAGAAGCGCGAGACCGACCTGGCCCCCATGCTGTGGAACAGCTTTGGGACCGCATGCGCCCTGCTGCAGGAGATCGTTAACATATACCCCTCGATAACACCGCCCACTTTGACGGCCCACCAGTCGAACCGCGTGTGCAACGCCCTGGCGCTGCTGCAGTGCGTAGCCTCACACCCGGAGACGCGCACGGCCTTTCTGCAGGCCCAGATACCCCTGTACTTGTACCCCTTTCTGTCGACAACATCCAAGACCAGGCCTTTCGAGTACCTGCGTCTGACCAGTCTAGGCGTGATTGGAGCTCTGGTAAAGGTAGGTGAAGCCCACGGCCAGGGATTACCTGGTGGCTAATGCACTTGTTTTCTTATTACTGTTTTCGGCAGACCGACGAACAAGAGGTGATCACCTTCTTGCTGACCACCGAGATCGTGCCCCTTTGCCTTAGCATCATGGACAGCGGATCGGAGCTGAGCAAGACTGTAGCCACTTTCATCATCCAGAAGATACTGTTGGATGAGTCCGGTCTGTCGTACATCTGCCAGACCTACGAACGCTTCTCGCACGTGGCCATCACCCTGGTGAGTGTCCGTTTCCCAAAGCCTTACACATTGACTAAGGGTCTCCATCGATTTCAGGGCAAAATGGTCATACAGCTGTCGAAGGATCCGTGCGCTCGGCTGCTGAAGCATGTGGTGCGCTGCTATCTGCGTCTCTCGGATAATACGCGGTAAGTACTAGCGGATGACTGAATTATCTCCTGAGTTTCTGTCTAACCTTGACTCTTTTAGCGCTCGCAAGGCCCTGGGACAGTGCTTGCCCGATCAGCTCCGTGACGGCACCTTCGCGCTGTGCCTGCAAGACGACAAGTCCACCAAGCAGTGGCTGCAGATGCTGCTCAAGAACCTGGAGCTCGGCGCCAATCCGCAGCAGATCGGCATGTCGCCACTAGGCTCCTAGAAAGTGGAAGTGCCACCCCCAACCACTTCCGCACAATTCCGAGTATTGCTAAGGCATTCAAGCGTCCTTGCAAGCGCTGATCGATGAGTGATCCCCACTGCTAGTTAACTGCCCGACCGAATATACATATTTCATAAGCTTGCACGAGATTGCCTGTGTCTAACTTAAGCAGAGTTGTAATATAACTACATATATCTACATATAAAATAATGTTAATACTAAGATTGTCACTGATAGCCAATAAAGAACCTCAAGCAGACGATACGATATGCTACGCGTGTTGGGTTTCTTCTTGAAGTCGCTACATACATATATACTGGACACATTCAGAAATCCCGAAATGATTGTATTTAACTTTTGGCTCTTTAGCTGAATCACACTTTCCAGTATTTACAGAGACTTCTGGGCTACTGACCGCATTTATTTGTGTATAGTTCATACTTAGGGGGTGTCCCCGAAGTGTGAGACATAAATAATTAGATTATAAGCTCTGTGTAATCATATTCAATCATTTCAATGAATGCGCGTGCTTTATATGTAATTCGAGGTGTAAACAGGTGAATTCGTGGAAAGTGCGCAGAAAGCGCATATGCTATCTCCATCCCGCTTCTGGCTACGCAGCTGGCATGCTGCTATCCTGCTTTAGGTCGCGTTGTGTGCACCAAGTGCACCAGCCCACCCAGGAATAGGCAGTGGAGCGGTTGCAGTAACGGCAAAACACACATTCAAATGCATATAATATGGACACTCATATACAGTTGGCGATAGTTTCAATTACAACAGGTTATAATATACATACATACACGCATGGAATAAACACTAATAGCCGCAGCCCAAATTGACGCCTCGACTCCTGGCACACCTCCGAAGTTGTACTGTTTGGATTTCGACAAATTATTTCGCAGGTAAAGTCCCGGCACACAGATAAAGATCCACCTAGCCCACTTGGCACGGTCAGTGCAACGAAATGGCAAGCGGATCACATAAAGAACAGACCAGACCACATGATGCAACAACTGGATGGGGATGGTGGGATCGGGATAGATGCGGACTTGGCGATGCGCATTTGGGACCCTCACGAGTACTCCTGGCACCGTAGAACCGCATGATTGCCATCGCAGCACAGTCCAATACAAGAAACACACGGGTCCATTGATCCGAAAAATCAGTTTCAAAATCAGTTTCCATGGCGATGGCAATCCTGCAGCTGGGCAATCTTCTCACTCGAGGATTACCAGTTCTACTTACTCGTGCCGGTGGCGGTACCAAATGCGAGCATATACCGCCTTAATTGGGCGACTTGGTCGGCCCGGCAACTGCCGACGCCCGACGTGCCACCTCCGGTACTTCGGTATCCGCACCAGCATCCTGATTCTGATTCGGCTGATCGCCGTCGCCCTGCAACTGGGTATTCAGCTGCGGCAAGGCCAACATCTGGTCCATCAGATCAAAGCCGCTTTTCCAGATCAACAGCTGGGCGCGAAGCTTCAACTTGCTGCGGTTGCGGAGCAGGTGCTTCTCCATGGCGAACCCCTTGCGGGCGCAGGCAAAGTCGCAAGCCCGCTGTCGCAGCACGGGGCAGATGTCGTTGTTGCCGTCGCCCACGTAAAAGACGTGATCGTAGCGAATGCTGCGCCGCAGGTCCTGCTCGATGACAAAGTGCTCCAGCACGCGGCCCTTGCACAGATTGCTGGCGCTCAGCTTGCAGTCCGATTGCTGGTGGTGAGCGCGGACCATCAGCCGCCCGGAGGCATCGAATTCCGCCGGATTGGTGAAGACGGCCACAAAGCAATCGGCCAGGTTGTGTGCCCGCAGCCACTCGTCGATGAAGACGCTGTTTGAGTCGCTGATGATAATCAGGTCGTAGTGCAGCCGTTTGGCCAGGTGCTTGATCAGACGCACGAATCCGGGTACTTCAGGAATGCCACGGATGGTGTCCCTGATACGCGCCTCCGACACCTGTTGCTCGTGCAGCAGGCGGAACACCTCGGCCATGTACTCCGTCCAGCAGTCATTCTCCATGAGCTCGTTGGCTCGGGCGCTGGTCACCTCCGAGGGCAGCAGGTCGCGCACCACGGTGTCCGTGTTCTGCGACACGATCGTGTGGTCGAAGTCGAAGGCCGCCAAACGACGGCGCTGCTGCTGCTTCAGCTTGCAGCTGGCCACGGCCGCGGCCACTGCGGCGGAGGACTGCTGGGGGTTCGAGGACATCGTTTGTTCCGTTACCACTCCGCTCCGCTCCACTGCTGCTCCGGCTATGGATGCGCTCAGAGCGCGTTTAGAGAGAGTTCGAGTTCGGTGCGATTTCGGTGCGAGGACCAGTGTGTCCGCGCCGCCAGCGATGCAAAATGACAGTTCGCCTGGACGCAAATACCATTGTGGGTCCGTTTGGCTGTGCGAAATACCGATTATATACCACGAAATTCCAAAAATACAAGTCCTGTCTTGTTTTTTCCAAACATCGAATTCTAATTGGAATTTGCTTTTCCATGTTATAAACATACAATGAGCATAAGAATTACATTTCATCATACCCTTTTTTAAAACTTGTAATTATAGGCATATATGAATATGAATATTTTTACTAACGCATTCTGTCACCTCGGTTAAGTCTTTAGTTTCTTAACTACTTTATTTTAAATGTAGCCACTTAATTTATGTAAATATTGTTATTTTAAGCATTGTGAACAGTTACATTTTAGCTACAAGCACCTTTAAAATAGCTGTAATACTTGGAGCGTCCCGTCGCTCTAAAGCTGCAAAATAGCTAAAGTCGCAGCACTGCCACTGACAGCTCGGCCGCAATGCAGCCCTGGCGTTTGACAGGCCGACGTGGAGCTGTCATCGGCAATCGTACACGAATAACGGGGTCGACGCGGCACTAGACGATTGCAGCTCATTTCTGTACAACTTTTGGAGTAAAACGGAGGTGTGTGTGCTTGTTTTTCAGCTGTGTTCGTACGATTTGTCAATTAAAATAGCAAGTGAATGGGCGGAGAGTCGCTTCCAAACTTCCGCTGGTCGTTTTTTGACCTGTTCGCCCTTCCTTGCTTCTAGAACTTGCATTTTCTCGCTTTCCCCACAAAATATCGCCGATTTGGGGAATCTGAGCCATAAGTGGCATATATCAATGGTGATCTCCTGCTTTTGACCCCTGCTGAAGATCTGATAGCTGGATAACTAGTTGGGCGAACCCAAGAGTTCGGTGAAATGGGCCACCAGATTTCACCTGTGACGTCGCCTACCATTTGCCACGTCACAGCTGACGTTGCCGTGAAAGCGGTGTATACCTGATGGATTACTGATTACCACTTTCCGCGCTTTCCTTGCAGAATCCGAAACATCAGACACGACATGGACAAAGTTGTTAAGTTCGCCGAGCCTGGACGCGTCTTCGCCAAGGACTCGATCCGCCTGGTCAAGCGATGCACCAAACCCGACCGCAAGGAGTTCCAGAAGATCGCCATCGCCACTGCCGTGGGCTTCTGCATCATGGGCTTCATCGGCTTCTTCGTCAAGCTGATACACATCCCCATCAACAACATCATCGTGGGCTCCTAAATGCGGCCAGTGGCAGAGAAACCAGCAATCATCCATTATAGAATAAATCAGATCAACTTTTTTTTCGTTTAGTTAACATGCATTATATGTATAGACTAGTGAAACTATGTGCATTCAGCGAATGTCTTAACAAAAATTTCAAATGTACACATATGTGAAAACGTATTGTAAACTTTTAAAATTCCATTCACAACTACCTGTCGAACTGCATGAACAAGTTAGTTAATAAGAATAAAATGTAAAAAGGTAATGACCCCCTTCGAGGCATTTGTTTAGGATGCGGCCCCACTAATAAATATTAACCTGATTTTCCCTGTACAAATGAGATTCTTTTGACTCTTGGAGAAGACGGGTTTTAACGATATTAAGTGGTGAACGACACTGGTAAACAGTCATCATTAAAATCAAGAATAGTTTGTCAAAAATCTAAATTTCGTATAAAGCTCGTTTGCCTATATTTCGTAAATATTTTATACTTGCAGTTAACTTTTAAGTTTAAACCTATATATTACATATTACAGAATAATCAAGAGTAAGTTAGTACGCGTAACTAGTAAATCGCCGAATCAGGCATTTTTCGATCTTTAGGGAGTTCCCTCGAGTCTACGAGCCTGTCGGCCGATTATCGCATAGGTTGCTCCAGTCGGGGACGTGCTCGCTCTTCAGGTACGTCTCCTTAACCAGCGATCGTGTCTGGATGAGATCCGTTGCGCCGCACAAGGCGCCGCCCAGCCAGGCGGTGAAGTTCTGTTTGCCGACGGCATTAAAGAACTTGAACTGCAGCTCGCCATGAAAGCGTTCGGCGTAGAACGGATCCTCGGCGAGCAAATGCTGCAGCTCCTGGCGGAGGCGGGCCAGCAGACCCTGAACCATAGAGCCACCGCCCACCAGGAACACACTCTCGATCAAGGCGCGTCGCACGTCCATTGTGCAATCGAGAATGGAGCGCAGGATGAGGTGCGGCAGGCTGTCCCGCTCGTTGCTGGCCTCGAACATGATCTCGTAGACAGTCTCCCTCAGGAGGCCGGGCACCTGGATAACCGCATCGTTGTCACTGACAATATACTCCACGTCCGGCGCGGGAGTCGGTTGATCCTCGCCACCGTTGGCGCGGGCCTGTGCCCTTTCCATTGTGGTCACAAAGCAGGTTCGCACCTTGATGTCCTCCAGCACGCTCTCTGTTAGTAGACTTTCCTTAACGTCCCTCTCTACCAGCTGCCGCTTGATCTCCGCGTGAATGGCGCTGCCTCCGTAACTCTGATCCTTGAAGGCGGCCATGATCTGCACCCCGCTGAAAACGGGCATAACGCTGGTCTCACTGTATCCGACGTCCACCACCAGGGCAGTGGGCACTGCCAGCGTAGACAACGCGATGAGATGCACGGGAACGAACAGCACGGAGGAGACATCAAAGTGGACAAAGAGCACACGGGCCAAGGTCTCGCGTAGAACTGTGGGTCCAAACACGTTCTCCACCAGCACGAACTTGCGCTCCTTTGGGCTGACCAGCAGATGCCTAAAAGCAAATTATATAGCAATAGAAGCTAAAGTCACCGAGCCACCTACTTGAAGAAGATCGTCTGCAGGAAGTCCACTAGCTGGTCGTACAGCTCCTCCTGAGTGTCGTAGTCAAACAAACGCTTCCGGATCCCCGTCGTGGTCATCACCACCTCCGTGGGCATGATCTTGCGCGGATACGCCTCGGCCGCAAATCCCAGCCTGAAAAGGGTAGAGTGATGACTTCATCCCATTTTCGCCGGATCATTTATGCTTGCTTACTTGGTGTAGGCGGTGCCAATGTCCAGGACAATGGGCGGCTTCTCTTGCATCACGCTCTCGTAAATGGGCATTTTGGCTACTTGGTCCTCTGCTGACCGAACCGACTAGGTCGTGGATTATTCTTCGATTCTGTTAATTTTGGCCAAACCAAACCCAAACCATTGGCAAAAAACTATCGGTGGGCGCAAACCATCGATAAACGGGTAGTGAGCAAACACCCTGTTTCCACTGAATATGCATCAGTTTTATTGGCGCTCATTCAGTCTTCTGGTTGGCTATTAATACTTTATTGGTTTCAACAATTTAATATAAAATTTGGTTTGCAACATCCAAAAAAACCGAATTTTCCTCACCTCAAAAGTAGCATTGTATTATAGTATTCCAACGGGTATGAGCTGTGCGTTCAAGTAGCTTGGAAATATTCGGTGCCAGTAGATTATTCGGCATTTAAAGAAGTTATATATTCTGTACCTTTTATGTAAAATTAAGTAGCAGTAGTTGCTTGTTTGAAATTATATTTTTTGCATTAATGAAACATGTTGATTCCACTTTCAATTTGTAAATTTATTTCAAATTTATCAACTTATTTCGATTTTGTGTTTTTTCACGGTCTGCCGCATTGATTTCATTTATTTCTTAGTATCCCGGTGTTTTTGGGTTATTATTATAATGCATAATGCATTCGCGGTGCGGGATGTGTGTTCATATACAGTTTGATGTATTATATAATAATAACTTTTTGCCTATCAACTAAGCCTAAGCGTAATTTCAGAAATGTTCCTTCAAATGATAGATGTATACATATCTATAAATTACAGTATGCCTGCGCATAGGTAACTATACAAAACGGGGAAAGCACAATTCATTCATTCATTAACTATGTATAAAAAGGGCTTCTGGCGACTCTGCGAAGGACCTGGGTCGAGGACCAAAGGGCGAGGGCTAAGGGGCTTGGGTTACCGAGGATTGAGGATCAGGAATTGAGGGCTGCGGGCCGGAGTATTGGCAACTATCGATTCTATGTTCTTTGTGCAAACAAGTTTAACAAATTCCGAATAATAAATAACAAAGCAGTAACAAGTCACGAGTCACCATTTTCCTCCTGCGGGGGAAACGGTTCGGGTCGAAACGTTGGTGATGGCGATGGCCGCGGGAGACTAATTCAAGAAAATTGTTACATACGGTAGCGCGTTAAATTTAGTTTTTAAAATAAATAAATTAATAAGTTTAAGATCTGCTTGGAACTGGGACAAGGACTGGGTCATGGGCTTGGACACGGGCGAGGGCGTGCGATGCGGATTCTGCTATGGTGCGAACTCATCATCTAAGCTAGTTTACAATTACTTTCAGTTCAGTCGTCGCTAGTTTGGCAGCTGAGGTGGCCGTGGTCTCGACGTGCTCCTGACCCTGGTCCTCGACCAGGATCGAGGTGGGGTCGCTGATGGCGCCGCCCCCGCTGCGACGCCTCCTCCTGCTTCTCTGTTCCTGTTTGTTTGTGTTTCTCGATGTCTGCTTCCGCTGCGCTCCCTGTCACTTCTCCGGTCCAAAGAGCCTGGCCAGACTGGCGTTCTGATTGCTATCCATGATGTCCGCTGTGGTGCCCACGGCTCCCTTGGCCTTGTGCGACTGCATGGGCGGCAGGTTGGCGATCTGCACCTCGTGCCGGAACAACTGGTTCACGCTGCGCCCGACCAGCTGGGCGGTGAGCTTCTTGAAGATGTCCTTCTTGGCGCGATCCACTTTGTTGCCCTTGACGGGCGCCACGGCGATCTTCTCGTCGAACTTTTGAATGTCGGCCGCATTCACGCTGGGGATATGCTGGAGCACTTCGGTGAGAATGGAAAACTGCGGACGGAGCAGCTCGTAGAACTGCACGCTCAGCGTCACAAGACCCGATTGGTTTGCCTCGTGCTGGCCGTGCACCTGCATGCCCTGCAGGACGGCGGTAAAGGCCGTGACGGCCTTGTTCTCGTCCATCAGTTTCTCGGCGGCCAGGAATCGCATCACTGGCGCTGCAATGTTGACAGCCTTCATGCTGCACATGCCGTCGTTCCAGGCGATGGCCTTCAGCAAGGTCATGAGCACGTAATTTCCAATGAGTCCGTTGCGCAGCAGCTTGCCGCCCAAGTCGCTGACGATGTCCGAGAGCAGTGCTGATTGACTCGCCCGCGATTGCGGTGCGCTGTCCATCGAGTGCTCTTCGTTCTCCATGGCCACAGAGTTGCTGTTGGCATTGGCACCAGCTGCCACATGATCGGCCCCAATCTGGCCGCCCACCAGCGCGATCTTCAGCACGTCCAGGTACTCGCGCGTCAGCGTGCGGTTGAGCTGATCCTCCAGAACCTCCTGTGTGTCGTTTACCTCGCCGTTTAGCTGTCCGCTCTCGTACAGCGAGGCGATGTAGATCCAGCGGCGCGTGAGGCGTTCGCACATCAACGGCGCCAAGTGAGCAAAGAGCGGCACTAGAACGCTGTCATAGAAACTGGGTGGGCACGAGTAGACGAAGGGCTTGAAGAAAACTCTTATGATTGGGCGCAGGCGGTAATCGGGCACCAAATCCATGCGGCTGAACACATTCGTCACGATAGCGTCAGACAGTCCCATGAGCTGGTACAGATCGCGACCCAGCGATGGTCCTGCTGAGCCCATCAGATGGTAGCAACCCTCGGTGACCATCATCATGAATGTCTGCATCTTTTCGAAGGCCGTCGGCTCGCTGCGGATGGTGGTGTCCAAGGGGTCGGTGGGCAGAGCGCAAATGCCCATTAGAAGCTTCTTCTCGTTCTCCATCATCCCATGGATTCCGCGATATCCCTCGGAAAGTGCTTGCAGAGCCTCCGGAGCAAACAGCTCGTTGAGCACACGCATCAAGCTCAGCACGTGCGACAGCAGTGGTACAACGTGCTTGGTGGCCGGGTTTCGGCAGATCGGGTTTCCCAGCTCCGTGCAGCCAATGACAAATCCTCCGCGCTGGGCGCGCTCCGGGTCGTCTGGCCAGGTGCAGCGCTTAACCACACCGAGCACCACGTGCAGGGCGTCCAGAAGCCGTGAGCGGTTTTGGAGCGTCGGAGCTCCTTCCACGGCGAAAATGGGAGGCTTGTCCAGGCCAACGAAGCTCATGAAGTCCAGTGGTGATTTGAGGGCATCGCCAAAGGCCAACCACTCAGCCCGCTTGTCCTGCACGATGTGCTCGATGAACAGAGTCTGCCGCTCGAAGTCGCAGAAATGGTTCGAGATTAGGATGAGCGCCTCCTGCAACGTGGTGCGCATCAAACGGCACAGCTGATGCTGACCAGGCTCCTTGAGCAAGAGCTCTACGTGCCCGTTGATCTGCTCGAAAACGGGCAGCAGCAGCAGCGGGTACTTGTGAGCCAGCTTCACCAGCAGCGAGGCGGCGTGTCGTCGAAGATTCTTGGCAGACTTGACCTGCACCTTCTCCAGCGGGTTGGGGGGTTTCATCACCAGAGCTCGGAAGGTCTTGTCAAGCACTCGCGGTAACAGACTTACCCCGCTCATGGCTACGCAGTTGGTGGCCGTAATCTGACAGGCGGACATGCTCAGAAAGACAAACAGGGCTGAGATGCAGGACAGCAGAATCGAGTAGGTCAGCGGGTTGATTGTTTCCAGTTTGAGGCATTCTTCCAAGAGTCGCAGTCCTGCCGGCACAGAAGGTCGTTCTGCCACGAGGAGAATGCGGCTTAGCACGCCGTCCAGCACACTCACCAGTGCATCCCATTCAAGGTAAACCGGATCCAGCACGCTGCACGACACGTTACCGCTTTTGACCTCCGCATCCGCTTCGGCCTGCGCGTTTCGCAGGCGTTGCTGCAGCCACTGTTCGCAGTAGCCATACGTGACCAACGGCTGCACCAGCGTGGCCAGACGGAAAATTTCAAGGAAGTCGGTCCGGCAGCGGAAGAAGTAGAGTGCGAACTCCTCTTCGCTATCGTATTCTAATCGGATATAGGCCTCCGTGGAGAGGCTGGCAGGCGAGCTAGTGGAGGCAGGATATGGCAGCTTCACGATCCTGGGTGCAATCGTGTGGATGAGCTTGGGAATGTAGTTGACCATGGCGAAGTCTTTGGAGCAGGGCTCATGTTTGAGCAGCAACTGCCAGATGAGCGCCGAGCCATGGGAAACGGACAGCGATGGATGCTGGACGAGCAGCAGTAGGCATTCGAGAAGGACTTCCAGATGCACTGGTCGTTGCGTGGCGTCGTCCTTGCCCCAAAGCGCCACCAGTTGCTGGGCCATGCCGTTCAGCACCTGCAGCAGCTTCTTGAGGAAGTTGTGGTGCTGCTCGACGGTCAGCGTGGAACTTGTGTCGGCCGGTATCTGACTGGCCTGGTAGATGTATCGCAGCGGCTCCTCGTTGAACAGCTGAAGCAACGGCTTCCGCTCCTTGGTCTGGCCCTTGCGGTTCGTGATCTGCGCAAGGCACTCAGCCGCATTGCACTGGAATGCTTTGTCGTTGAGCAGGATGCAGAGGAAGTGCATCAGCTTGCCATTGCTGGACATTATGTGCTGGATGCTGACCCACTCGACGAAGCCGCTTAGGGTGAGCAGCACCATTTCGACGACCCGGCTGTGCGCGTTCGCCTTGGTGAAGTTGCACAGGCGCGTTGTCTCGCGGAACGCGTTTACATGCTGCTCCACCAGGCGCAGGAAGAACTCAAAGATGTCGTTCATGTTGTTGTTTAGCGCCTGGTACATGTCCTTGCGCCGCTGATTCGACTCTATTGTCTGCAGCAGAGCCACGTCCTCCACCAGTCGCAAGAAGACCAGGAGCACCAGCTCCGTTTGGGCCTCGCCCTTGGTGCAGGCCTGGCTCAGCTCCGGCAATAGGTCGGACCACTGTTGCGGCCACTCGCGCTTGATCATCTCGACGATGATGCGCGATAGCGCGTCCTTCGTGGGCAGCAGCGAGCGGTCTTCCGCTGGGCCCACTCCCACGTTCAGCATCTTGATGGCATTGTCCTTGATGTACACCTTCTCCTCGTGCGTGATGCAGTTCCACCGGAACTTGATTGTGTACTCGATCAGCTGCAAGCCGAAGTGTCGCACCTGCTGGTTGGACTGCGGGGAGCTGGCCAGAAACAGACCCACCTGGGCGCACATTGGCGACTCCTCCTTGAACCGCTCGCAGGCCATGTAGGCTTCCAGGCGCGCCTGCTGCTGTGTCATAGGGTGCATGATCAGGTCAACGGCCGAGGCCAGTTCGGCGGCCAGAGCCTCGGTGCCTCCGTGCTGGGCCATCGCCATCGCTAGCTAGCTGGTGCCTACCTGTGGACATTATATTTGATTGGAATAAAAACATAATCATGAATTGCCTGGGTGCGGCTCCTTCTAGCAACAGGCGCCATGTGCTCCACTTACCTCTACTTGCCCCTGCCCGCCACTCGAAACCCGAATCTTGCCTAGCCTCTCGATCTCCGCCGCGATCCCCTCGTGCCTCGTGTGTGACCAATGTTTTTGTGAAGCCAGCCAGCCAGCCAGCGAGCCAGACAACGTTTCAGAAGATTAGAAGAGCTGCCGCTACCTGTGTGCGTGTGTGTTGTGTGATGTGTTCCGTGTGCGAAATGCGGAATGCGTGAGCTGGGGTTCTGGTGTGTTGGTGCTCTGGTTGGGATTGCCTGTGGGCTCCGATGATCGCCCTGAGTACCGCCTATTGCCTGGAACACAGCCTCGGGTCAGGTCTCTCACATTTGAGTCGCATATAGAAATAGACCACTGCTGAAACGGCTTTTCCGGCTGGGTTGTTTTAGAACAATGTGCAGCAAATCGCACGGGACAGGGTTGACAGGCGGCGTACGGAAGTTGCCAGATCGTAGTTTTGCTATTACACTAGGACTTTAGATGCGTGCTGTGCGCATCGAATTCCGATTCAAGGTGGCTGATTTTGTATTGATTCTGACTGAAAATGCAAGGCTAACCGGTTAAATTTCTTACGAAATTCGCGCAATATTTTCGCAATTCTGCAGCGTTGCCAGTCTGTAAGGGTCGGAGTTGCCAGGCAGCATGTGCCGGGTTTCTGATCTTTTGTTCAAATGATTGGCTTGCATCTCAGTTACAAACTTGTTTAACCAAGTTTGTGGAAAAAAATTAAAGAAATATAAACTTAAAACTTAAAGACTTAAGTCTTTGCCATCTCTAGATTTGCGAATCTCATCCGGACGTTAGCCAACACTGGGCCACTCAGCGTGCATGCACGACAAACAAAACAACCGTTTTTTCTATGCCAAATCGAAGCGGCAACGCCAGGCCTTTTACATATCAACACACAGACGTACTGCCGATCAATCGGTGTAAGAGCGGTATTTATAATTTTATTTATATTTTTTAGCGGCCGGCACTGATGAACTAGAAATGGAGTGGTACGAAGTCGAGTTGGACGGTAGTCGCACGATAGCTTTTCCGGAGCGCTCAGTACCCGGATTTGGGCGGGAGGCGTCGAAATCGGACACCGGTAAATGTGGCCAAAATACGGCGTGCGATTTGCGCCGGCATCAACACCGAAAACCGATTCACCAAGAACGTTCGATATCCATTAACAGGCGAATACCTTGGAGGCATCATACGAAACGGGCAATGGGGCTGGGTGACTTGGCGGTATGGAAGCGACGCCACTCTGCTGATCTGTAGCATGACCACCGGCGATTACCTCTCCTGGCACCGCTTCTGGAGTGAATCCGACGATCTGGGGCAGCGACACAAACAGGGTCAGCGCAGCAGCATTCGCTGCGTGGAAGAGCTTTTTCCCGGCGAGCCCGAACGCACCGCTATGCTGGCCATCTGCCTGGAGTCGTGGGACAGCGGCGAGGAAAAACCAGTCAACTGCCCAATAGTGACGGAGGTGCTCATCTACTCGATTCCCGGAAGTCAGGTGCTGCGCCGCTTCGACCTTCACAGCTTTACCTGCAGCGCGTTGACTTTCCTCGATCAAAGAATCTGTGGAGGAACACGACTGACTCAGTTCGACGGATGTCTGGCCGTGTCCACCGAGGAGGGCATGGTTCTGATGGTCGATCTGAACAGTGAGAGGCTGCTGGAGAGGAGCCGAAGCCGCAGCCTTTGCTCCCCCAGTTCCGAGGATGAGCCGTCCTATGGGGATCTCTACATATTCCCCTCCGAGGAGATCGGGCTTAACATAGAGCCCACGTTGGCCCATTGTCGCTCCAAAGGGGCCCACATGGCCGTGCGGGTGGATGGTGAGTCTGTCGCTGCCAGGGTACCATGATAGCTGAGTTAACCTCCAATTTATCGACAGTGGCTTCCTGTGGAATCAGTTGCCTCATCGACATCAGCTTGGCGCCTGGCTTTGCCGCTGGTCTAGACGACGGTCGAATCCTGATCTACGACTTAATACACTTCCATGTGACCACTGCTCTGCGACCGGCTGGAGCAAAGGAAGCGATTCACGGGGCCGTAAAACGAATGTGCCTCATTATGCCGCCGGATGACCCCAAACCCTGTTTCTACATCTGTGCATTGTACCAATACGCCGACGGTCTGAGCATGCTGCTGCACTCGGTCAGCTATAGGCGCTCCTACGTGGAGCAGGTAGGCGACACGTTCCGTTTCGAGGTGAGAAATCTTGAGCCGTCAAGCACAGACCTTTATTGACTTTTGGCTTCGCAGCACTTCCACTCTAGCTCTTTGCGCAACCACCAAATCTTAGACAGGGGTATTTGCCCCGTAATGGGCTGCACCACGGCGTCTACTTTTAGTTTTGCCGGGGACAGCGGAACGCTGTTGATTGTCATCTCGTGGCACTCAAACGCAGATCGCAAGAACAAGCTAGTCTTGTTCGACATTAACCAGTGGTATAAGGATGAGATGCCTCCATGCGTGCGCCAGTACGAAGTTCCTCATTACGTCGCCGGCTACATCCTCAGTGGTCTACACACGGGACTGGCATTGCAGTTACGTTCCAACACCATTATGCACTTTGTCTCACTGCAGCGCTACGATGAGCACTTTTATCCCAACTCATTGACCTTTGGTAAGTGCTATCGGTGTTGGAGCAATTGCCAGTATGAATGATAGCCAAGTAATCCCCTTCTGCTCCAGATTGCTCGCTCTTAACCCCAACTGGCAGTCGGTACTACGCCCAGGACGGAGTGCAACATCGTTTTCTGAACGCCCTTCGCTGGGAGCGCGCCACGCTCTTCCTGCATCCTCAGATTTACCACGAGGATATCATTCGCCTGTGTCTCCTGCCACAATTCTGCGAGCTCAACCATAAGGCCACATTCTCTAAGGTCAGTCACACTTGTTTATTTATCAGGAAATCTTGCGTAGAAATTACCACGGTCTTTGGGGAATTAATCATGCTCATTTCATTCCATTCCATTCCATGCTCTTGCTCTCTAGACTGCTATGTATGAGGTCATACTGTCTGTAGCTCTGGAGCACAAGTGCGGAGCCTTGCTGAACGACTGCGCCAGGAGTTGGTTGGACGGCAGCTTCTTGTGCAACATGCTTGATAACACGAAACTCTCCCTGTCTACGCTGACCAACTGGATCGTGAAGCGTGCCGGACAGATCAAGACGCGCTGCTCGGAACTATGTCAGGGCATCTTTGACTACGGCGGCTATTCACTGGACGAGCGTGAACGGCGCGAGTTTCTGCTGCTCTCCGACCAGCTGCGTGAGTTGGTGCGCTTGCAGTCCTACATTGTCGAGCTGGGACGGCGGAGGCTAACCCCCTCGGTTTTAGATGATTGCCAGGCCACCGAGCGGGCGCTGCAGACGGTGCACGAGTACCAAAGAGTGCTGTACTGGTTTATAGACCACGGCCTTCTCCCGGAGGGTCATCACGAGGATCACCGGGAACCCCGGGAGCAGCCACTCGTTCGCCTGCGACACGAGTACTCTGAAAAACGGGCGCAACGAAAGAGCCTATACATCGATGCGCTGGGAAAGCTCGCCTCCCTTTCGGAACCCTATCCGCCGGACTCGCTGCATGCGCTTATGCACGTGATGTTCAGTCCCGACACAGAACTCTGCCACAAACATGCTCTCATCCTCTACCTGCTGATGGACCTGAACCAACAGCTGGCCGAGCGCTTTCAGATTGCCTTCCACCTGAATAAGGATCTAACTAAGCCATTGCGCTCCTTCTGGTACTTGGACCACGGCGACTACGAGGTGAGTCCGCATTCGTTAATTGAACCAAAAGTATTGTATTAGTTTTATGTATTTGATTACAGCAATGCGTAAATGAATTATACAAGGATGCCGCTCCCGCCAGTAACTTCGAAGCGTGGCAGGTGCGGCTGTTAATAGAGAAGCTGCTGGCTGACGGCGCCGTCAAGGCGGCCATGCAAGTGGCCATCCTACCACCCGGTCCATTGTCATCGGCGCTGCACATGAGCGTGCTCCTGGCCAACAAAAACATGCCGGAGGCATTCCAAATCGCCCGCCTATACGACGACGAGGATGGACAGCCGCTGTTGGAGCGCTTCTTCCGTCACTGCATTGATATTGGACGCTTCAAAGTCCTGGCCGAGCTGTATCTGCGAGAGTCGGAGGAGAGGCTGTTGTACAGTCTGCTGCGCCAGTGCCGATCGCGTCACACGGATTGCGTCCAATTGATTCTGATGCTTCAAAAGAGCAAGTTCATAGAGGCTGTGTCCTTCATGGATGAGGTGGCCGCCGAGCGGGAGCGAGATGAATCCTCCAGCACTATTATCTCTGCCTATCGCTCTACGATGGCACCAGTCGCACAGAACATCGCCGGTACCTATCTTCGCATTAGAGATACCTTGGACGGCTTGGAGGATGGTCAAAGGGGCGGTCTTTTGGAGCCCTTCAGCTGCCAGCTAGTCAAACAGAACGCCAGCGGCCAGTTGGGCGGCATCTTTCAGAGTTCCGCCGTCAGTGCCCACTGGGCAACGCACTGCGAGTCGCCTCCAAAGTTGCCCAAAGTTGTTTCGATCCAATCAAAAATAGGTTATACCAATGTTCCCTTCTTGCGGCACGCGCAGTACGGACTTTCGGAGCTTCCTCACCGTCGGCGCATAGTAAAGCCAGTCCCACACCAGGTGGTGGAGAAACGACAACGGGAGCAAGAGGAGCAGCGGACGGATCATCAAGAACAGAGGCAGCAATACCCAAAGCAGGTCTATAAGCGCCGTTGTCTTGTGGCTGAACGACTGGTGGAGGATGTAAAAGATTACGTGAGGTCAATTCTGGAACAAAATCCGGACAAATCGGACGTGGGAGAGACCAAACAAAACGAGGCTACCCATCTGTTGCAGGCGCCAACTTTCCTTCAGACGCGCCAGCCGATGACACGCCAGAACAGCAATTCGCCACAACCAATTCCCACGATCCTGAAGCGAAACGCAGCTGTGGAGCCCGTTGAAGGCACGTCGCCGATGGCTACGTCTACAGCTCTGGCGGGGGCAAAGCGATTTCGCTTCATGCCACCCATTCCTCTGCAAACGGATAAATCATTGGAGGTGGACAGCGAAGATGCAATTGAGGATGAGGAAGGGGAGGAGGAGGATGAAACTGACGAGATCATTGTGGAGATCGAGTCAAGAAGCGAGCCAAGGAGCGCCTCCAGCATCGAGTCCGACCAGGAGGATGAGTTCCTCTCGCCGTTAGTATCGGCCAATGTTTCTTTGGTGGAGCAGGTATCGTTGCGGGATTCTCCTCGTTCTTTCGCGCCACCACTAGGCCCACAGCCCCGAAACTCATTGCTTCATGGGAGGAACGAAATCGGAAGAAAAATTGGTACTGGGACAGGGAGTGAGAGTAGTAGTGGATTTGGCAGCTTTGCCACGGTGCAACCGGCTCAAACGACATCACATTCCCAGTTCGTGCCCACCATCTGCTCCTCCAAGATGGGCGAGACGCAGTCACAGGTCTTCTTCAGCAGCAGCTCTGGGGTTAAGATCTCCGAGCGCACTACCATCTGTGGTGAAATGGAATCAACCGATCTTGGTGCGGAGTTGGCGGCCGCACCCAGCGCACAGTGGTCTCTGCCTTTAGCAAGGCCTGCCATCCAGGGGCATCATCAGATGATGGACACCACGCTGGGAATGTCCACATACGATGTGGCGTCACTTGAGCAGCAAGACACTCAGGATCAGGAGCAAGAAGAGGAACTGAAGCTGGGTGACACACAATCGCTTGAGGAGCAACATAATCCACAAGATGAGTTGAAGCAGGAGCTAGAGCAAGATCAAAGTCAGGTGCAGGAACCTTTGGGGACCGACGGTCAGCTGGCGTTCCTGGGCAGCTCAGAACCAACGACACAGGAGCCCCCCTCGCCCACCTACAGCCTGAGTAGCGAAGACTCGGACATGTCCTCGGCCGGCATTCCGAATCCCATGCTTCCGACCCTGCACACCGAGGACCCCATGTACTCCATCGTTGTTGAGTCGACGGGCTCCATAACTACATCCAGATCGGTAACGCACACCCCCACCTCCTTCCTGCCCAGCGACACGAACGTTTCTCATACCCCTAGTCCGCGGGCACCGCATGGCGGGGATGGAGATGGCTCGCCGATCTCCCTGTACCGTGCCAATAGTCTGGAAACGGTTGATGACCTGGACACCACCAAGGGCTCGCTGGAGGAAGAGGAGGAATACGACGAGGATGATTGCGTCATAGCGCTTGATGGAACAGAAGTGCGCGGCTATGTTGCCCGACCTCAGCAATCGGCGGCTTCCAGCAGTGCGGAGCTGTTCGCCTTCAAGGACGAATGCCAGGAGGAGGCGGCGGGTGGCCCCAGTCCCTTCCTTTCGCTGGGTGCAACAGTCAACAGCGACTCGGAGGTGGCCGACACCATTGTCATAGACAGCGATGAGGAGTCGCCGAAGGAAAAAGATACTCAGCCGGAGCAGCAGAAAGAGTGTCCTATGGAAGAGGACGACCCGAGCAACGATTCGGTGGCCACAGTAGCCTTTAGCGAACATAAGCAGCCACTTGCAGATATCGATATCGAGATGAAGGTGGAGGAAGTGGAACCCTCGCCAGCAGGGCAAGGAAGCAGCCAGCAGGCTTGTGAACTGGAGAAAATTCCAGAGGAGGAGGTAGACGTAGAAGCCGAAGAACAAGTCCTTGTGGAAGTCGAACGGGAGGCGAATGAGCAGCCCAAAGAGGGGGACAAAACGGAGACCAAAGATTCTTCCGTTGCGGAAGCCCATCCCAAAGCAGAACCTCTATTGCCCGAAGAGGAAGATTCAAGGCAAAGCCTCAAGCTGATATTCTCCGGCGATGAGGATGAGGAGAAATTTGTGCCAACAGTGACGACTCGTTCCCTACGATCGCGTTGCAGTTCCACAGAGCAGCAGGAAAGTCCACGAACTCTGCGACCGCGCCGCGTCTCCCAGGAGCACCGCGATAGTCCAACTCCGGTGCGTGGTCCCAGGATGCGATTGCGCAGTACCGACGCCCTAACCTCATCGCCCGTATCCACTCCTCCGGTCTCGACGCCTAAGCGTCGTGGTTCGCAGCACAAACACCTGCTGGATGTGATCGTCGAGCAGAGTCCCTTGGACACTGCGCTACCGCGCACCCGCTCGCGCACGATCCTCAGTGTGGACTCGGAGACCGCGAGCCCCAGACCCGCCACGCCCACAAACGCCAAGGCCCGAGGCAAGAGGGCTTCCTCGCAGGCACCGGCTACGAAGAGTCCTCGTGTCCGGCAACAGCGAGGCAACAGCGAGCCGCCCGTTGCTTTGAGTGGGCCGCACACTCGGGTGCGCAAATCGACGACTGTAGGTGTCAGAACGCGCAAGACGAGCGCAGGCGACAGGCAGTCTGTATCTCCCGTGTCTTTGGCTCAGACAGATGCTCCCATAGTTGTACCCGAATCAACTGAACCAGAGGAGAGGCCCCGTCTCCGTCGCACCGCCAGACGACGCATCTCGGACCTAAGCGATCAGTCCGGGAATGCCACTACCACAGATGCTCCTGTCTTGGATTCCAGCAGTTCCACGACCAGCTCGAGCGCCAACTCCGCCACCAGCAGCACCCAGAACCGCGAGCTGCGTCCGCGCCAGCGTCGCACCTCCACGTCGAAGCATTAGTTTAATGCACCCGCATCACCAGAGTTGAAGGTCATGGAAAGCACTTAATTCTTAGTTTTGTACTTTGTTCACGTTTAATACCAATTTTAATTGGCATCACTTCGATATTTAAAAGTTAAAAAAAATGTAAGTTAGAATGCAAATTATTGTATCCACCTAGTAAAAACATATTGATTTCTAAAATTAAGATGTACTTCCCTATTATTATGTTGAGCTCCGATCAATTCTTTCGGATCCAAAGTTCCGAGAAGCGGAAATGGAGAAGCACCAAACTGGTTACTACATTTAATTACAATGGCAATGCAGTTCGGAATCGCTTTTGCTTACACAGATGTATTCGTTCGGAGGCATATGTACAGATATTTACAAGGGGCGTTCTAATAGCTAGGATGCGGCAAGATGCGTGCGGGCGGTGGGTATCGTCTGTCATAAGTCTGTGCGTTCCACTTCGCAGATCTGGCGGATCTAGACGAGCGTGGAGAGCTCGTGCAGCAGGACGGTGATGTTGCTCATGTCCAACGTTGGCGGAATCCCGGGGCTGACCGATCCGCTAGCCTCGCAACCAGCTGTTAGGCAGCTGCTATTCGCCAGTGTCCTGGGCGTGGGCGTCGGGGGTGTGGCAGTGGATGGACGCATCAGAAAGGATGAGTTAACGGCACCCACTGGTCCGCCTCCACCTCCGCAGCAGCCGCCACCGCCGCCTCCACCAAGGAGCAGTGGGTTGAAGCTGCCGTGAGAGTGGTTGGGCGAGACCGCCGTCACGGAGGGCGGCACCAGGTGACCCTGGTGCCCCTGATGAGCGGCCTGGTACGTGTGAAACGGACCTGGTGGCAGTTGCATTGGCACTGGCAGCGTCACCGGCACCTGGCCAGCCGAGATCACCGACAAGTTGTGGGATAGCGGAGCTCCACGGTAGCTGATGGTTTTCTCGCGCTGCCACACGAACACGTTGTGCACCATGGCGCCGCCGCAAAAGACTATGCCCACGCCAATCAGCAGGCTGGTCACGATCGCCGGCGTCGAGTGGAAGTGGCTAAAGGTGTACAGGATCAGGCCGGTCAGGAAGACCGGTATGGAGATGAAGAAGCCGCTGACGGCGCACGTTCGGCTGGCACTGGACTTGACCAGGTACTGGTTATCGCGACCCTCGAAGGCCGGCTCGCGCAGCTTAACGGCGAACAGGAACTGGATGGCGCAAACCAGTAGGCAGCACAGGTTCAGCGACAGGGATAGGGCGCCCAGGGCCAGGGTGACGTCGTAGACCACAATGAAGTCCTCACCGCCAGCGCCCCGACCCACGGCGTCCTCGCGTCCATTCGGCGATATTCTCAGGAGGAAGATCAGCGAGAGCAGCGCCAGGAGCAGAGAAACTGCAGAAAAAACAAGCGTTACTAGACGCATTCCCCTCTCCAACCTACCAACTTACTCAGGCAGAGCAGACCCAGGCTGGTAAGAGCCTCGCGGGGCGAAGGACCCGACTTGGGCAGCTTGTGGCGCACGGGATTCGCGCTCAGGTGACTGTAGTTTCTATTGTTGTGCGGCAACTGGCTGAGATTGTGTGTCTGAGTTTGCGCCTGCGCATGGTTTGTTTGCATTTGGTGCTGCTGCTGCTGATGGTGATGATGTTGCTGCTGTTGTTGCTGTTGTTGCTGCTGCTGGTGGCTGGCCAGGATGTGTTGGTTGGTGTAGGTGTGATGGTGGACACTTCCGTTGCCCAGAAAGTGCCCGTTGGGGGTCAACTGCGTGAGTGGGGTGAGCGGTTTCATCGGCGTACTGGGCGTGGCAATATTCAGCAGCGTGGAGTTGGCGTTACCCGCGCAACTACGTCCACCACCTGCAACTCCTGCTACTCCTCCGCCAATGCCACCTGTGGCCTCGTTGAGCAGCGTGCTTGAAATGGATGCATTCAGGGCGGATATATTGAGCGGCTGCGGCGGTCGCAGATGGATGTTGCGCGCGGTACTAGCCACGGCAGCTGCTGCTGGGGTCGGTGAGCCACCGTTGCCATTGGTGGTGGTGCCGACCGTGCCTGCTGTGGTCGCGGCGGTCGCGGTGGTTGCAATTCCAATTCCGATGCCTGCTTCCGCTTCCAACGCTGGGGGTGTGTTGTGGCCACTGCCGCTGCCTCCAGTGTGGTTGTTGCTGCTGCTGTTGCTGTTCGGGTTGCTGTTCGTGTTGCTGTTGCTGTTGGTGTTGGTGTTACTGTTGCAGCTATTGACCAGTAGCGTGGACAGCGGGTTGATCGCCACTGCAGCGCTGGTGGCGCTGGTCGCAGCGGTACTGCTCGTCGTCGAGGCGTGCTTCAGCATTTCCGGCGGCTTGGTCCTCCACTCCGATCACATGCTGAACTAGACGCCACGGATCAGTTGCTGATGCTACAGCAGGACTAGTCGACCTGCGAAGTGCATTGGTGGCATTAGTTGTATTCCAGTCACTTTAAAGAACATCTCGTTAATAATGTACATGTAATGTAAGATGTACATATGTATGTATGTACATACATACATATGTAATAAGCAAAAATTTATTGGCATGTCCAGCAAAGGATCGATGGCTAATGTTTCCACTTGGTTACATATGTTGTTATTTTGTTTTATGTATGTTAGTTATTATTAGTAGTTAGTATAAAGATTTAGAAAGTGGAAAGCCCAAGCCAAGGAGGATGAAAAATTCAAGGAAGCTTTCTGGCCAACAAAAGACGGGAAACTGCAAACTGCAACGGTATGCGTCTGCAGAAAAAAAAAAACTTTCAGTTCGCCAGTGGCTGCGCATGCGCAAAACTTTCCCATAATTTATATATATAATTCTATGTATATACATATGTGGATTATGTGGAAATTGTGCATCGCATGAATTGTGCAATTAGCGGATGGCGAAGAACTTTTCACCAGCGACTAATGGCGGGAATAAAAGCAAAAGCAAGCGAGGCTAAGAGAAAGAAAACTTGAGTCTGAAAGTACTTAATCTTATTTGCGTTTTTTAGCAATTTACATACAATTTGCATGCACATGGAAGAACTGTTAAATGAGATGTAAATGTGATAGAAAAAGAATCTTATTCCTAGGGAAACTGTTTCAGCATTGAAAGATACTCTCAAACAAGTGCGTTTTGCGATACTTTTTCTTATTACAGTTTCTAGCGCTTGAATAAACTTAATGATGATAGATCTTATTCAATCGGTTTGTTTATTTTAAGGAAGGGTGATTCTAACTTCATAAGAAAGTGCTACTTCCCCCCGACTACAACATTTAAAGGTATGTATTTATGTATGGTAAAGTAACGATATCGAGCTTCATTGTATGTACAATTGTATGTATCTTTATTTATTTATTTATTCCTTAAAGATATATGTTCTATTTTGTGTTTCAAGGTACGCGATCTGAAAGTTAGGTTCCCATGGTTCATGGTTGATTCTTCGGAAATCTGGTTATTACTAGGAAAAGCTTTTTGAGCTGAGCAAACAGTTTTCCACAGCCCCGAGAAAATGCACTTAAAGGTGTCATCACACCGGGGACGACTTCTTTAAGGTATTTAAAACTATTTTTAAATGAATGAAACTGATTAAAAGACCCGTTTTGGCCCAAGGAGTGTAACAGTGACTGTAATTAAATACCTAGGTTATCTCATTAAGAACCAACAATGAATTTTGCCTTGCACTTAATGAAATATTTCTTGACTTGTGTGTGCGGTTTAAAAATATTGAAAACGCCTGGTTTAAGAAAACGAAACTAAAAAAAGAACCGAAGACAAATTGCAATTGGCAGGTTGTAAAACGGGTTTACCTCCGAGTTCTTCTTTTTTGGTACTACAGTTTCCGTTCTTGACCTGTGACCTTTACATGATCGTCTTCCAGCGAAGAAAGCGCCAGATTCCACTCTTTAATTGGCGGATCGATGGAGCGCGATCGCAAATGCCGCGGGAGCTGCTTCCTCAGCCGCCTGCTCCCCTTCCTCATCCGCACCGGACGCGATGTCCAATACCCAAGCACCACCAGCAGGCAAACCGATTTGGCGGCAAGTGGACAACGACGACGACTTCGACGACGCGGTGACCGATCGAGTGACAAAGTACGACTAATATCGGATCTCAGGAACTTCGGTTATGCCGGCAGCATTCGCCCAACCAGTTAGGTCCTCTCCCTCTCTCTCTGTGTCTCTGTCTCTCCCTCTCACCTCACCCACTCATGCACACGCTGCTCACACGGACAGGTGAGCAGTGGAACGAGCCAATTCCAATATCAATTCCAGCTCGAAACGCCGCTTCGCACAGTGGAGCCAATTATGGGGTCGAAATGGGGATTTTTTTTAAAGTGTAAAATATTTAAATGAATGGATCTTTCTTCTACTCTCGTAAACGTATATGAAGTATGTTGTCTCCCTTTGTTAAGATATAATATAAATTTAAATATAATTTCTTTGTTTTAAAAGGTTTTTTTTGCCCAAAGACACCCAGAATTAATACAAAATGAATAAGCAAGAGTTAGTGTAGCTTCAAGGCGAAAATTTTTATACCAAATCGGATTTTTATACCAAAAAAATGTGCTTATATGAAAAGTGTCTATACTTCAAAACAATTCCTAAGAAATTTTCAATCTCTCTAATCTGCCAACTATTTGGAAAGGAAAGAAACGGTTGTTTTGTTGATAATGTCGCCAGTTTAAACGCACTGCGACCCACTGTGCCGCAAACCTGCTCACACACGCGATGCGGCGGCTGCTGCTGCTGGTGGTTGTGGTGCCGCTGGTGGTGATGGTGCTTCTAGTGCTCCTGCCTCACTCCACACTCAGGTAAAGAATGGAGGCAACGGCTCCAACTTGTTCAGCCGCATTCCACGAGCTCCAAACTGAAAGGTTGTTGTCGGTTACTGCTGCGGTTGCCTATGCGCTTGACACAGCCAAATTCTCCATTGGCTGTGGCAGGCCAATTTCAATTTAAATTCTCGTTTTAGTTGCAAAATTCACTTATAGTTAGTTTAACTAAATTTTGGTGTTTTTCGTATCCAAATTCACTTCAGTTGAATTCAAAAATAAGAATTGACCGCCAACGCTGCCAGACTGCGTCGAACTAATCGCCAGTGTTGAACAAGTGGCAAATTGGCAAGAATCGATACATCTATCTCAAAGGCTCGATAGTAACGAAAAGCTAGACTCCAGAAAGATGTTTTGAATTTCAAAAAGATGATTAGTTCCAACGCCTATTAAATTTAAATTATTTGATATAAAATTGATGTAAACAAGAGTGAGACTTTTTCTTATGCTTAGGCTTATATGAGATATTTAATTAGGTGCAAGTTGCAGGATTAGGAATATTATTTAAGACATGGCAGCTGTTTGTTTGAACTTTTTTAATGAAGTAAGAATAACATTTTAAGTATCAAGTTACAATCTTTATGTATTGTTGTGGCCATAAGATTGTCAAAAGTCTGGGAGCATTAATTTCTATTTGTTGTTTATATTGTAAGAAATATTTTGCAATCAAAGTGTCCATTTAAGCCCTGCTACATTTGTTATTTTTTGTAATTTTTTTTTTAATAATACGTCAAAATGGTATTAGAAAAAATATCGATTCATCGATATTTGCATTCGTAGCCTTGTCATCCCATCTCCAGATTGGTGAACATATTTTTCGCCTACTTCGATTGCAACGCACTGCCAAAGATAAAGAGACATGACTGATCCCAGCAAGATCGCCGTCGCCGTGGTCTGCTCCTCGAACATGAACCGCTCGATGGAGGCGCACAACTTCCTGGCCAAGAAGGGCTTCAACGTGCGCTCCTACGGCACCGGCGAGCGCGTCAAGCTGCCGGGCATGGCGTTCGACAAGCCGAATGTTTACGAGTTCGGCACCAGCTACGAGGACATCTACCGCGACCTGGAGGCCAAGGACAAGGAGTTGTGAGTTGTCCGGCACGCCGGCACGGCCGCCTACCGCTGGCTTATTCCTGCTCTTTCGCACACAGCTACACACAGAACGGCCTGCTGCACATGCTCGACCGCAATAGGCGCATCAAGAAGTGCCCGGAACGCTTCCAGGAGACGAAAGAGCAGTTTGACATCATCGTTACCGTGGAGGAGCGCGTCTACGACCTGGTGGTGCTGCACATGGAGTCTATGGAGTCCGTGGACAACCGACCCGTGCACGTTCTCAACGTAGATGTGGTGGACAACGCAGAGGATGCGCTTATGGGTGCCTTTCTCATCACAGACATGATCAACTTGGTACGATCATCTGCCGACAACTCCCTTCATTCGCCCAACGATTCTTGTGCCTTTGCAGATGGCCAAGTCCACAGACCTGGACAATGACATCGATGAAATGATCCAGGAGTTCGAGGAGCGCCGCAACCGGGTAATCCTGCACTCAGTGCTCTTCTACTGACGACCGACGTCTGCCAGCAGCTCGTGTCCATCTCCAGCACCAACACCAGCATCAGAATCCCGTAGCCTCCCTGCGCTCCAGCCGAGTCAGTTGATCTCGTCCCCTAGGTGCTGGGATCGCAGAGCAGACGTTGGGCAATGGACGCAGGGCGCGCGGATCCCGGGTCCCGGATTGGGAGCCTAGCATATAAGACTATTGTAAATAGAGAGGGGCCATCGCTGCAGCGAAAGCACATCCAACAACCAGCACACATACACACACCACCCTCACACAAAATGCATGCGTGCACATCCACACTGGTATCCACATCCAAACACCTGATTCGTAATCCACGCCACACCTGCAAGCAACCTGGTTCATGTATTTGTAATTAACACACAATCAACACACAACACGGCGGCCCCAAATCCCTTCGTATATTGTAGTAGTATCCGTACGTGTCCGTATTCCTTGTAGTTCCAGCCGTAGAGCCGCCTTAATGTTCTGCCCGTCGACTGGGGGTCTTATCACAGGCTCTCGCTTTCCCCAGCTGGCAACGGCGGCCGACCATTTGACTCCGACCCGTTCTCCCGCTCTCTTCGCCCGACTCCGAGTCGGAGTCCGATTCGGACTCGGATTCGATTCATATAAACTGAAAACTCGCATCGTGCTTGTGTGAATGAGCATGCACGCCAGAGAGCCGATCAGGGGCGGATCGGGCTGGGCCTTCGCGGGCAGGGGCCTCGTTTTTAATCTTGCATAGTTTTAACAATTGTTCAGACAGGGCTGATCCGACCGCCAGCCATTCCCTTAGCTCTGCTCGGCATCCGACCACCGGGCGGAGGCCCGGGTTGTGCATTCTAGGCTCGCAGTGGGCGCTAACTTACAATACTAAATAAATACCAAGGGAGTTAACTACTTGGATTGTGTTCACTAAGCATTGGAATAAAATCGCACGCCAATTGAGGTGGGTTTCTGTTGACGTTTGCTAATTTTCACTGACCAAATTTGTCGTGCATCTAGGTAGGATTAGAAATTGTATAGGGTGTTTAGTAATGGGCCTATTGAAAAATCATAATTCTGGCATAATTGCATCATCTAACACATCAACGATCCAAATTTTTGTATTTTATAATGTAAACATTCTGGTTTTGGCCCATCTTTTTTTTTCAGATTAAACCATTTTATTTCCATGTTGTACTATGATATTGTAAAGCATTATTATATTATTATTTTGTGTGTTTATCAATAAATTAAAATCATAAATCAGAGAATTTTATGCTGTTTCTACAAGCCTCTTCCATTGTGAGTGATGAATTAGTTTAGTTTAGTTTAAAAGGTCTGCATATGTACATATGCAAGTCCAGATCGATTTGGCCCCCGCGCGCATTGAATCCGCTCCTGGCTGCGATCAGCAGCGCAGTCGGGGTTACAAAGCGTCGGTTGCTTCAGCTGTTGTTGTTGCTGCTGGTGTTGGTGCTTGTGTTGTTGCCATTGGCAGTGCTTGCTGCTTGGGCAATTGTTTGCTGCGGCGGTTTGCGCTGTGCTTCAGTCAGTCAGGGAATGATCGTGCTTAGCTCCATTACTACCGCTTCCACCGCTTCCACCGAGGCTCCGCGACTCCACACTCGCTTTGTTTTACGATTGCGCTGCTAGTTAGTGAATAGTAAATCCGACGACCTGCGTACGATCCAAGTGCCGTAACTCTTTGTAATTACATTGTTAGAGCCGCAGAGTTTGCCGAAACTCAACGACTGGTGAAATCTGAAATCCGAAATCGAATTGGAAAACCGAATCGAAAGCCCTTAATAAAGTTGTCACACTTTTGCTTTTGGACAAGGAGATCCATTCACATACGGGTCAAGATGGCAACGCAAAAGGAAGGTTAGTATCGCAGCTTCGGGCGGGCAATTTGTATCGAATTGGATTCCGCACCAAAAACTGTTACCAATTCGATTTTCGGGCGCGTACTTGCCGCGATCACTGTCGCGCCAGGTGGACTGGCTTTCCAATCGGAATCCGATTGCGAGTGCCAGTGCGAGTGCGCCCTTCAAATGTGCTCTTCGCCTGGCACTGGGGGTCACCTACAAAAAGCAGAGGACGCGGACTCGGCCGACTGTCTTCTTATCACAGTAGAGGCCACACCGCACCGCTTCCACGCCGCTCTCTTCCACTCTCCAGCTGTCACTCTTACTCTCACCCTCCCACGCTTACTACTCCCCCAAGTACTCATCCACCCAACCGATGACGTGTGGCCGCTCTTGGCCATCGAACACGCTTGGATCCGAGCGGCCAGTTAAACAAACACTCGCTTCGTGCTCCAAGATTAGAACCCGGCAATACCAATAACCTTTACCGGCAGCGCGATCTCTCCACTCCCCAATCTCCGTTCTCCACTCTGTGGCAATGACATTGAAACGCATGCATGTGTACATTCTACGCACGGTTAATTAGCTGCCCACCTGCGTTTTACACCAGAAGCCTTTCCAAAAAGAAAAACAACGAGGGACAACAAGTGCAAGCCCGCTGGGCGATAATAATATTCAAACGCGTTACCTTGCTCCCCTCTGTCCTCTTTCTCCCACTCGCCATCTCCATTTGCCTTCTCTCCATTCTCCATTCTCCGTTCTCCATTCTCCTTGCCCCAATGCCTTCGCTTCGTCTGTGTCAATGTCAAATGCGATGCGGCCGAGTTTACAGTCGGGCTTCGATAAGTCAAACCATACTGGGTCAAGCAAATTATTAAATAATGCGGAGACATTGAGCAAGCAAGGCAAAACAAATGAAAAATTAAACCTACAGCAAGCTCAAAAGGAGGTTGAAGTCAAATAAGTTCGAGCTAGGCAAGTACCACTGTCGGCTTGTGACTCACGATTTCGGCATTCGAAGGAGCTTGTCAGCCTCTTAGTCACCATCCATCCACGAGTTCCATTCAACTGCTTGGCATTCTGATCTTCCGAAGCTTTGACCGCCGAAAAGTATGCATTCCCGGGACTCGCACAGATCCGCCTCGGAATTATGGTTAAATTCCAGCTCAACTCACATCTTCGGTGAGCCCAGGTACCCGCCGTTTAATCACGTGATTCACCAAGACCCATCCACTTCGTCTGACTTTTAAACGACTCACAATGATTCTCAAGAACGAACGTAGTGCCCATGATGTTTCCAGAAGCACATATTATCGAAATCTATTTCATGACACCTCGATAGTGCCTCCATTAGTGGCTCACAACCTCTTTTTAACCTTTTCCAAATAATGCCTAACTGTGACCTGGAAGATACATTACATACTCGTATGTGCATATTCAGAATGCTCTGTTCAGGCCACAAGATTTTTAAGAAAAACTTTTATAAAGTTTAGAAAAACGTTTACATAAAAATGATATAAAATATTATATTATATACCATATTTTTATATAGATACCAACTATCTGCTAGAGATACCCTAGAGGTTTACTTTATATCTAAGATCGCAGAGATTTCTCCGACTGGGGGAAGTGATGCCATCATGGCCATCATCTGATCATCCGACCGATCATATTCCCGCCACGCGATCGACTGAGACTGCCGGCCCATACTGACGTTTGGATACATGGGAATAGTGATGTATGTACGCCCAGAGCACTTGGCTTGCACTTGGCTTGCACTTTGTGCCCACGTTTGCATCGCCGTCGACGTCGCTGCCGGGTTCATCGCTTACACCTTGTTAAAGTCAACCGCAGGGCGGCGATTTATTCGTTTTGTGCAACCGCATCGGAAGATACGCGCGTGCACCTGCTCCAGCTGTTACAGCTGTTCCACCTGGCCAAGCTTCCGCACCTGCCCCATCTGCCCGATCTGCTCCACCTGGCCTTGCCTGGCTCACAGCTATCCGGCCACCCATCAGCGCCCACCGCAGAGGGTGACCTCTGGCGGATTCTTTGGCCAGTCATCGCAATCGGCATCGAGATCGGGATTGAATCGGAGTTGATTAGACAACGGATCCCGTTCTTATCGAGTGCTTATCGCTCTCCCTTTCCTTGACATTGAATAGACCGTTAAATAGTCTGCAATCGGCCACGGGTGGTCAGTTGCCTCCAGGCCCTCGGTGAGTCCTCACGCAGCTCATCCGGACCAACCACATCCGTAATCTATGAAAACTAAACGAATTCCAAGGGCACGGTTACTGAAAATCCCAGTATAAATGTATATATCTGATGGAAATTTTCTCTCACTCTACAGCTAAAAAGTAAAGAACTCCTATACCATTCCTCCATTATATTTTACCGGTAAAACAAAGCATTCAATTAAGGCATAAAGCTTTGGAGCTGTTCCCAAGCTACGTTTTTCTAGAATTCAAATCACTTTGATGAAGTTTTGACAGTTAAAAAAGGTAGTCAGTAGAAAAACAACAGAAATTTAGATTTCAGTGAAATTCAAAGGCAAGGCCTAAAATATTTTTTTTTCATTTGTGTCCGCAGATCACACCGCCCTGGATCTCATCATAAAGTCGCTCAAGTCGCCGACCATGGTCTGCGAGGGCACCCACTTCGACGGCAAGATCCCGCACACGTTCGTAATCTTTGGGGCGTCGGGCGATCTGGCCAAGAAGAAGATCTACCCAACGCTCTGGTGGCTCTACCGCGATGACCTGCTGCCCAAGCCGACCAAGTTCTGCGGCTATGCCCGCTCCAAGCTGACGGTCGACAGCCTCAAGGACCAGTGCCTGCCGTACATGAAGGTATGTCCGGGATTTGGCCGTGGGCGATCTCCATCGAATTAACCCATCTCATTGCATCACAGGTCCAGTTGCACGAGCAGAAGAAGTACGAGGAGTTCTGGGCCCTCAACGAGTACGTATCCGGCAGATACGACGGACGCACTGGCTTCGAGCTACTCAACCAGCAGCTGGAGCTGATGGAGAACAAGAACAAGGCCAACCGCATCTTCTACCTGGCCCTGCCGCCCAGCGTCTTTGAGGAGGTGACAGTCAACATCAAGCAGATCTGCATGTCGGTCTGGTGAGTATAAGATCATGCTCATGATCAAGATGCATTAAATTTGAAACCAGATATTTATGTACACCTATACCCCATTCCCTTACAGCGGCTGGAACCGCGTGATCATCGAGAAGCCCTTTGGACGGGATGACGCCTCCTCGCAGGCGCTGAGCGACCACCTAGCCGGTCTGTTCCACGAGGATCAGCTGTACCGCATCGATCACTACCTGGGCAAGGAGATGGTGCAGAACCTGATGACCATACGCTTCGCAAACAAGATCCTCAGTTCGACGTGGAACCGCGAGAACATCGCCTCCGTGCTGATCACGTTCAAGGAGCCCTTCGGCACGCAGGGACGTGGCGGCTACTTTGACGAGTTTGGCATCATCCGCGACGTGATGCAGAACCATCTGCTGCAGATCCTGTCGCTGGTGGCCATGGAGAAGCCGGTGAGCTGCCACCCGGATGACATCCGTGACGAGAAGGTCAAGGTGCTGAAGAGCATTGAGACCCTGACGCTGAAGGACATGGTGCTGGGCCAGTACCTGGCCAATCCGCAGGGCACCACCGATGATGCGCGCATGGGCTACGTGGAGGACCCCACTGTTAGCAACGATTCGAACACGCCCACTTACGCCCTCGGCGTGCTCAAGATCAACAACGAGCGCTGGCAGGGCGTGCCCTTTATCCTGCGCTGCGGCAAGGCGCTGAACGAGCGCAAGGCGGAGGTGCGCATCCAGTACCAGGACGTGCCCGGCGACATCTTCGAGGGCAGCACGAAGCGCAATGAGCTCGTCATCCGCGTTCAACCAGGCGAGGCCCTGTACTTCAAGATGATGACCAAGAGCCCCGGGATCACCTTTGACATCGAGGAGACGGAGCTGGACCTCACCTACGAGCACCGCTACAAGGACTCCTACCTGCCGGACGCCTACGAGCGGCTCATCCTCGACGTCTTCTGCGGCTCCCAGATGCACTTTGTCCGCTCGGACGAGCTGCGCGAGGCGTGGCGCATTTTCACGCCCATTCTGCATCAGATCGAGCGGGAGCGCGTCCGTCCAATCACCTACCAGTACGGTTCGCGCGGTCCCAAGGAAGCGGACCGCATGTGCGAGGAGAACAACTTCAAGTACTCCGGCTCCTACAAGTGGCACGGCGGCAAGGCGGCCACGTCCAATCGCTAAACGATCGGAGCACACCAAACCGGGCTGGGTTCGCAGGATACTCCTCACGTACATGTACATAAATATATGTATTCTTTGGTTATTTGTAATTCTCTTTGGTCTGTACAAGAATTTTTTTATTAAATATACGAAATAGTGTTTAGCTGGAGCAGAGTGAGCTTGTAACTCATAGGGCGCAGGTCTATATAGTGATGCTGGTCGCATGCATGGGTATGTACATAAATAAATCCTTCGCAGCATTGCAGATGGGTGGCAAACCCTACAGTTGTAATACTAACTAATTAATGAGGATGCTTCTGGTCAGCGGGCTTCAGTGCTGGGTGGGGTAGTTACTAATGGCTCCGCTTCTTTCGACTATTTACAGGCGAACTACAACAAGAGCGGGGAGAGATCCCCCAGATTTCAGCGCACGGGTGGCGGCTTGATGTACCCATCAACGCAGGGTGCGCTTATTGCACCCATGGTCACGTACTGATCGGTTTCGTACTGAAAGGCCTGGGGCATGGGTGGCTGTTTGGGCATCTCCTGCTCGTCTAGGAGGAGGTCCGGTCTTACCGTGGGCTCCTCTGCTGCAAATCTCACGCTTCTACTCACTGCGCCGTAGAACTTCTCCGGCGAAACGTTGGCCGGATAAAACAAGCTTTCACTGCCAAGTGAAATTTCCGTGGGTTCTTTATCAATATCCGGCAGTTCAACCCGAATGTCCGCCATTTTGCGCATCTTCTGGAAGGTCACGACGATTGCCCCAAGCACCAACAAAGCGACGATGCCCTGCACGTACCGCATGATGTGTGGCTTCTCGGGCACCTCGTTGTCACCCGACCACCACCGCATCCCTGCGGTCAGGCCGTCACTGTAGTTCGCCGCCACGGCCATCCGGATCACGCCCTGCATTCCGGAGAAATTGAACGTCGGCTCGCTGGCGAAGGTCGTTTCAATGGAGGAATTCTCGTCGCAGGCATCGTGCACTTTGCTGGAGAGCGTGCACCAATAGATTATGTAACCGGTGAAATTTCTAAGATCCTCTGGCCCTTGCCAGCTGAGTATAAAGGTCGTCTTGTTGTAGCTCTCTAAGTAAACCCGCCGATGCCGGATCGCACTCAGGCTGGGCACCTCTAGCTGGTTGCTCTCCAGCGATCGACCCACGACGTTGCTGCTCCACACAGATACCGTGGCCGGATGTGTGTCATTCCAGTCCGTGAAAACCGCGTACATCCTGTCCTTGGTGGTGGACACTTTGGTTCTGAAAATTGCGGGGATCGGTTTAATCTCATTTTACTCTTTACTGTTGACAATCAAATTGCCACTTTGCCAGAAACGCTTATTGTGCCTTACTAACAGTATTTATCATAATTTATTTATTAATAAATTCGCAGAACTTTGGGCATTTTGATAATCGAGTTATATAGTTATGGTTAAACTACACTATATAACTCGATTATAGTTATGGTTAAACTACACTATATAACTCGATTATAGTGTAGTTTAACCATAACTATATAACTCGATTATCAAAATGCCCAAAGTTCTGTGAATCGAACCATTCATTAAAAGGCTATGAGCATTATGTAACCGCAACGTTTGTTTTGCTGACTGCGAGGTAATGGGTATCTGATAGTCGAGTTACTTGGAGGCTCTCGTTGTATGTAAAAGCATAAGTAAATTAATGTTTATGTTTTAATGTCAAGTATTCCAAAATGATTCCCGATTTTAAAAGCTTATGTCTTTGGAAAATACAAATAAATATGCGAGCTCTTAAAGGGCTTACCCGTCCCTGGTGCTCGCCACGTATGTCTGCTCAGCTCCATTGAACTCCAGCTCGTTGAGCGGCTTCCAGTAGACCTTAAGCTCTCTTTTGGTGCGGTCGTGGGAGAAGCCATTGACCAGGAACTTCGGCGGCCGGAGGGGCAGGGATGCATTCGTGGTCAGTCCGAACTCTGGGTATGTTTCCGACCAGGGCGAACCCCGGAGACGTCGTCTTAAGCTTACGTAGAACAACTGGTTGCCCTCCGGTGGGTTTCCAAAGCAGACCTGGTCTAAAACACCGACATCACGCTCCAGCAGCACGGTGAAATTCCTCGACAAGCTGGGCAGCCTGGAGTGACGGAACGCCACGTTCAGTTCAATGGTTTGATTCGGGTAAATGATTGGTCCGTTCCACGTCAGGCATGTCTTGTTGGGCGTTTGTATCATTGTGTAGTTTTGCTTCGACCACTTCAGCAGCCTCATTTCGAGTTCTGTCCGCCTGAACTCCTGGGTTTGGTTGCCCAAATCATCCCTCATCATCAGCCGGAATACCCTCCACTCCGGTACAAGGCTGTTTGGATCGATGGGCACGGCACACTCCATTTTGCGCCTGTTGCGTTCGTCCTCCGACTTCCTGCAGTCGACTGGCCTGGCCATGCCCATCGCCAGCTGGTAGTGGGTTCTTTTCTCGAAGTTAGCGTTCTCTACTCGGCTGAAGGTGCACATCAAGTGATAGACGACGTTGCGGCACAGAAAATCCGTCACATTCAGCATGGCGTACACTCGGACGCACACATGGACCTGGCTCATGCCATCCAGAAGGCACTCATACCTTCGCTCCCATTCGTTGTCGGGATTCGCATCCCTGTGTATCACGGTGCCGTTGTACGAGTCCGTCGATTCTAGTGTGCGCTGCCTCCGTACAGTAATCTTCTGGCCTTGCACGCCTTCACACTTGCATGACACCACGCCTTCGGTGCCGGAACGCCAGCTGGATCCATTGAGAGACTGAATCTCGCAGTTAATCTCATTATTCGCCAGGACCCGGGCCATGAGCGTTGCCAGCAACGTCAGCGAAACAAGGTGGCTCATCCACGTCCTCGAGCCCATAGATGCTCCTTTATCTGTCAGTTTCTAATGCACGGCCACGATCCGTATCTAGGCGCTGGAAGTAAAAATTGGGAGAAGCCTGGTTACGGAACTATGTATTACAATCATCCACTCGAGAGCAAGGCAGCAATTGAGTTGAGTGCGAACCCCGCAGGGGCTTACGGCTCAACGCTTCTCCGGAATGCATGCTGATAAGCCCGCGAGACTTTACGATCTGTACTTCGTGTTGGAGCTCAATGTGGAGCCAGGCCTACCTCCTGCTTGCGGGATCCGACCGCTCGAAAGCGATCTGTGCGACTGAGCGTAATCGGGAGAACCAAACGGCAGCATATATGGATTCTCTAGCATGGGATACTCAGGCACATATATATAAGCAACTTATCGATAAAGGCGAAATAAAAAAGGCGATTTAAAACCTTATTCAAAATATCTTTATGTTGAAATACAGCGATGTGCGTATTGTGTAAATAGGGTATTAATAGTATAAGCTCGATCTGCTCGACGCGTGGATGGTTAAGTGGGTACGTGTATAGGTACGAATATATAAAAAAATACTATTGCGTTACAAATACTTTCTGCCTCACACGCATCGCAAAGAATACAAAATAAATTACAAACGAAAAATTATATTCGTCCAAGGAGTTTGCACTAATTACTATAAACAGCTGCCCGATAGTAGTTCTAGTTTCCAGTTTCCAGGTTCCAAGTTTCAGGATCCATGTTCTGGGTTCCGCGTCCTGGATTCTGGATTCTGGGGCGATCCGGTGACCAGATCATGGCGTTGGAAGGGTATGCGGCTGGAGATGAGTTGAATGAACGATGCGAACGCGAGGGGACGATAAAATGATGCACATCCGTGCATAAATTATGAGCGCTCCGGTATCTTAGAGAACGTGCCGATTGTGAGCCATGGCGTTCAGATCCTGGGGCGTCACATAGCCATTGATCTGCGGCTGCAGGCGAGAGTGCTGGTTGCCGGCCCCCGGCGTTCCACCAGCGGCGTGCGTAGGCGATCCCACAGTGGCGGCCAGAGGGGGCTTTATCAGCCCGGTGCGCTGCAACTGCTCCATGGTGGTGTAGCCGATGTCAGCCATTTTGAGAGTGGGAGCAGCTGGATTGGTGGCCCCAACCGGCGGTAGCTGGCGCTCCGGTGGCGAAGCTGCTGGCGAAGATCCCGTAAAGGCTGACCCTCCGGCTTGCGACAGCGGGGCTGCGACGAGCGGCTTCAGCTTGTGCAGATCTGAGGCCTGCACGTAGTTGTCCATGTTGAGCAGGTGGGCCGGTGGGAAGAAGGTGGACGCAGCAGCGGCTGCGGTGGCGGCGGAGGGTACTGGTGGCGACCCAAAGGGTTGAACTGGAGCTGGGTTGTGCCGAGCCTGTGGAATGGGAACGGGCACATATCCGTTGAGCGGAATCTGGGATAGCGGCTGGGCCATCAGAGTGGGCATTGCAGTCGAAGGAACTGGGAACGTGTGACCATTATCCGAGGGACCATTGCCGCCCCAGTTCTTCATCTGCGTGGGCTTAATGTAACCGTTGGTGCTCCTCTGCTCCCTATCCATGTCGCTGTCGCGCTGCTGCTGCTGCTGCTGCTCTCGCTCCCTTTCCAGCTCACGCTCTCTCTCCCGCTCCCTGTCATTCTGGACGAGAAGGCCGTGCCGCATGGCCAGATAGCTGGTGGGCGGACCAGCTGCGCTTATGGGCCCTGTCTCGTGGTTGTCATCGTATCCATCGCGATCCACGCAGCCGCCGCCGCCAGAGGAGGACGCTGTGCGCAGCAGCAACTTGGAGCTCTCACTGCCGCAGCTGCTAAAGTCGTGCGGCAGATCCTGGGGCGTGTATGGCGGCGAGTCGTCCACGCGGGTACAGACGATGCCTCCGCTGACGGACGAGTCTGGTCCAAGGCCCAGGCCCAAGCCACCCATGTCCATGGGCTTCTTCCAGGTCTCCATTATGCCCTGCGGCAGCACAAGATCGATATCGGACATCTTGCGGTACTTCTTGTACACCAGGTAAAAGATGACGCCCAGCACTAGGATCGCCACCGTCACCTCGATAGTTTGGTACATGGCCTTGACGCTGTGCGTGTCCGGTGTGCAGATGAACCCGTAGATTCCCCAGTCGGATCTGTAGAGCCGGTAGGCTGTCATGTTGGCAGCGTAGGCCTCGAACTGCAGCCGCTCGTCTTCGCCAAGTGCATCTGTGCTTGCCTCGCATCCCTGGCCGGTAGCCGACTTAAGCAGAACGGCACCTTCCGCTGTATCCGTTCCGTCGAACTGCGGATGCGGTTCCACGTTGATGGCACGCACCGCCAGCTGGAAGGGATTGTGGCTGGTGCAGCGCGGCGTGGCCATTACATAGGAGAGGTTTCTTCCCGGCAGGATTTTGCTTGTCAGGCAGCTGGCGTTGTTGTCCCGTAGCGAGATCTCGTAGAAATCAATGCGCCCGGCCGGCGTCCTCGGCGGCTCCCAGTCGAGACGTGAGCTCTGGTCCGGATTGTTAATCACATACAGTTTTGGTGGCGAGGGAACTGCAAAAAGGATTAAAAGGATTAGTATGCATTGCGTATTATTATGCAACTCTTAAGCAAATTTGAGTATTTGTAAAACCAATGGAATCACTCACCTCCGATGGCCGTGCTGAAGAGGATAACGTTGCTGGGCTCCGAGGGATAGACGGTCCGGGCACGCACGCTTACCTCGTACTGGGTAAACGCGGTAAGATTGCCCAGCCGGTAACTAATGGGCTTCTCGTTGTTCACCAGCTCGTCGGCGGAGGCACTCACGCGGAATGTCTCAGTGACGTTGTCGTGGAGCGAGCGGAAGGTGCCCTCGTAGGCGCGCACCACGCCGTTTGCCAGCAGCGGTGGCTTCCAGGCGAGCTCCACGCTGGCGCTTGTCACCCGGACTAGCTGCAGCTCGCGTGGCTGACTGGGCGCCGCCTCTCCGGTGCGGTTGACCAGCTCGTCGCTGTACTTGCTGACCCGCGAATCCGAGTACATGAGCATCTTGACGCTGTAGTCCGTGTAGGGCACCAGGTTCTGGATGACGTGCTTGTTGGTATAGCGGTCGATGGTCACCGTGGTGCAATTGTCCGGACGGCCGGCCGAGCGCTGGCAGTAGGTCAGATTATAGCCGGCCAGGATCACCGCACAGACGCGCTCCGACCAGCTGACCGTCAGCGAGGTGCTGGTGGCCACATCGATCGAGGGCTCCATCTTGGCCAGATCGTCCTTCTTGTCGCTGCTGCAGATCGCCCAATGCAGGCCCGTGTTGTGCGAATGGTAGTTAGCCGACACGGCCATGTGCAGGGTGAGCAGTTGGTCCGGTGCCGTGGTGAACTGATGCAGACCGCTGGCCACCTCCGCAAAGCGTATCGATCCCTCGCACTCCGACTGCAGACCCGGCTTGGGCACGCACCAGAACACGGTGTAGTTCTGCAGCTCCTGCTGATCGCTCGGCGGATCCCAGCTGAGCGTGTAGCTCTTGTTGGTCGGGTGATACACGCTGCGTATGTTCCTGGGCTCGCGCACCTTGAAGTCTCGATTGCTTATAGGGCCGATCGTCATCGGGGTGGCGTTCACGGAAAGCCCCTGGCTGTTGCTGCTGCGGATGAGGAAGTGGTGGACGGCACTCATGCTCCAGTGATCGATCATTGCCGAGTTGGACTCCACCTTGATGAGTCCGGGATCCCTGAAGGATTCAAGTGGACGAAAATTAGTTGAATACCTTTTAGGTGCAGTCTTATTAGTTAAAAGTAAAGTTATGTACATACATATATGTACATTTATCTAAACGAGACTTTAATTGGCTAGTGTCTCGACTGCCAGATAACTCATTCCCACATAATAAGTTGTTCAATAAGTGCTATACCGCATCAATGCGCATAGATATGCAACATACCCACTCAGAGTTTCAAAAATTTTAATTAAACCAAAAACAAGATAGAATGGTATAGTCGAGTTCCCCGACTATCAGATACCCGTTACTCAGCTAGTGAAAGTGCAAACGAGAAATTTGAAAATTTTCTGGAATATCGGTAAAAGTTGGGGAAGAAAAGGAAAATTAAAAGTGTGGGCGTAAGAGTTTTGGGCGGTTTGTGGGCTTGGCAAAAAACTATGTCTCTGGATGCTCAATCTCAACATCTGATCAAAAATATATATACTTTATATGGTCCTTCTGCCTGTTACCTACTTTTCAAGGAATCTAGTACTACGAGTACTTCGCAATTCTCAGTTTCCATTTACTCTACGAGTAACGGTACTAGTATAAAATGCTGATTCATAATTAAAGCGAAAGTTTAAAAGTTTAACTGCGGTCTAAAATTGTTTTACTCGGAAATTAGCATTCTTCTTGATAATTATTGATGTGCCAAAACCCAAAAAAAAAAAAAAAACAGAAATGGAAATGGAAAACGAAACAACAGGCAGTAAAAAAAAGTATCACTTGTGATCATTGGTTTCCTTTCTTCTTGCTTAACTTTTAGTTCGACATTAGCGACACAATCGTGGCTCTAATGCACCCGGCGTGAAAACTTCAGTGATGCCCCCCTACCCCATACATTCATATGTATTATTCATATGTTTATGTATGTTTTTAAATCAATTTAATCATGCTTTCTTAGAATATTTAATTGTAAGGAACTACAGTTCTCGGAATAAGAATCCTAAATGAAATGGAAAGAGGAGTACTTATCTATGTATGTACCAGTTTGTTGACGGAATTTCCCAAAGCTATCATTCTGATAGCTTGCGAAACTGAGAATTGCATTTCGCACTGCAAGATTCCCATTAACCCATACGATCAATTCTTTTGGATCAGTTGTGGGACAGCAGCAGAAACTGCGATATGTTCAATGCTTACACCTTTAAACTATTTTTACAGCATTTTAACAATATTTATTTCTTTGAAATGTTTGCTTTTATTAAATCCCCATATCTAAAGCGAAACCATTTAAAAAATTATAGAAAAATAATATTTTTTATCGGTATATATGTATACATATGTTATGTATTCAATTATTTGCAGCTCAATTATTAGTATACCCTTTTACTCTACGAGTAAATGGTATAAAAATGTGTAGATAACACAAAAAATCGACTTTATTTCTTTAGGGAGTTTGAATGGAATGATATCCAATAATGTTGTATACAGAAAAAAAGCTTTATTAAAGCTTTTATCACCATATAAACTATTAAACAGAGAACTTTTTTGGTGATAAGGGCCGATCATTTTCACAAATTTATTTTATCTGATCAAAATGCTATTGCGTATAACATTTAAATTGATTTAATTGTAGAACGACATATTTCAATAAGAACTACGCAGATAAAATAATTTTGAAGTAATTAATGTGCAAATGCTGCGAAGAGAAACGCAAAAGGCTAAGATATCACTTTATAATTATTTATTTATAAGTGGCTAGCAAAAATAGTACTTAATATTGGCGTACCGGCTCGGGTTCTTAACTCGAAAAGATTGGTACTGCTCCAGTCTTTGGATGCCGGAGGCATACATGTGTGTTTAGGTGTGCACTGTAAATATCTGAGTTGTTTTTAGTACGCCTATTAATTGTTCCTGATTTCTGATAAAGAGTATCTTCTGGAAAGCCTTTCAGTCTCGCCATTGATGCCAAATATTTGGCTACCCACATCTGCTTGGCACTTGATGTGTGCCACGCCATGCGCGTTGAACTAGGAAACTAGAGGGCCTCCTCCGATTTCCGTGGAAGTGGACTCGCCCAGAACGCCGTCCGTCTTCCCATTAATGAACGTGTTTCTGCCCTCGCCGAGCCACTGGCATGCATGTGTGTACATATATCGGCACTTCGGACGAATTGTTAAAAATAAACATTTTCAGCGGAACCCCTACAATGGATATGGGGCTCCCGGCGTGTGTGCTTGTGCAAATAATACGCCGTATGGCTGTGTGGCTTGCCCTACGTATTCGCAAGAAGTCGCCGTTCCGGCGAATCTCTCCGTAAACTCGAGACAGGTTTGCCAATGCCCCACTAATTAGGTGCCAAGCAGCTCGTTCGGCGCACATTAATATACTGATGCACTGCTATGGCATACATATGTATCTATCCCAGTTTCCCTACTCACACGGCTGTTCCGTTGATGCGGTACTCGGTGATGGAGTATCGGAAGTCCTGCCCGTTGAGCTCGTGCTCCTCCAGGGGCTCCCAGTAGAAACGCATGGCCTTCTCGGACGAGTAGACGTAGAAGCTGCCGTAGGTAACGCGGGGCGGGCGGCGCGGCGGCGCCGGAGCGGTGGCGAACGCGTAGATCATGGGTTCGCTCCAGAGCGTGTTGTTCTGGTTGGCGCGCACACGCACCCGCAGCGTATAGTTGTAGCCGGCGAAGGGCAGCTCCGTAAGGCAGAGCGTGTCCTTGATGGTCAGCGTCTGGTTGCGCCAACTGGGCCGGGTGATGGGCTCAAAGTTTTGCGGCGTGACGCGCACCTGCCAGACCAGGCCGCGGTTGTAGTTTGACCTACGGGGCATCTCCCACGACAGGCACACAGAGCTTTCGGTCCTGTTGAGCAGGGTCAGGTTTTGGCCAGGTCGCGCCGGCACCAGGCGCTCAAAGTGGTTGATGGTGATCGGCTGCGTCTCGTGGCCCAGGGCGTTGGCGATGGACAGTCGGAAGTAGAAAGTCTCGCTGAAGCGCTTGTAGTTGTCGTCGGTCAGGTTGCAGGTCACCACTGGCGCCGAGTCGAAGTTGCAGTCCAAGGTGTTGCTATACCGCCAGTCGTTGTTGGTGTTGTAGCTAATGTTGTACTTGGTGATAACCGTGTTGGGCGGCTGCGTGAAGTTGCACACCATGAACTGGAAGTCATAGTCCAGGCAGTTGAAGTCGCGCACCAGGAGCGGCTTGGTGCCCACATAGACCTTTGACTTGTTGATGACGTACTCGTCGCACATGCAGTGGTAGTCGTTCTCCTGCTCCATGGCATTCGTGTCGCTGAACAGGATGGTGGTGTTGTTCAGGATCCGGATGTGTTTGGCATCGCGGTAGACGCGGCCGCCACCGGTAAAATACAGCTTCTCCACGGGGCAGTCATCCGCGCTCTTGCCGCTGAAGTAGTCCTTGTTGAGCGTGCAGTTCAGATTAAAGTCGCCGCCGATGAGCTGCTCCACCTTGGAGGGAATCACCCAGCCAGGGTCCAAGATGGCGTTGGCACCACCCTGGCAACCAGCGAGCAGCATGAGGAGCAGGACGAGCTGCACCTGGGCCTCCATCTTCCTGGTCCTGGTCCCAGTCCTAATCCTAATTCCCCTAGCCGCTGCAGTTAAGGTTGACTCTATTTTGATGTCTCTCTCTCTCTCCCTCGCTCTCTTTTTCTGTCTCTCTGTCTATGGCTCTTTTGCTCTCTTTCTGTCTCTCTCCCGCTCTCACACACGCGCACACCGACACGCGCTCTCTCACACACACAAGAACACCTTGCTGGCCGTGGCACTTGTGGCTCTGTATTGGTAGCCAGTTCTCGGAAACCGTTTATACGCTGCGTTCCTGGAAGTGACTCTTAAACATTTCACTTCCCAGGTGTGGGCTTCTTGTCCAGAGCTTCACTATCCGGCACTAAATTACGGATATGTCTATCACGGCACTGCAAAGCCAATTGCTCGCTTCGCACCTGGTACTGTTTTGTCTCTGGCTCTCTCGCAAATGCAGAATCCTCGTTGGCTAAGGACGGCGATCGCTCTCCTCCCTGCCCCCGCTCGCGTTGCAGACGATATATACGACGATTTGCTAGTCTGCAGTGTGAACGCTTATCGAAACTTATCGAAGTCCGATATGCGATATGACAAGGGCTACCTGGCGCCAAACGGTCATATTGAGTGCGATAAGTGCAAGCCATTGCTTTCCATCCGCAGTATAAATTGTATGCAAATGTTGGCTCGCATCTCCTGCAACGGCCTCTGCCAAATACGTTTTCAAGCAGAGCACACTGTGTGACAGCGGATAAGGCGCGTTCAACGCTTCAATTACCCGTTATCGATGTATCGATTGGATTTACGTCAGCCCTGGCGTGTGTAAAAGTCAAAATCGAAACCGAGTATGAGTGTGTGTGTGCGTGTGAGTGAGAAAGTGACGAATTACTTTTCATCAAATGGAAAATAGTTTAGTTTGAAAACACGTACCTATCCAGAACACAAAAAATTACAGACGTGACAACATCTAGAAACAACAAGCTAAATCGGCGCAAATACATAGAACCAAACGAGAACGCAACTACACCATCGAAATGGCGGAAGGCGGCAGCAAGCGCATCAACGTGGTTGTAAAAACGCCAAAGGACAAGAAGACGGTCGAGGTTGACGAAGATTCTGGAATAAAAGATGTGAGTACGGACCGCGTGACCCGTCTGGTGACTGTTGGGCCTCCAAGCCCTTCTGGCCCCTTCCATTCATTGCGATGGACACCCTCACCCCTGCTCTTTGCCCACAACCCTCTAAAGTATTGGGCAATTAGTGCCCGTAATCGCGGTACAGTGCACTTTGCCTAAGCCGCACACAACACACGCAGCTGGTACAGTGCACTTTGCACAGTACAGTGTTCGCTGGCCGTGCGGACACCGCAAAGGGTGGTTCTTCCCCACACACACCACCCATTAACCCACATAAATTGAAGGGGCATAGGAACACACATTTAATTGAGAGGGGAACTATATCATGGGCCCATAATAATGACAGCAATCACACCATTCTCGCCCCATAGTTCAAAATTCTGGTTGCACAAAAGTTCGAATCGGAGCCCGAGCAGCTCGTGCTTATTTTTGCCGGCAAAATTATGAAGGACACGGACACGCTCAAGATGCACAACATCAAGGACAACCTGACGGTGCATTTGGTGATTAAGGCGCCGACGCGCAACAACGAGATGCCGGCCCGCCAGCCGGCTGACGTGCGCCAAACACCCTTCGGCTTGAATCAATTCGGTGGCCTGGCCGGAATGGAGGCACTTGGAGCCGGATCGAACACCTTCATGGACCTGCAGGCGCGCATGCAGAACGAGTTGCTCAACAACGGTGACATGCTGCGCTCCCTGATGGACAACCCGCTGGTGCAGCAGATGATGAACAACCCAGATACCATGCGCCAGCTGATCACGTCCAATCCGCAGATGCAGGACCTGATGCAGCGCAATCCCGAGATCTCGCACATGCTTAACAATCCGGACCTGCTGCGCCAGACGATGGAGCTGGCCCGCAATCCCTCGATGCTGCAGGAGCTGATGCGCTCGCACGACCGGGCCATGTCGAACTTGGAGTCGGTGCCGGGCGGCTACAGCGCCCTGCAGCGCATCTACCGCGACATTCAGGAGCCAATGATGAACGCGGCCACGGAATCTTTTGGTCGCAACCCCTTCGCCGGCCTAGTCGACGGCGGCGGCTCGGGAGCCGGCATCAACCCGCAGCAGGGCACCGAGAACCGCAATCCCTTGCCGAATCCGTGGGGCGCTGGCGGTGCCAATTCGGCAACTAATGGCACAGGCGGTGGCTCTGGCGCCGGCAATCAAACGGGGGATCTGCCGCCGAACAATGTGCTTAACACGCCGGCCATGCGAAGCCTACTCCAGCAGATGGCCGACAACCCGGCCATGATGCAGAACCTGCTGAACGCGCCGTACACGCGTTCTATGATGGAGTCCATGTCCCAGGACCCAGACATGGCCTCGCGCTTGCTGAGCAGCAGTCCGCTTTTGTCTAACAACCCCGCCCTGCAGGAGCAGGTGCGTCAGATGATGCCCCAGTTTATGGCCCAAATGCAGAACCCAGAGGTGATGAATATGCTAACCAACCCGGACGCAATGAACGCCATCCTGCAGATCCAGCAGGGCATGGAGCAGCTGCGCAGTGCGGCCCCAGGTCTAGTTGGCACCCTAGGCATTCCACCGCCACCACCGGGTGCCGGCTCTGCAACGGATCCAGCCAGCGGCGATGGGAACGGGGGCAACAGCGGTGCCAACACCAACAACGTCTCGCCGAGCAGCGGCTTGAACACTGGCAACACCGGCACCGGCGGCCCAAGCCTGGCTCCGGGCGGTGGTCCTAATGCGCAGCTTTTCAACGACTTCATGATGCGCATGCTCAACGGTATGTCGAACAACACGGACAACACACAGCCGCCGGAGGTGCGCTATCAGTCGCAGTTGGAGCAGCTGAACGCAATGGGCTTTGGTAACCGGGATGCCAACTTGCAGGGTGAGTGCCTTAGTGAGTGGGCTTTGGCCGACTGGCGTTCGCGATTCTAATACGCTTTCTTGTGTTTTACAGCTCTGATCGCTACATTCGGGGACATCAATGCGGCGGTAGAGCGACTGCTGTCCCTCAACCAGTTGTCCTTGAGTTAACAACGCTAAGCCATTTTAAAACTGTACACAACCTGTCTATATATCTACGAACTACATCTATATCTACCACTACAGCCCCGGAGAACGCGAATGAGAACACGATGAGAAAGGGGGACGGGTCCTTATCCCAAACACCCCGCCCACAAATTCCACGGTTAGCGCTGCTGATCGCTTGTTTCCCATCAAGCCGGAAATATCTTGAATCCTTTATACCCCACATGCCAACATACCAACACCCCCAAAACAAAAACAGACAGCTCCACGCGAGCATTGAAGCTTTGAGAACGGAGAGATACTAGAGATAGAGGATATGTCGCCGGTGAGAATGTTTGATAGGGATCGCATACCAAAGTGTCAGCACTTGCGTAGTTGTTATCATTTTTTTTAATTATTTTCTTTTGGAGAGCTCGGACACCTGAGAATTCTTAAAGCGGAAATGTGTGAACCAAACACCAACTTAACACACTTCAACCGAACTATTTCACGCATTTACCCTACCTGAGAACTTCGTTGGTTTTCAATAAACTTAAACGGGCTTGTGCTCTTTTGTCATTGATAATGTAACTATTTTGTTGTAAACACATGTGAATTCCAGTTTTGTGCTCAAGAAAGCGTGACCGCGGTGTAGTTCCAACCGATTGGTGCAGGGATCAGAGGCTCTTTTGGCAGACGTAGTATCCTTTGTTCTGGTCAGGCAGTCTAGTTTTAGTCGGGTGCTAGTGGTTACAGCCGCAGTCCTTCTGATTCTCCTCCCTTTCTCGCAATCCGAAAACGTTCTGGAAATGACAAAACTGCAAAAGGGGACAACGTACAGTAGATATCGGCTATATGCAAAGGTGGAACAAGCAATACTGTCTTGGGGATATCCTTACGTGCGAATATGCTAGGAAATGCATGCAAGCAGTGCAAGTAGTCAATCAAAAAGGGTTATCGATTCGTTAATATAAGAGCAATCTCCAAGCGTTATTTATCCCATCCCGTTCAGGGGAATACAAATGTAAAAAGTTGTTGCACACAAGCGATTTGCATGCTAACGATATCTACTGTAAGTTAATGTGTGTATATAGATATTTATATATCAAAATATTCCATTGTGTTAACAAAAGACGTAAAACTATTTAAAACTCCTTAGTAAAGAGAGAATCCCCAACAATAATTTGTAATGTAATTTACTCTAAGCTTTTGTATGCCTATAACCGACTATTCGAGTTCCCATTTTCGAGCATTTCCGACCATCCATCAATCCTTCGTGCGCTCGCCGTTTATAAAAGGTATGAATTCAATGTATACCAAGTGCTACCACCACAAAGCCTCGCTCGTCAGGTGAGCCAACTTCATCGTGCAATTGGGTGGGTGGTCTGGTGGGCTAGTGGGCTGGTGGTAGTGGAGCTGGACCGATTCGAAGGCGATCGGAACTACGTTTATTTGTTTAGTGAAGGAAGTGGTGAAACAAAGTAATTAAATGTAAAGATCACATGTTTTAAAACAGTAATAAAGCTAATTTGGTTTTAGATTATAGCCGCCCTCGTGTTTTTCTATCATCTACTTCCACTGCACCCGAATCTCAGCTCACCCACTTTAGCTATTGCAGCTACGCATAGTTGTAGGCAATAGTTTTTAATTAGCATCTCTTGCCTTTACTGCAGGGTATGCAGGGTTTAAATACATTACAACAAAGATCATTATGCTCATGCCGACGAGCTATTCAGAACATCCCAGATCCAGTCCATGTACTGAGCCACATTGGTGCAGACAGTTAAGCCTGCGCAGGAACTTAAGCCGAAGCTGATGATGCCGAACTGGATGGTGCGATACCTGCCACTGTACAGTATATCCGCGCTCATGGGACCACCGGAATCTCCTCTGCATGTGTCGCTCATCCAACTGCCGACGCATATCTGGGACTCGTCCACCTGCTCCTGAAACTTCGAGCTGCAACGACCGCGATCAATGCGCTCCACAACGGTATTCTTTAGAAACCGCGAAAAGATGGGATTGCCTTCTTCAGTTGTGCCCCAGCCAGTGATTTGGAATCGGTCAATAGCTGCCACTGACTCATTGATGACCAGGCAAATGGGGCGGACAGTGTCTAAGGGAAAGGCAGTTCTGGTTCAGACTTGGGAGTGCACCGGCTGGATATCTCACTTAGTTACCTGAGTACCGCACCGCATGTTGCATCCGAAGTAAGCCTATGTCATACTGTTGGGTTTGTGTTTGGATGAATTGCGCGTGAACGATCTTCTTGTCGACTCTAACACAATATGCGTTTGGTATGCGAGCACCCGCACCGCAATCTCCAGGATTCAGTGGGTCGAACTCGCCCAAGTGCACCTGCCTGCAGGAATAGATTTGGGAATGAGCATGAGAACACATGCATGAGAATGAAGGACTTACATTTGATCATTGAATACGCAATGTGCTGCCGTCAAAACAAATCCTGGAATAGTTCGAAGATCGCCTTGCGTGAATAAAATAGCTCATTAAACATTTGATTCAAACACTCACGATGGTTGATGAGCGAGCCGCTGCATTTGGCCTCGCCCTTCACTATCACCGAAACCATCCAAGGATTCGCCAGTATGTCAGTCCTGTTACCACTGTAGATGTTCGGAGTGAGCCTGGTTGGAAGCGACCTTCCGCAGTCCATGTCGAGCAGAAAAGCCGATCCTCTTCGAGACCCTAGAAACAGGGTGGTCAGGATGAGGACTGCCGCTATGTCTTTTCTCATTGTAGCTCGATGGCTGAATGAAAACGGAACTCCGTGCCGTTGGCTTAAATATGGCCCTTATCGGAAGTTCTTCACTTCTGCGAAAGACACACGCCTGCGTTCTTTGGGGAAAGCATGGCTGGAACATATGCCACATTATTATCCAAACATTTACTCACTGTTATTTCTCATAAAAATAGATTTATTCGAGATTTACGATTAAATGGAATAACATAAAATTTCAGTTGGAATATGCCAATTCGTTGCTTCTATTCTTTTTAGACTTTAAATAAAGTTATATTTTTATTATTACATATGTAATTATGGAACCATTATGCACATAAAACAAGGCAACACACACTATAAAGGTCTTCGATTAGAGAAAGATACATCGATGGTGCGAAAGAAACGGAGTACTAACATATCATATCATAGTTGGATTTGAAATCTTGAAAAATTAATATAAATAACTAGAACGTCCTTCTTTTTATTTGCGCCATTTTCATTTTGTAGCTAAAGGGTATAGGATAGGAAGACTTATCATTTCCATTCCGACTTATATGAATACGAGCTGCCTATCTAAGACGCTCTTAAACATACAATCTATGGGATTACATTCGCTAAAATTATAATACAAATTCTTATACGTGCTCTTCAATTATTAATATTCTACACTGAAGTCAATGACAGGTTGCATATTTGTATATTACACATTACATAGCTCTTCGATTGCTTAAATATCAGTGAAGTAACTGAGACTTACATCGAATTGCACCCTCAACCTCAACGGGAACAGACCCACAACGTAGCTTCACGAATAAAATGAATTCGAACGTTTAACCAAAACGTTTCATGCTTTATTTTAAGTAAAATCGCAATCAACTTTCAAACTTAACTACAAAAAATCCGTGCTGCAAGGAGAACGGAATCCTGTGGTTAAGGAAGGTATCAACACTCATACAAAGTCTGTCCATAAATTTTACATGCGTTTCTACATGTACATACATATGTACGTTTGCAATTGGTTTATTACAGCAGCGGCTTGAGTGAACGAACAATCGAAAAACATTTAGTATAGTATGCTATAATAAGATATTGTACAACTACGGTTAAGGCACTCATACACTCTAGCACGCGCACAGGCACACACACCAAATATCGTACAGCTAGATCGGAGATTAGTCATGTCGGCGGATGCGGAGGAGAAGGAGGAGGTCAGAGCTCTTCGAAGAAGGCCACACGCGCCTTAGTCGAGCCGGACTTGAGCTTTTTGAGCGTGGAGTATTTGTTCTCGCCGGCCTTGATCTGCGCCTCGCTTAGGATGTCTAGGTTGCTCTGGTTCTCCTCAATCTTGTGCGGCGCGATCTCGGAGCGCAGGGTCTGCAATTGGTTTTGCACCTGCTTCTTGGAGTTGCGCAGATAGTCAAGGTGGTTGCGCTCCATCTCGTTGGTGATCTGCTCCATCTCGTTGTCGGTAAGGATGAACTCCTTGGGCTCGAAGTCGTCCGAGATGCCGCTGGAATTGTCACCTTGGACCAGATAGTGCGACGAGTGGGTGGTCAGCTCGGCGCCGCCGGCGGTCTCCAAGTCATTGGTTGAGCTACTGGTAATTAGGGAGGGCGTGCTAATGGCCGTAATGCTGGATGCCGTATTGGCTGCGTGCGACACACTAGATGCGGTCAGCAGGCTGTCCGTGGAAGACTTGCGTCCACTGTTGAGGAAATCGAGCAGGCGAGCGGTGGCCTCCCGCTCCGCCATTTTGGCGCATATCAGCTCCTTGCGCAGCTTCTCAGTCTCGGCCTCCCTCTTGTCGTTCTCCACGGTCAACTGGTGGACATAGAAGTCTGCGTCGCGGATCTTCTTTTCCAGGTCGTGCTTCTCCCGCTCTATCTTCATTTGTCGCTCGCGCAGCCGATCCATTTCCGTCTTGAAGTGGTTTGCCTTGCACTCGGTGAGCTGCATCTGCTCCTCGTTGACACGGCTCTTCTCGAAGTACAGCTCCTTGGTCTCTTCAGAACGCCGCTGGGATAGAGGACAATACACAATATTATATATCAGAAGCCAATGAGTGAAGACAGTTTTACCAGAGCGTCGTTGGCCATGCGCATCTCGTTTTGCAGGTGCTCCATGCTTTTCTCCAGCTCGTAGCGCTCGTGCTCCGCCTTTTCGCGCAGTTTCTTTTCCCTGATGAACTTTTTGCGTTCGATCTGGCGGCGTTGCTTCTCCTCCTTGGCTTGCGTCTTCATCTGCTGGATTTCCATGGTGTCCGGCTTGCGACGGCGCATGTACAGATCGTGGTTGCCCTTGCACAGGTCAAGAATCTGCAAAAAAACACGAAACAAGTATAAAATTAATATGGGAAGTTCACTGAAAAAAACATTCCTTTGAGTTGGAATTGCCCTTACCATCTTGTTGATGTGGAGGTCCTGCGAGTAAAATATGAAATTCGAGACCTTGGCATCCACCAGGCGAATGGTGAACTTCTTGTCGTCGAAGCTGACGTGCCTTATCTCGTTCCACTGGAACGTGGTCTTTGGCGTTAGCTTATCGCGCTCATCGTAGATGTTCAGGCCCACGGAGGTGACGCCCAGCCACAATTTGGTTTTGTTCTTATTCTAATGGGCACACAAACGATTAGATTTTGATACACCTCGCTCTCACCAAGACTCTCACCGTAATAGGAAAGTAGTTTACTCCGTACATGTCCAGGTCCTGAGCAATCTTCAGGTACTCCATCTCCACCTCGTCGCGCGTCATAGGCTCATGATCCATATACCACGTCTTGATGCGTTCCTCCCACATCTCAGGCGTCATCTGGTACTGGTCGGTCACTCCCTTGGGCAGGAGCTCACCCCCGGCCAGCATGCCGTCCTTGTAGGTCTCGTAGTCGTACGGCCCGTACTGCACGTGCACCGCGTAGGAGGCCAGCAGCACTGACGCCTCCGGGCGGCAGTAGATGTCCATGGAGAGGATGCTCTGCTTGACCTGCAGGAAGAACAGGTGCTGCGTGATCTCCTGGATCAGCTCCTCGCTGACGTTCTCCGGGAAGAACTTGGCGTAGAAGCTAAACACGTACACATTGTTGGTGGCGTGCAGCTCAACGCGCTGGTCACGCACCCGCTTCTCCATCTTCAGCCAGGACACGTTGTTGCGGGTGTCGACGTACTGCAGCCCGAAGTACCAGGACTCGCGCAGCCCGATGGTGCGGCACACCAGGTCAAACAGATCCTGGCCGGAGGCACGCGGCTCCAGCTTAAACTCCAACTCCGAGTCGAAGGTGCTCACCCGCACCGACAGGGAGCGGTTTTTCTTGGAGCCGAAAGGGCTCATCGCGATTATGTGATGTGTTTTGATTGTTGTGTTGTGATGTTATGCGTGAGATGCAATTGGATTGGAATCAGAACTGAGTGCCCTTGTGGGCAATTCGTGATAACCTGTTGCGTGCAGAGGGACTTGTTGCTGCCCTTGCTCCTGCTTGTCTGATCCTTGATCCTTGCTCCTGTGCCAGCTAGTATCCCGATTCCTGGTTGCTGCTCCTGCGGTCCTCACAAATAGCGGACTGCCTCATTTTGCAGCCAATTCGGTGCTCCGGGCAATGGCAATTTTGGGCTGAAGGCTGCGAGCGGAAAGAAAGAAAGTGTAAGGCGCTTCGTTTATGCGGGGGCGCGACTTACGAACTGCGTGTCAATGGCATCCTGGCGCCCACTTTACGTAGGTCCACCCAGCACCTTTGGGGTTGAAAACTGATTGCGAGGTCGGCAAAAGGGGCTCCACATCGACGGATTGCGATATAAAGCAACTTACTCGATGGCTTGCACCGCAAATCCCAATTGTACGACAATTTCCCGATATGCGCGGCATAAACACAGACAGTGTGACCTGCCGTGGGCTGGGAGAAAAAACTTCTTTGGCAGAGTAGGGTGATTCCTTTACAATGTTACAGAAGGATTATAATGCATCAAATTATCCATCTCAAACCTCATATGAAGGTAAAAAGTTAATATAAGAACTTCAAAATATATTAAAATGACATAAATTAGCTTTCTATTTTCAAAATTTTTAATTTCAAACAAATGACAAAACAGTGGTTAATAACAAATTATACCGCGAAATGTTTATCCAAATTATGCATTATTATTTAACTACAATCATTGTGCAATGAAACTTAATATGTCAAAAAATTCATATGCTGCGATTTCAACTATCTTATCAGCTTTTTTATTAAAGATGAATAAACAAAAATACCACATATTTTTATATAAAGTTGCCACCCCGTTAATGCATAAATACGCATTTAAAAGTTTGAATGGTGACGAAGTGTGAAAATTGCGTGCTTGAGAGCAATATTTGATTTAAGAATCAATTGCGTTATTTTATAAATGTCAATTAAATGTGGTATTGTATTGGTTTTCAATGCTCCAAAAATCATAAACAAAATATGTAATGGGCAAATGCGTATATCAAGAATGATATACTCTTTCTTTAGAAGAAAGAGTCCAGCTTGCGTTTTACCAGGTCCCTGTAGCTTATTTTTCACCTTCATCGAACCCATCTGGACATCTTATTTCACCGTAATAGGAAAATAAGAAATGATTTAGTTCTTAAAATATTCTTAGAATATATATATATGCAGGATTATAAATACATAACTTATTCTATACATATTTATGTGCGTGTTTTGGGGGAGTCTTAGCTCGATTTCTAATATTCTAGTATTATGTGGATGCATCCGGGCGATGCTAATGCCATGCAAGTAAACAATGCTTATCACACAAACGCAAGTGCTGAGGATCACAACTCCAGATCCAGATCCGGAGCCAGATAGCCAAATCCGTGGGCACAGTAGGATGAACAGAGGCGAACTACGCTTAATTTGGACTACAGAGTGTTGTTGTGGAGAACTCGGGTTGGCACTTGAATGGCGATGCCAGGACATGGACGCGTACACCAAAATCCTTGATCAATAGCTACTGGTTACTCCGCTTACTACGTTCGACGTGCAGGTCGTAAAGCATCTTGTTCTTCTCATAGTAAAATGGGTTCTGTTCGGCTCCCAGTTCTGGGTTGTACTCGTATCTGGCTGCCACGCCGTTTCCGGCAGCATCGGGGCCACCGCTGGCTACAGTGGCTCCTCCCCCCGATAATGGCGGAATGCTGCAGCTGCTGCTACTACTGCTGTTCCCATCGTCGTAGTTTAGATGCAGGTTGTTAATGCGTTTCGACAGGGGCGTCGACTCGCACGCCAGGTCGTCCTCCCGGCTGCGCTTTCTGTGGAGAAATGGAGTGCGTTTGGTCAGAGCTGGGGGCTTTCAGGCTCACTTCCTTGGTCGAACTCACCTTGTCTCCAAAAATCCAGCCATTTCGATCCCGGGGGCCAGTTCAGTGAGTTCGTTTTGGTCTATTGTTTTGCTTTGCCCCGTTCCGTCTTCTTTTCCCTTCACAACATTCACATCCGTCAGTGTGACCACAAGAAGTTCGATATTGGCTAATAAAATATACCAATGGAATGTGCTAAATATACCGCTAATATTTGAAGATTGATTGGAAAATATTTGATGCTTGTTAAGAAACTTGTGATTATATTGTGCAAAGGAAAACTATATTTCTTGAATAATGTTGACAGATGTTTGGGAAAGACTATTTGAATTCTATAGTCACAAGGACAACTATCGAAAGGTGTGAATGTTTTATAAGCATTCTAGTACGCCTTAAGTGCTACCATTCGCAGGCAACTGCTTCCATATCCTCCATATCCACTTCAACATGGCATTCCGACAGCATATGGGCCCAAATCTGGCATATCGGTCAGATATATAGCCAAGCCGAGCCAACTTCCACCGAAAATACCAACTATGCAAGCCGGGTGGGAGCGCTGCGACCCGGTGGCAACGCCGCGCTAGTCACTCGTACGCAAACAGCTCGCTGGAGAGAGAGAACACGAACACAAAAGGAAATAGTAGTTATCCGTACGTATCGAATCGAGCCCAGCCCAGAAAAGCGGAAAACGAAACAGATTCGACAGCGGTTGTAAATTACACAAAACAGTAAGTAAGGTGGAAAATGTGCCCGCAACGAGCATCTGCGAATAGATCGCAACGCGTCCAAAATTACCCAGTGAACAGTGAATGAAAACGAATTGTCGATGACGGACACGCACACATACAAGCAGTGCGTGTGGTCCGTGCAGCAGTGTGCGTGTGTGATAAATAATTGCTTCCAAAATTCATTAGTTTTTCGTCTGCAAATTCTATCTACAATCTGGCTGTAGCTGGTAATTACGGCGGAAAACGGGCCAGCTTCAGCAGCTGACTGTGCGGCCAGTCCCGTGACGAAAGAAACCACCATACCAGCCAGTAATAGTGCAGTAAAAACTGCATCTAAGCAAGTGAACACGCACCGCACGCACACAAACGCGCGCAGCGAGCGGTTGTGTGCGTGTGTGTGTGTGTCCAATCAGAATTTTCTGTTGCCCGTCCGGCTTATCTGTGTGCGCCGTTGCTTTTCATTCTTTCCGTTCTTTCTTCGGCTTGAGTCATCGCTCGTTATGCCCAGATATGTACATACATTGCACACACTGCCACCCCGCTCTCCTGGGCGCCGTTCCTAATAGATAAGGCGCCGCTGGCGAACGGTCACTCTGGCAGGAGCAGGATGGAGGAGCGGTCGGAGCCGCACCCACTAGTCATCCCCCACTCTAATCTGGCAACTAACCCTAACTAATCCGCAGGAGTCATCACCCCTGTGCACAACATGCAAACCATCAAGTGCGTGGTCGTCGGCGACGGAGCTGTGGGTAAGACATGCCTGCTCATCTCCTACACAACCAACAAGTTCCCATCGGAGTACGTGCCGACGGTGTTCGACAACTATGCAGTCACCGTGATGATCGGCGGTGAGCCCTACACACTGGGTTTGTTCGATACGGCCGGACAGGAGGACTACGATCGGCTGCGTCCGCTTTCCTATCCCCAGACGGATGTCTTCCTGGTCTGCTTCTCGGTGGTCAGTCCCAGTTCCTTCGAGAACGTCAAAGAGAAGGTACGTACGCAACTATTCCACACTATGGCGGGACTATAATTGTGGCATTCTGAGTTGTAGTGGGTGCCCGAGATCACACACCATTGCCAAAAGACACCGTTCCTGCTGGTGGGCACCCAGATTGATCTGCGCGACGAGACCAGTACGCTGGAGAAGCTGGCCAAGAATAAGCAAAAGCCCATCACCATGGAGCAGGGCGAGAAGCTGGCCAAGGAGCTGAAGGCCGTCAAGTACGTGGAGTGCTCGGCCTTGACACAGAAGGGCCTGAAAAATGTATTCGACGAGGCCATCCTGGCCGCTCTGGAGCCACCAGAGCCCACAAAGAAAAGGAAGTGCAAATTCTTATAATTCTTTTTTTCCCACACGCGGTATCCCTTTCATTCTGGCTTTCTACTATCGCAATGACTCCTTCCCAGCCTCCCATCGTCGAGAAGCGTTCAATATATAGCCATATATATATATTATGTATGTTTTGATTTATGTTATTCTGCAATCGTTTCCTCCGGAGGGCATTCCAGCCCAGTACTCCATGAGCTACTTCTCCTGCCCTCCATCTGCCTGTGTCCCACTCTCTCTTACCTTTTCTGTGTCTCCCGTTACGTGCGTCTGCGTATCTGTTCCACTACTGTCCGTGCACCAGCCGTGAAGCTCTAATTACCCTGGATTTTTAGCCGGTTTTTATGATTTGCCCACTATGCCAGACGACTGGGTAGTTGTTTTCAACTCGGGACAGTCTTCCGCCCCACAAGCTTCAGCCCCAATCCCAGCCAGGATCCAATTGCAGCCAATGCAGCTTTGCCCCGCAGGTGAAATTGAATCAAACCGCAAATGACTTCATTTCTGTGCGCAAACATGTTTTTGGCGCAATTTTCGAATTAAGTAAAGAGAGAAAACACAATATCAGTATAGCAAAAACAAATGATTTATATATATTTCTTTATATATATACAAGGATTAAGGGGAGGCAACAAAATATACATTTACGATAAACAAAACAATCCAGAACAGAATGGGGGGATCCGAAAAGAACCATGCAATTTTTCGTTTTGCATCCAATCCAAGTCGATATAGTCCCAAGAGCAACGTGAGAAGCAGGCAAAGTGCGAGGATTATATTAAATATTTATGATAACTGATTGCGTAATGTTCAAATAACGGAGGTAGGATGGAATTCGCTAGCATGCAAATATGAAAGTGAAGCTTAATATGTAATACAACTAAGCGTATGAGTATTGAAATATGATTAAAAGTAAATTAAATGAAAATAACAAAAGGTAAAGAAACAACAAGAGAAGCAAGAACAGAACTAGGCGTTGCAACCACAAACACACATCTGAAATCTACAATCTATATAAAAGTATATATTTAAATATGTATAATCCATAAAGTATAACAAAACAATAAAACAACAACAAACGGCAACAGCAACAAAAATTTGTATTGTAGTTCAGCAAAAACGACAAAGAAGAAAGGAAAATACGAACTAATGCATTTTTTAATATTTTTATATGTATACATTATCAATTTTTACATTTTTTTTCTAGACCTTAGTGATTTAACATTATTGATTTCAGATAATATCTTATAATAAAACGAAATCGAAAACGAAACCATTTACTGACTTGGCTACAATGATAAACGGGACAAACACAAGCGCTCCAACCGAATATTCTTGTATATAAAACAGTTAGCCATTGCGATTTTTATACACCATACATAAATCGGTAAGGAATGGCACCAGACATTTGTGGTTGTTCAATGTTATATGAACGAGATAACTTACTGTCATATCAGTCAGTATTAGATTCCTGGAAAAGTATCCTACAGCTAGAGGAAAGCGCTTTCAATCCCATAAAGTATATATTTTGGTCTGGGACTAGTCTATCTGGCCATTTCTTGATCTATCCGTCTGTATAAACGTCTAGATCTTTGGAGCGATTACAATATTTCAATTGATCAATATTTTCAATTTGGACTAAGAGGACTTAACAACAATCAAGGATGCATTTATTACAGAAGCTTTTTGTATCAAACATAACCGCGCTAATGGTCAACGCAGTGGCTGTATCCACTTGCATTTGAGTGCCGCCGCAGTGACAGCTTCCTCGTGGGACTCGGCGAATCCCGCGCTGCCCTGGATATCAATGCAGTCGTAGTCGAAGCGCAGGCTGGCGTCTTTATCCTGTAGTAGTTGCTCAACTCCGTGCCAGGCGATCATGACGCCGTTGTCGGAGCAGTAGCGCTTGGATGGCCGGAAGCTCCTGCACCCGTACTGCGCGGCCAGGTGGGCGATATTGGCGTATATGGCATCGTTATTGGCCACACCGCCGGACATGACTAGTGTGGGCGGGGTGTCACCGAAGAGCTGCATCTGCGGCAGGAGGCTGTACTCAATTGCCCGCTGGGTGCGGTGCATCAGGTGCCGGCTGACAGCACGCAGCAGGCCAGCGCAGAAGTCGCCATAGTTGCTGATGATCCCGTCCGGAGGCGTCCGCTCTGCCCTCTCGCGCGCTCGGATGGCGCGGAAGGAATTGTTTTTGATGCCGGCGAAGCTGAAGTTGCAGTTACGCTGCTGGGCGAGTGGCAGCGGAAACTCGTAGGCTAACGGATTGCTGGCCAGCTGGGCGGCGTGTTCAATGGCTCGTCCTCCGTTCCACAGACGGTACTCCGGCAGGATGTGCAGGCGCAATCGACGACCGATCTTGTCAAAAGCCTCGCCGGGCGCATCGTCCAGTGCTTGGCCAAGAAGCGACAGGCGACCGGGGCCGTTAACCACAACCAATTGACAGTGGCCGCCGCTGGCCAGCAAACAGAGGAACGGGAAGCTGATCTGCTCTGGATGTTCCATGCGGGCCTGCAGCGCGTGGGCCTCCATGTGGTGAACTGGCAGCAGGGGCTTCTGCAGGCGACGGGCCAGGTGCCGTGCGAAGCGCACGCCCACCAGCAAGCTCAGCGGTAGACCGGGTCGCGTCGTCACCGCGATGGCCGTCAGTTGCTCCGGCTTCAATTGCGCCTCTGCCAAGCAGCGCTGGTAAGCGGACTCGATGCGGGCGCGGTGCAGATCCTGGGCCCTGGGCGGGATTATCCCTCCGTAGCTGCAATCGAGTCAGTTCACCATTTGCTCCGCATGTGGAGATGTGCGCACTCACCGGGTGTGGAACTCCTGTTGCGACTCCAGCACATTCGCCCTCACCCGGCCTGTGGTATCCACGATGGCGATGCCCGTGTCGTCGCAGGAGGTCTCGATGCCCAGTACATAGCTGAGGCGGCGCCTGATCCCTCCGCCAAACGCATTTGCTTTTCCATTGCCGGCTAAATTACGAAGTGCATGCATAATGGCTAGTGTGACCAGACCGTGATAGAAAGCACAACCAGTAAATCATGGGACCGTTTACATCAAGGTCCCTTTACACGAGTTGAATTATTAAACATTTGATTTTTAAGTTTTGTCCAAAGAAAAATAGTATTAATTCCCAAAAATGAAATCAACAATTGTATCGTATGAATAAGTTTCCTATGTGCATGTCGCGTACAATTTATTCTTGATTAAGGAGCAGAGATATTTCGAAAATTGATTATTTACAGTTGTCTTTATATTGGTTTATTATTTTCGAATTGAATTTTGGACTTGTCTTCGTCGGTTATAACTAAATAATAAATAATATTGGTTTAGGCGGAAAACGCAATTGTCTTTTCCCGGAGTTGCATTAACGCACTCGTAAAACCAAAACCACACACATACATATAATTCCGGACTTGCACATGAGCCGTTCGTACAGAGATAGGATTCTTTTAAGTTATTGGATAGTAAATACATTTTGGCCTCTTAACGCTCGTAGTAGACGCGGTAGTACAGCGTCTTGTTGCGCCAGATGCTGTAACTGTTGTCGAACTTCAGCAAATAAACGCCTTCACCCGGATAGGAGTGAGAGCCCACGTACACCTCGTTGTAGCATTCCCGCCGATAGATGGGCACGATAATGGAAATGGGTGCCTTGGGGGCAGCAGTCGGGTTGTTCACCGCACCGTGCTCCTGCGACAGCGAGCCCGACTCCAGGTCCTCGGTGGTGGATAGGTAGTCCTCATCCACGCAGTCCTCGTCCTCGTCGGAGTCGCTCACATGCACGGTTACCTCGTTGGTCACGGGCTTGGCCCACTCGAAGTAGATGCCGAAGCCGATGTCGTAACTGTCCGTGGCGAACTCCCAGAAGATGCACTTGCCGTTCATGTTGGTGGGCACACGGACCTGCATATAGCGGCAGTCAATAACAGCCCTTAGTTAATTAGTTCAGTGGAACCTACCGTTACTGTGTCGCCGTGTCCAATAGTGATGACCCCATCGCCATCTCCGGCAGAAACCTCAGTCTTAAACTGCTCTATGTCAGGACGAGTCCAGATCTTGGCCGGGCATATCATGACGTAGTCGTCGTACTCTTCCTCGCCAAGCTGATCCTGCCCAACGCTCCCCGTCTGCTCCACATGCCCGAGCTGCTCCTCGGCCAGCTGCTGATGCTGTTGGGTGTCGACATCATCGAGTTTAAGTCCTTCCATGGCGTTGGGCAAGTCGATGCTGCTGTTGTTGTTATTGCCAGCGGCGTTCTCTTCCTGTTGGCTCTTGTGCTCCGTGTTCTGATTCTGGTTCTGTAGATGAAGCTGCTGCATGTACTGATGATAGTGTTCCCGCTGCAGTTGGTGGATAAGCACGGCCTGCTGCTCGGGGTTTCCGGGGAACTGCTTCTCGGCGTACAGCTGTGGAAGGAGTGTTAGGAAGAGCAAGTTAATGGAAGAGGAACAGGCATGTAATTGCCTCAGAACTGGGTCATGACCCCTTTTCAATGGCAGACACCGCAGCCAAGGCCGAGCACCTAGTTATTATCATGCATTATTGAGCAGAACAACAACAGGTGCAGAGGGCCGGCGTGTCGTGGAAAAAATCGATGGGCTACCTTAAACTGTTGGTACGTCTGCTTGTTGAGGGCGTCCTGCAGCTGGCGGCGCTGCAGCTCCTCCTTGTATCCCTCCTCTAGCAGCTCCTGCTGGGCGTTCTCCTGCCGTTCGCGTGCCTCCTTCTCCAGCTCCATGAGGCGCAGTTCCTTGCGCAGCGTCTCGTCGCGGTCCTGCCGCACGGCCTCAATGTACGGCCGAAAGGCGCTGCACATAGTGTCCAGTAGGTCGACGAACCCCTCCATCGCCTGCTCCCGCGTGATATCCCCCAGCAGCTGCCAGTGCTGCTGCCGGTCGCGACCGATTACATCCAGAACGCCCAGAGCGGGAGCGCGACTCGTGTTGAACGGACCCAGTGCCGCCTGCTGCTTGAAGGCGATCAGTTTGAGGTTGTCCTCGTACGACAGGTGGATGGCCTTGCCGGAATTCCCTACAAAATGTGAGATTAGCTGCTGGAGCGCTAGCGCCGAGCATTGTTATCTTACTCTTGTAGAACGTGAACGCCAGGCGGTAGAGCTCAATCAAAGGGAAGCCCCACTTCTCAGCTGATGATTGTGCCGGGTCCGACGACTGGGCCGCTACGCTGCTGCTGTTTGTCCCGCTCGCCATGCTGCCGTTGCTGGTGAGCTAGTCCACGTTCGCTGGCCTTCAAACTTTTCGCACAAAACAAAACAAAATAATAGAATTTATTGTGACGTCTGCTGCCAGTGTGACCAGCCAGCTGAATCGCATTGCTCGCTTTGCAGCACTGTACGGTGGTGATTACTTTTGTTAAACTTATTGTGTTTGGCTATTTACTTAGTTGACAAATAAATTGGAAAACTGCCTTGATTGTCAAAAACTGTATATTGTTCTTGGGAAAATATTACTTTTGGCTAGATTGCGTCGATATTTAAGTACAAGATTCACTTGCCCGCGGTCACACTGGCACACACCAATTCTTGCCGGAATTTGGATTCTACACGTGCACTGCAAGCGTAAACACATTATGGGCTGCACTCGGTTTTTCCTAGCGGATTTGCCGACCAGGACCTCGGAGTCGGACCTGCAGAGCCTGTTCCAGGACTACGGTCACGTGGAGCACGTGGACCTGAAGCGCAAGGAGCAGGATGGGGGCACCAAGGTAATTGCCTTCGTCACCGTGCAGACGGATGATGCCCAGTACTGTAAGTTATCCGGAAGGGAAAAGCGGTGGCTGAAAGAGTAACCACAACTTGGTTTTGTAGGCGTTAACGAGCTCAACTGGCAGAAGTTGCACGGCGAAAAGCTACGAGTTTCTCTGGCCAAGGAATCATTTTTGGACCGACTGAAGCGCGAGCGCGAAGAGAACCAGCGCCGGGAACAGGGCGAGCCAGATGTGTCCGAGGGGTTCACGCCGAGCTCTCAGCTCCTGGTGCAGAGCGGCCAGAACAAGCGCAGGGTATTCGCAGAGGATGAGGAGATCGGCGATGACGAAGTCCCTCCAGAACTGCTGATCACCAAGAAGCGCGCCGCCAATTCCATGCACAATGGCAGGGTATGCATGCACTCATGGTCCCCAAGCTCATTGTCAGCTAATTTCTTTAGCTTCTGAACAGATTGTCATACAGCAGGAGCACGACGTGAAGCCACTCCACGTCATCGAGCAGCACCGTAAGCCAGCCAAACAGCAGCTGGACGCCAATGTGAGCCTGGCAGAGCAGAAGCGCAAGGAATCGCTCAACAAAATGCGACAGGGGCACCTACAAAAGAAGTCCTTCATCCAGCAGGCGCTGAACGCGATATCAGTCGATGGCAGCCAGGCAAAGAGGATCAAATTCAGCGACGCCGAGGAGGAGGAGGAGAAGGCCAAGCCCGTCCAGAAAACCGAAGTACAAAAACGGGATCTGTTCGAGAACGACGACGATGAGGAAGAGGAACAGGTTGTGCTGCCGCAGCATAAGGGCAAGAAAGGCGAGCGTCTGGTGGAGATGCAGAGCAAACAGAGTATAGATCCCCGATTTCGCATCACATCCAACTTCGTAGACGAGGAGGAAGAGGCGGAGCTGGAGGAGCAGCCTGAGCCGGAGGAGAGTGAGCGCAAGTGGCAGATGAACATTCTGGAACAGGTTGTGGGACACAAGATCACCAGTTCCAGCGATAATGACGGTAAGTCGACAAAGAACAAAAAGATGCTGCGCTTCGATCCTGCCAAGGAGGACCATCAGAAGCTAATGCGCCAAAATCAGCCCAAGGAGGAGGAGACCCCCAAAACCAAAGACAAGGTCGCCGACAAGAGCAACAGTGAAGCTGCACCCGTCTCGAAAACTGCCTTTTACATTGTCACTGACACGTTAAAAGATTCGCTTAACACACGAGGCGAGGGATTCAGCCTGCTGGACATGTTTGGTAGCGCCCCGGAGGAGGAGGTGGCCAAGCGCCAGGACCAGTTGGAGAAGCTGGGCCAGGAAAAGATCCTGGTGGGCAAGACTTCTGCCAATAAGCTCGGACTGGCCACTCTCAATCCGTTCTCCTACGACTCGTCGGATAGTGAGGACGAGGTCGAAGCAAAACGGCAAGACACGGAGCTTGAGGTCAGCAAGGAGAACATGGCCAAGCCTGCGAAGAAGTCCAGTCAAAAGAAGAACAAAATTAAATTGGAGTCCTTCTTCATACCTAGAAACGATCCTCGTCTCAAAGGTAAGAACATGGATCTGTGTATTTTAGATCTGGATCTTTGTGTCGCTCTCTAACCGATCGTCTCTTTTTGCAGAGGGAGCCAAGTTCTTCAAGTCAGCGAAGACGGAGGTTGACCATGCCGTCTACGACCAAGTGAGGAACCGCCTGAAACTGCTGATCACCAACAAGATCGCCAAGACGAAGAAGAACCTGCCCAGCAAGGACATCAAACTCCACCGGAATAAGAAGGCGAAAAACTGATCGTTAATGATGATCCCTAGGTTAAATTATACCCTAAGTTTTAAGCTTAATCCTGTGTAAAATAAACCAATTTTTTTTTTAATGGTACATGTATTCATCTAGATTAGAAAAAAAAAGAAATGTTTGTGCTTTAGTTACTGCACAAATGCATTTGAGCCCCGTTGCAGCTCTAACTAGATTATCGTAGCGGTGTGAATCCGGCTGTGTTGAGATTCATTTGGCATCCGTAGGTGGGATTCCGCCTAACTAAAAGCTAATTAAGAGAATTAAGATTATCGCTTCAACAAAAATTGCGGTGCTCAACATTCCATTAAGTTTCTTTCGTCCGCTAAGCACGTTTGTAGACTCTAAGTAAAAATGGCAATCTCAATTGAAATTCGAGACATGGCTCTTCTTTGGCACTGTATCCTCTCCGCCATCCGGTCAGGAGTGGTGGTAGGGAGGGTTTAAAGGTAGAAGTCTTAAGTAGATCTAGCGAGCGACTGTATGTTAAAGTAGTGGGTGCTTCTATTCTACGTCTGCCTGGCATCTGACCGGTCATCTCCGCCAGCCTTCGCTACCAGCTTGGCCATCTTGTCCTTCACCTGAGCATCGTCACCGTTATCGTCGTCATCGGGCACCTCAATGGCGGCATTCTGATTCGCGATGGAAATGGCGCCGCCCCCGGCTGTCGGATTGCCATTGCGCTCCGGACTGGGCTGCTCCTGCATAGCTGGTGGCGCTGCAAACTGAGCCTCTGGTGGCGGAGAAAACGGTCTGGCTGTCACTGGCGTGTTCTCTTTGATTGTCACTGGAAACGGAAGTGCCCGCCTGACGGCCAGCGTTTCAATGGCCACAACCGTGCGCTCCAGAAGGTTCATAAGGCGGTCCTCCCGCGCATCCATCCGTTTGAGGAATTCCTCGTCCCGCTTCTCGCGTCGCTTCAGGTACTCGATCAGCTCATAATTTGTGCTGTCGCCGTCGGTGGAGGTGGACATCTTGCGCTTCTTCTTCAGCGTTGTCGATGAGGAGCAGTCGGACAGGATGTCCGTATCGACGATCACGTCGGGGTGCAGTATATTCGGATCCATACTCGGCGAATAATAGTTCTGCGCCCTGTGCACGCGTGGATATGATTAATGGAAGCGGTCTGAGAAGATGGCTTCCGCCGCAGGCACTCACCCATTGTAGTTCGTCTGCATCAGCTGGATGTCGTCCGGATTGAATTCGCCCTCCGACAGTGGCTCCGACCTGTGGACGTCAGAAAAGCGAGAGTCTTAGGCGGAATCTTGAGAACGGAGCACAAGTTGTAAGACATTGTGTGAACTTCCACATATTAACAATTAAATCATATGTCCCCCTTATTATTTCTTATACACTGAAAAAATTTTTGTCACCCTGGACGAACGGTAGTGCTTAGCTACTAATGATCAGTTTGCTTATAGCTTTGTATATATAAATAAATATGTTCTTTTAGTTGAAATGTTTTAATTGCTGGGTAAAAGGGAATACCATTTATTTTTATAAGTATGCAAGCACCATAAAAATATGGTATATAAAATATTATTCGGCTAGTAACTTTAGTTGTTAATATGCTAATTCGCTAGCAAAGAAAAAGCTATCTCAGACAATCGACTTGAATATTTCCTCTAGTTTCTTATGCGAAATATCTTAACAGCAAATATCTTCTATGTATATTCCCATAGGTTTTTAGTTAGTAGTATGCAGTTGATCTATAGTGGGATGTTCTGAGATAAAGTATTAATACATTTACTTACTTCATTGATATGTGGTTCTCGCTGTGGTTATTGTTCTGGTGGTGCATGTTGAGTGCTCCATTGCAGTCCTTTTCGAAGTCGGGTGCTTCGCCGGAGTCGTCCATTGGCGCGTGGCCCAAGCCGAGGGCATGGCCATGACCTAGGCCGTGGAGGTGGTTTTTAAATGCTGGCCGGTGGGGCTCATCCTCGTCGTCCTCCTCGGGCGCCATTTGGACACCGCCAACGCTGGCCATCTGGAGTTCATGTCGCTTATGGGCGGCCACGGCGGCAGCGGCTGCCTGAACCATCTGCATCTGGAGGGGATTCTCGTCAAAGCCGCCGGCGGACAGGCCGGATACGCCGGATGCGGAGCCACCGACCGGGCCGGTCACCTCGTTCAGCTGGGCCTCCACAAAGTGGTTGGGCAGGAAGCGCTCCAGCTTGCTCCCGCTCTGCGAGGAGTCCGTGGAGTGGGCGTGCGAGTGGCTCTGGCTCTGACTCTGGCTGAGGCTCTGCAGGAGGCTGTGCTGGTGCGGGGTAAGGTTGTCCTTGTTGAGCAGCACTCCCAGCTCGGCCGCCTGCCGCCGGCGCTGGTAGTAAGAGAGCTCGTTGTGGTTCTTGGTTATGAGCGCCAGGCGCTTTCCATTCGATCCCCAGCACTCGCCGCGCTGCTCCTCGATCTCCTTGAAGAGGAACATGTACGGCCAGTTGCGGCGGACGTGGCGCTCCGGATTCTTCTTCAGCTGCGTGTAGATCTTCTTCAGGTTCTCGTACCGGTTGCAGCACTGCTTGGCCGTCCTCTTCCGGGCACTGAAGCGGTTGAGCACCTCGGCGACCATCTCCCACACGCTAGCATGGTTCTTCCGGTTCGACTGGAACGCGCTCTGAATTCGCTCCGACTTGACGATGTTCAGCAGGGCCACCGACTCCGGCACGTTGAAGTACGACTCCGGCGTCCGCGGCGCCCGCTGGTGGTGATAGCTGCTCGTCACCGGCGGGGGATTCTTTGTCTCCTGCGGGATCAGTGAAGCACATTGAGATGCACAGTAAGAGTCCAATAGAAGAATAGAAGCCCCAAGAGGATAATTTAATAGAAATAAGGAACAACTAGAAATAAGGACTACTAACACTAATAAAAGAATAATTCATATATACACTACATGAAAATGATCAATTAGCTTATTTAAAATGCTTATGGTGTCATAGTGTATAGTGTCAATAATTATTAATCCTATACGTACAAAGATGGACGTTCTACAATTTGAAAAGCTCACAAAAACCAAGTTGTTTTGTTATATTTTCTATGTACCCGCGCTCTCTCAAAATATGATTTACATTTATCGTAGCTAAATGAAATTCCATTTTTGTAAACATTAAATCCCAGAAACTCTGAGATTATGTTTCAACTATGTATGTAATTTATAAAGTGAACTTCTGTTGGATTAGCACTATTCTAATTATCAAAAATCTCAGCCTTAAAACTTCGATATCATCTCCGGAATTTTTCAAGAAATGGACGTGCCCTTATGGTTTTGGCCAGAAGTGCTTATGGCCTAAAATTCATTCATGCCGTCCAGATTCTGCGAAATATTCACCCGCCAGAGATGAGCTGCCGATGATGACTAAGCGCGGCGAAATTGGTTTCGCAGATATTCATGGATTGTCACTGCCGCACGGATTGCGATCCGTGCAGTACATATGTACAGATGTACATATATTTTCTCCCACTGTTTAGACATACAGCGCTATTAGCCTGGAAGCTGATCTCCCTTTTGCTTACCATTTGGGAATTCTGTGTTGTCAGCAGCTTCTGGATGGCCCAATTCTGCTGAGCAGGCGCAATGCTGGATGGGGATCTTGTCTTTCTGCTGCCCTCTTCTCCGATCCGTTGCGGATTCTTCCGATTGATTCAATGGCGGACTCTCCTGCTGTGCTCGTTGTTGTTGCTTCTTTTGTTGTTGTTGCGGCTGCTGCGAGGGACTGGCGGCGTTTGCATTTCAAATGTAGCGAGTGTGAACACAGTGTAACCCTTGCGGCACTTAACGGTTAATGGCTAAAGCGCGGCGAGTGTGTGTGTGAGCCTGTGTGTGCTTGTCTAAGAAAATAAAGAAAACCGAATCACAACAAAAACAACATTTGGTAGAGCACATCATTCCGAAACGGAAACAAAAGCCGAAACAAAATCGAAATCAACGAACGTACTTGTTCTTTGTTGTTTTTGGCGTTACTCGAATTTTGTTGTTGACAACAAACCGACAACGACTATTAATATTTAGAAGTTAACCTTTTAGCCTTAGACGGCGGCTCATCGGCTACGGCAACGTCGACAAAAAACGCGAAAAAGCAAACTAAAAAAAAAAAACAAAAACCACAAACCAAGAGCCAGAAACACAAAAAAATAGAAGTGAAAACACAAATCACGAAATCAGATGCACATGTGCCCCTCTGCGTTCTTACTCACGAATACAAATATCCGTGCGAGCACTTACTGTTAGCGGGCACTTTTACATTTATGCAGAGCTTCCACTATTTTTTCACCAAAGCTCTTTTTTTTGCTACTGTTGCCCGTGTTGTTGTGTGCACGTCCCTGCTCACTTATTGTTGTTCTTCTTCCTGCCGTTTATCCTCGTTTCGCGCTCTCACTCACACCGCCCCTCTCTGGGCTCTTGCATTTCATTCACGCACGAGAAGCTTTCGCTGACCTGCATTTGCACTGAGAGAAAAGTAGAGTGGAGAAGAATGGAAAGCAAACGCGCGCGCAATTCTCTTTCTCCGGCCAACACTGCACGCGATTTACCGTTCTCCGTAGTCCGCCGTCCTCAGAATCCAACTAACCAACTAAAACTAACCAAACCAAACAACAACTAAACTGAAACTGAACTTTTTGTTTGCGATCCCGTTGGCGATACTAACGGCAGTCGCGCATACATACACACACACACACGCACACACCCATGCGCGCACGCACACAGACGAGCGAGCGCCCACATAGACACACACATACATATGGACCGCTACGATCGTTAGGCGGACGATCGCTCCTCGGGCACGGAACACCACGGAATACTACGGAACGGAACGAAACGGGACGGAGCAGCTCTAACCTGGTAGATTGCGGCGGAGAGGCGATGCCTTCTGGGGTGCACATGTGTGTTGCACACACACACATTCGGACTTCGGGTATATAAATATATACACGAATGTGTACATACAAGTGTATCTACTTATAGATTCGGGCAGAGCCAGCGACTACGGCGAAAGAGAAGGAGGCAGAGGCAGTGACAGTGGAAGAGGAAGAGGAGCAAGGCGAAGGCAGCGGAGGCAGCAGATCCATCCGATCAGAGCAAGCAAGATTCCAACGATGCCCACGATCCGCAGAGGGAAGCAGTTACTCCGATTCCGATTCCTACTCTACAGATCACGCACACTACCCTGCACCATGTGCCTGTGTTCGGGTTCGGATTCGGATTCGGTTCTATTCAATTCGACAAGATACGATTCGGATGGGATGGTAGGAGATGGTATGGCATAGGACGGAGGTGAACCTATGTGGATCTATGAAGGGCCAAATGGGAAAAGTCGTAGCCTAAAAATAGATACGAGTATGTTGTGCAGTATGGCGGGCATGGGCACCCCAAGTGGAAGTGGATGTGTATGAGGTATGGATGCGATCGGTCGGCGTTGGCTTCTGTTTGGCGTTGATGATCGAAACTGATTCGAAACTGCATCTTCAGCACTGACCAAATCGCAACAGGACGCTAAATACCGCCATGATCCAATCAAATCCTCGATTGCATCTGTTATAAATTAGAATGTGGAGTCTGCTGGAAATTTAAACACACAGATTCTGTAAACTGAAATGTCATTTATTTATTACCTTACTGCAAATCACAAATTATATGCATATTCTATAATATACCAATGTTAATTTATTGCACAGTCAGTGAAAAGGGCACATCAATTTAGCATCCGCATTTAGAAAGCAATCTCCAAGGACTGTAAGCAAGTAACTTAGTTTATAATCACATTTGAGCTTTGATTAAATATTATATACACAATAAAAATAATTTTTATTTTATAGTTAGTTTTGCAATTGTTGGTTACCAATATTAACAAAAAGGCACGTAAAGGTAAAGTGCCACGACTTTCAGATACCCGTTACTCGTTATTAAATTATTCCCTTTTTAAAATTTAAATTTAATTTTCTTTACATACTTGAAGGTTTTAAGTTTCATATTACATGCATTTATCGATGTACTTAACTTTTTTTGGAAATATTGTAAGTATTGATTCAAAAAGTTAGTGAGTATTAGTGTAATGCTTTGTACCAACTCTATTGTTCTTATTGTTTGTTCTTTATGCAAATAAACGGACGGACATTTTTGTATACTTTTTAACGAATCTGTTATAATACCAAATAATTTTTTTCTTATTTCCGCTAAAAATATATTACTACAAAACGCGAATTCTTAAGACACAGCTTTGTATTGTATACAATTCCTTTTAGTGGTTTTAATAACATCTATCAAATAATTTGGAACAGTAAAAAAGAATTTAAGTATTTGTTAATCACAAAACTTAGTTCGGGTCGCAGTACATGAAAATGTGATGTGATGTTCGTCTACTGCTCGAAGTTCTAATCAAACAGTAGTTCAATGGAAAAAGATGGTTGCTTCGCTCTGGTTTCAAACTCGGAACCGAGTCGACTCTACGGACCAACTGCTACGAACCAGCTACAGTGATAAGTCATTGGGTCGGAGATAACCCCGCTCCCGCCAAACGCTGTATTTTGTTATTTTGAGCTGAGATTATCGAAGCTACGCTGCTAGCAAGTTGATTTCGTGCTTGTGCGCCGGGATTAGTGCACCCAAAAACCAAATTGGGATCTTTCTCCGCTTCTAGCGGCTGCTCCAGATCGCCAGTGATCGGCTAGCTCCAGCTGGTAGATACAGGCTGTACCACCAGCAGCAGGAGCTGTAGCAGTAGCAGTAGCAGTAGACTCTCGATAGGGTGCACAACAAAGAGATTTCAACAGAAAGCGTTCGCCGTTCGCCGTTCGTCTGTCGAGTCGAGTGGCAAAGAGAGTGGGCATCGAGAGATCGTAAAGCGAACCACATAGTTCAGATGCAGATACAGCCACAGATACGTACACTTATTTTGGATTACAAATAGAATACGATCGTTGCCAGAGCATACGTTGCTACGACTGTATCTGTATCTGTATCCGAGCATCTGTGTGTTTTCGCCGCCGTGTGGTATATGTACTAAAATTAAAAATAACGGTGGGGACGTGTTTAAAATCTGTACGGCCCCAGCAACGCCCCAGCCCCATTCAATCCCCTTCAATCCGATTTCTTTTCCAACGATTTCCAACGAGAGTGAGGTGCTTTCCATGTCCACATGTCTCGCAAAGAGATCGTTGATCATCGATCGATCGATCGATCGATCGTACTGGATCGTGTCGAATCGAGTCGTATCGACACGTGAGTCAGGCAACAGTAATCAATGAAAATCGGCAAGCGAGGAGAGGTCTCAAAGGTGGGCGAGCAAAGCCCAAACCCAAATAACGACGGCCGATGGCTATTCGATTCTGCCCATATACACTCGCCCGATCGATAGTAGTGCATATATCTGCATGTGCTTAGAAGCACTCAATGCATATCAAAATATTTGCTCTTCGACTGGATGAAATCGGTCGGGGCTTTGCGCAAGTCTAGATCGAAAATTTCGGATTCGTACTGCCTGCTGCTGGTATCTTTCAATTTTTCAGATTGGTTGATGACCACATGTGGGCGATGGAAAAGGGGCTCGGCGTTTATTTAAAAAGCATTTACTGCAGACAAAGTAATATTACTCTATTCATACATCGTTATTATTTCATTGTCACATCAATGCGCTTTATTTTACAGATAATCTATGTGTTCTTTAGTATTTATGTTAAAACTGCTGTAATATTGCAATGGTATTATATGAAGCCACTCAATACCTGCCCATTTTGAAACAGCATTGTATGGCTTGCTCCAGTTTTCACTCAAAAAGTGTTGAGTTCAACAACCCATCCCGATCCAAAGACCCCGAAGGGAATGTACGTGGAGCTCCCCTGACTTCTTATGGCCGATCGCATCGGTTGGGATGGATCGCGGTGGTAGTAGACTGTTTCTGCTCGCTGGCCTACGGTTCTTAATACGCCGCTTTAAAAATAGCTACTATAAATCTTATGTACTCTCGTCGCTGGCCGTCATTGGCGAAAAACGTTCGTTAAACGCTCCCCGCTGATTTCGAGATCTCGAGATCTTGGGATCTTGGTGCCGCCGGTGCTGTGGCAGTGTGTAAAGTAAGAGCATCACATCCGAGCCCATGTAAATCGGCCACATGCACTCACTCAGCCGAACATCTGCCAGTCCATGGCACACACTTAACAAAATCGACCTGCCACGTCCTCAATCGAACAGGATGTGAATAAAGCATTTCTCTTGCTTCTCGAATGGTTTCTTATGTGCTATACCATATTTTTCCATCCCATAATTTTAAATCAGTTCTATTGGGGAAATCAGTTGAAAGAAAGTATATGTTAGTAACAGTGTATACTTGTTGATTCTGACTGAGAAAATCCACACTACGATCTCTTAAATGCATTTTTATAATTATTTTAAGTTTTCGATCATGAAATTCGTTACGTTCTTTGTTTTATATAAATGGAACTATATTAAATTAAATCCCCCATTCCTTTTCCAACCTTTTGAATCTTTTGACTTTGTTCCAAGTGTACACACATGTTCCCACATATGTGCATATATGTTTGATGCAGGGCTGAAACTATCGAAACTAATGTTACTTAAGTTACCATTGGGATTGGGGGAGGAAAATCTTACAGTCCACTCCGAAGATCACCGGACCCAAAAAAAGAAACCGATTCGAATTCAGAAACAGATTCGGATTCAGATACAGATACAGGCATAGCGATACGGGTGCTCATACAGGCGTACAGATACAAATTATAGCTATAGCTACATTCACGATCGTGACGCCAGCGGAGAAAATTTTGAGCGAGGGCAAGGGGGAGGGTAAAAGGGGAGACGGACAGACAGCAACTACAGAACGGAGCGTAAGCAATGTTAACGAGTAAAAATCAAGAAAATTTTAGTTCTAAAAATAACCCTTGTACTCATTTTTGTTTCAAAACGGAAAGCGGCAGCCAACAAACGACCAAAAACCAATAGCTATAAAGCGCAAAGATACGAAGATACTTGCAACGCTCCCAGATACAGATATTCACACACATATAGACGCGCAGACATACTGACATCCGGCTACATAGATGAGTGGATTCTTATTCTTGGCATTGCCATTGGGGGTAGAAAATACTATTTTACATACATATGCCATGGATGTTGTTCGTGGAATTCAAACTGTAACGTTTTCGAAATTTTTCAAATTGCGATACATACAGATCTCGAGAGTGGCAACTACAAGATATTATCGGCACTCATGTAGTAACAGTCTCATAAGCATTTTAAAATCCAACATGAATCTTTCTACATAAAAACAAATATTGGTTTGATTAGATGTTTTTAACTAGGAGAATAGCCATGCCAAGTGACTATTAATATTTTGCTTTCTAGCCAAGAGAAAATACAGCTTAAGTTAGAATCCTAGAAAATATGTGTAGACTTATAAGATTATATATTTTATATTTATAAGATTATAGTAAGCCCAATATAATGGATGTAATACCATTGAAACTAACGTTTATTTATGGTTTTAGAGCACCTAAGCTTAGCTAGGCAAGTTGCAATCCTTAGACAGGTGCGCCATCTTGCGGCACAAGTGCGCGATTATCCCGTTTGAAGGGGGAGCTTTAAGCAGCTTTGAGTGCGATGCCAGATAAGCGTCAATGGAAATTGTGAATGGCAAGTGGGTGTTGGTGGGCGGGTGTACGGGCAGACAGGTAACAGTAAATAGCAAACAGCAGTTAACAGGTGCGCACACATATGCTGCTCGGTCCCGTTACACAATACAGTTCCGATGAAAGCGGCGCCTCTGGGGAGTGTGTGTATTTGCATATCCTTGAGCGACTCTCTCGCACACAGCATGTGAGCGTATGCATGTGTGTGGGAGAGGGGGTGCGTCTGCGCTCTCGCCGCTTGCACTTTCCGTTGCCTACTTTCGAGCGTGTAAGAGAGCGACCCGGAGTGGGAGCGGGAGCGAGTGCGAGCGGGAGCGGGAGCGTGTGCGTGTGCATGTGTGTGAGTGCGGGAGAGCAGAGTTGAAATCGAAAGTCGAGTAACTTGTAGCTTTGGCAGGACAACTCTGTTATAGATACAGGAAACTTACTGCTCCGCGGCGTTGCCAGATCGCGGCAGCTCCGTGGCTTACCATTCACCGTTAGCCTTAGCGTTCACCGTTCACCGTTAACCGTTAGCCATTCGCCGCATCGCAACGCTCGCAAGTAATGCTGTAAGGACGAAAGCTCTGCAGCAGGAGCGGGCCAGGAGGCGAACTCGCTGCTTCGCTCCGCACAAAAAAGTGATACACACGGAAAAATCGCTGGCATTCATTCACCGAATACCGAGGCGAGAAGCGCGACCGCCTGCGAGAAACGTGTCCAGAAAAGAGAGAAAGGACGAAGGGCACAGGCGCATAGCTGGTCAGGACGAGGAACAATAATAACGTTAATAATAATAATAGTAGTCATCTATGTTAACTGCAAGTCCCCGAGACATTTGACTTTTTGTTTCTGTGCGTGCGTGTGTTTTCGGTGCGAACGTGTATCTGTGTGCGTGCGAAACGGCGAAAGGATATAGGATACACGTATATACACGCGAGTGTGCGCGTGTGTGCGTGTGTGTGCTGGGGCCACGTGAAGGCGAAGGCGCGCAACAACAGGAGCGGTTGGGATACAGATAGAGATAGAGAAAGTGACAGTGACAGTGGCAGTGGCATTGCTGGCGAAAAACTGAAAGTGAAAGCAGTAGGAACATCAAGGATTCGAAGCGAGCATTCAACGGCGCGTATCCTTCAGCCGTAAACTGTTGAATATAGAATGACGCTGCTGACAAAAATCAATGTGAAGCCCAAGGAAGCAACAGCAGCAACCGCAGCAGCAGTAACGCTAACAACAGCCAGGATTTCCAGTCTGCGCCGCTCCCCCAAGATAAGGATAACGCTATAAGGCTAAGCATAAGCACAAATCGAGTAAGAGAGAGAGCAAGCAAAGACCAGCAGAGCAGGGAAGCGAAAGTGCCCCTTTAAGTGCAACAATCGCCGTATTATCGGCAACTCAGCAACCTACAAGCCATCCCCCCGCTTTTATCCTTTTGATTCGTAACTGTTGAGGGCTGACATACAAAAGCGCAATGAAACCGTCGGATTTGTTGTTGGTGCTGGAGAAGGTAAGCGATGAAAACCCACCAAAATAGCGAAAAGTCCAAAGAAGGCCCAAAAACAAACAAACTTCGATCTCTTGCCCCCTCAAAAAAAAAAAAACTGAAAAGTGTATTTTTATTTCTCCACTGAATCTGACACAGAGTTTTGGTCACTGCTAAAATTGGAGCCCCCTCATCCACCATCCACTCACACACACCAACAATGTGTGCGTGTGCTAATGGGGCTCCGTTGTAATGGTATGCTCCAAAAAGGTCATTATGATGCCGAACGCCGACGCACACACACACGCTCACGCATTGGGTGAAAGCGAAAGCGTATGTATGTGTGTGGGTGGTACCGTGGACTTATGCAAATCCATTTGACAACGAAGAAGCTCGCCACACACACAGCGGCACACTAACCCACACACACACAGGGAAACAGGCGAGCAAGTAATCGACGAACGAGCATAGACGTGGAAACAACTACACTTACACCGAGCTTCAATGCCAAAGCATAAAAAAAACAACATACACCCATACAAACACCAGTGCAAAGGGGACGGCGAAAGGGGGCAACATTTTTGGCTTAGCGTTATCTTTATTGCCACTTCTGTTGCGCTGGCCCTTTACAGCCGCGTCTGTAATTGGAGCCCAACTCCTCTAGGCCAAATCCTCCAGCTCCACAGCTCACAGTCAGCCCAAACCACACCACATTCCACCCGAGGGGAGGATACCCAATCCCGAATCCGGGATCCCACACTCCAGAAGCATGTGTTTTGGCCAGAGCTGGAGCTTTGTTGTGACCATATCGCTCATACGCCGCGTGTGAATGGCTGCATGGCGGGCTTAGCCGTCCGAAAAGTATGCTACATAATGCTTAATATATATATACACAGCGACAAATGATGGCAGTGTGTCATGGGGAAATCTGTTACAACATTTGATTAACTTTCATTCAGAAGAAGATGATTCGCTTATTATCTAAGAAATTTCAAAATGACTGAATTGGTATGAATGCACTATATTTATTTTAATGTTATTGGGCTTTTATAATTAACATTCATTTGTGGGGTCTATAGGATATGTTTGGGATTTATCATATTCATTCTAAAAACTAATATGACAACATATGATTAGAATAAAGAGAAGATAGCACATTTAAACCAAAAGGGTAATATCATTTTTAGAGACACCAAAAATCGACAGTTTTATGTGTTTTTAATTCGGAAGTGAACGCGTGTTTCCGGAAATGGATTCCTTCTAGTTTCGGGTCATGTGTGAAATAATTTCATATCAGTTTTCCCCCTTAGTTGAACTACATAGAGGTTATCTTTTATATGTATATACGCTGAACCAAAACATATGTAATATTTCAGTCCAAGCAGCGGGTTCTCTCCGGGCACAAATGAATTCTATTTGCGGATGCCCTCTTTAGTCGACAAAGCCATCTGGAAATCGGGGCACGCAGGACTCCCCCGCGAGATTAACGTCCCCCCAAAGGACCAACCGCCATTCTGGTGGGGTGACCTTTTCTGCTGCTGTCATTGCAGTTGCTCATCCACTCAACCCCTGGTACTTGCAAGCCATTAATATCGCCAAATTGTTAGACACGAAGCGGAAAGGGGTCCTAGAAAAATGGTATCCTTGGGCAGTGGAATCCTTGCAGACAATTTATGCTTTTTTCGCTTATTCAGCGTGATTTGGTTTTGAATGTGATAGCTAAGTCGGTGTGGCTTTAATCTTTGTCAATCCAGTACAGACATAATATCATAGCATACACCTTTTAAAGGGCTCTGCATTTTCAAGTCATTGTTGCGTGTTGTTCGATGCGATAGGGGACTTCAGTGCAAAATTAAAATGCCCTCGGCAAGGCTATAAGTATTTGGGGTAGCATGATACTCATTGGAATACAAAAGGGTGGAGCATGAGTGGTTGTCCTTCGACTACACTGCACATGTGGATGTGGATATGGGGTGCAGCGGGCAGTGGAGGCCACAGCCTGGATGGTTACCCAGTGCGGAACCGAGCCAAGGCGCCCACGCAAAGGAGATGGAAATGGAAATGGAGGCAATCGTGGAGGAGACGCATCTGCGGTCGACCGCCAGCCCGCTGAAATGCCATTTAGCTGGGAATCTGGGGCGCAAATAATGTCGCCCACTGCAGCTGACATCAAGGGCTCTTCCTGATGCGTATGCAACGAGGTCCTTTTTACGAGCCATTTCCTCAAATGGGAGCAAAGAACATGAATCAGTTGTGGGATTCACCACGCCACGCGGTTTTTGCTCTAGGCAATCCAATAATTGATTTCAATTGATGGTGGTTTTAATTAAAATGTCTTTACGTCCTAATGTTATGCGCGAAAAAAGTGTGTTGCAGAAAAAATATGTATTTTAAAATCATGCAATCCACATGAATATGTATATACATATTTAAAAGGCCAGAACCAAATCCGTCGATTCAAGTAATACATGTTCAAGCTTAAATCATTTGCAACTGTTTCTTTAATTTATCTTATTTTTGAGTAATAGCAAATTGAAGGAAAAACAATGCATCTCAATGGCGTAATATTAACTCATGGGTCTAGTTACCTTTTTATTAATTTAATTACCATATTCCAAGTAGATATCATTTTTGATTACCTTGAGCTTACTTTGGTTGGCAAGTAGAACTTTTTATACCCTGCAAAACATGTATTTAAACATGTATATTATATAACCTTATCGGTCCATTTCCTGCCGTATTAAAGAAAGGAAAAATGATACTGTCTAGTATTTCCTCCTGTGGTTGGTAAATGAAAAACCTGAAGCTTGTGAGTAAATTGTTATTCAGTGTTGCAAACTTGTGACCGCAGGAAAAGATATGTCCCAGAAATGATATGTTTGCAATGTGAGTTCTTTTCCGAGCGGGCAAAAAGTGTTCACAGGACTTGTTGCAAATATCGATTGCCTGCCCGTGCCAGGAGCACTCCTGCCATTCATATTCCGCTGCTTATAGCTGACATCGGTTATCAGGGGAGAGCACTCGCTTCCCTTGTGGGTGGTTGGGTGACTGGTGAATGGGTGACTGGGTAACTGGGAGGCTGTGGTCCTCGATGGACCACTCATCTTTCAATAGCAGTCCTCGAATTAATTGTGCTGCTGTTCGTGCTCTGCTCCGCTCCGATTGCAGGTCAAGTTCAGGGTGCCCCTGCCGCCAGGAGTCAGCTCGACGACGCTCCTGCCCAAGCTCATCCGCACCAAGGACGTGAAGCAGCTGCAGGACGGCAACGCACAGCCACAGAAGCCCAAGCTAACGGTGAGTCAGTCGAAAGCTCCGCCCTTCGAGCGCCGACAATCCCCCAACTCCCCCAATACCTATACCCATGTACATGTGCACTGCCCACAGAAATGTCTCAACACGCTGGACCTGACCTCGCTGGGCATCGGATCCTGCTGCGGCACGGGCATGTACCTGGTGGCCGGCATGGTGGCCCAGAAGATAGCCGGACCCGGAGTGATTATTAGTTTTATTATAGCCGCCATAGCGAGTATTTTCTCAGGTAAGTTAGCTTATTGTTTGCTCTGGCTCTAAATAAAAATTTAGCAATGCCACTTGCGGCCACTTTGTAAACCTAACTCCTCCACATCTTGGCGATCCTGTATAAATCTTTATATCCATTCACTGATCCACAGGCGCCTGCTATGCGGAGTTTGGCGTTCGTGTGCCACACACATCCGGCTCGGCCTATATGTATTCATATGTGGCGGTTGGAGAATTCGTAGCTTTTATAATTGGTTGGAACATGATATTGGAATATCTAATAGGTGAGTGCGCCCTCTGGGAACTGCAACGTTCATGCTAACGCCTTTGAATCTTGAATTTCGACAGGAACAAGTGCCTGTGCCTGTGCGTTAAGTTCTAGTTTTGATTCACTGACCGGCAATGCCATTGCGCGAACGATAAGCGAGTCCATTGGTACGATATTCGGTGAGTATTCGGCGCTCTTGGTTATTCGGCCCCTTGGTATTTGGTCCCAGCAATAATGGTTGCATCTCTTACACTCGCAGGCAAGCCACCTGACTTTATTGCCTTCGGCATCACACTGCTTATGACCTGCGTCCTGGCGATGGGTGCCAGCAAGTCGGTCATCTTCAACCACTCACTCAACGCCGTCAACCTGGCCACATGGGTCTTCGTCATGGCCGCCGGGCTGTTCTACGTGGACACGAAGACGTGGTCCGAGCACCAGGGATTCCTGCCCTACGGCTGGAGTGGTGTAAGTAGCCATTCTTCTTTGCAACTTGCTTCGGGCAAATAGGCAAACAGGTCTAACAGGTCTAATAGTATTCTGTGTAATGCACCATGTTTAGACACTGTTGTCAGTTTGAAGTCATTCATATCAGATATTCATCTCACCCTCCTCGATGCACGGACTTATAGGTATTTTCTGGTGCTGCAACCTGCTTCTACGCATTTATCGGTTTCGATATCATCGCGACAACCGGCGAGGAGGCACACAATCCGCAGAAGAGTATACCGAAGGCGATCGTTGGTTCCCTGGTCGTCGTGCTAATCGCCTACGTTAGCGTTAGTCTAGTCCTAACTTTAGTGGGTGAGTATCTAGTTACAGGGAAATTTAACTAATCCCAAACTCGAATTCCAATTACTATATATTATATACCATATACTATAGTCTATGGTCTCTGATGCCAGATAGATCTTATCAATATATTCTCTGTTCTTGGGGAATATTGCTGAAATTGGGATTTAGAAGATCTATCGGTGTACTTGGAATTTTATTTTCAGGACTTAATCCCCATATATAAGAAATTTCCTGTGCTAGTAGCATCATGGCTTGAAAATCTCAAAATACACTAATGTAACGCTTTCCGATTCCCAGTTCCCTACGACCACATCAATACGGGAGCGGCGCTGGTCCAGATGTGGTCGTACGTGAGTGCCCCGAAGTGCCGGGCGGTGGTGGCCATCGGAGCCACCGCAGGACTCTCGGTGGCCATGTTTGGCTCCATGTTCCCCATGCCACGTGTCATTTATGCGATGGCCCAGGACGGTTTGATCTTCAGGTGAGTGCTTTCAAGATTATATGCATAGCCATTCTGGAACTTGAAATGCGAATGCTATTCCGTACAGGCAACTGTCGCAGCTGTGGCACCGCACCAATGTGCCCGGACTGGCGACCATTGGCAGCGGGCTGGCCGCCGCCCTGGTGGCGCTCACCGTGCGCCTGGAGATCCTCGTCGAGATGATGTCCATTGGGACGCTGCTGGCCTACACGCTGGTGTCCACCTGTGTCCTGGTGCTGCGCTATCAGCCGCACAGCACATCGCTGGTGGAGCTTCTGCCAGCCCAGCTGCGCACCCCGGTCGCGCCCGGGACTGCCAGCGATTCCCGCTCCCACGTCACGCCTGCCGAAGTGCTCGAGGTGCCTGGCAAGCTGACCATCAAGCGGGTCACGCGCGGCATGTCCGACTCGGACGACTCGTTCATCGACGACAGCCCGGAGGGTTTCCTGGGCGGGCGCGACGACCAGTTCCTTGTGTCCGATCGCTCCGAAAACAAGTTCTACGGCAGTGTACATGGCGCACCCACCGGGCCCACTGGCCAGGCGACCGCCTTCGATGCCATGGGCCTGAACTTCGTCACCCGGAAGATCCACGACTATGCGTACCTGTGCCCCGGCTTCTTCCCTTGGATCAATCCCGGCCAGGCCACCGCCGAGAGTGGTATGTTTTCCTAGAAATAGAATAGAATTCCTTAGTATTGTTGGGTCAATTATGGTGCTCCTGGTTGAGCCACCTTCGTTGGTTCCGGCTGAATTTCCATCCACAAACTAGAAAAACTGCGATTGAAATTGACTCTTTGCTTTTGCTTTTCCAATCCAATACGCACCACCGTATCCACCGTATCCACCGATCCATCGAAATCGATCCACCAGGCATGTACGTCACCAAGCTAGTGGGCATCATGTTCGGTCTCATATTCTTCCTGGACCTGTTCGCGGCCATTGGCTGGTCCGGTGGCCTCGCCGCCTTCATTTATTTCATTTTGTTTATCGGCATATTTGTGATATTATTGATTATATCGAGGCAGCCACAGAATAGGTAATTCAATCCACCTGCTCCCCCATCCAGCTCCAGCAGCCCCGGCTAACCCATCTCCTCTTGCTCCATTCTCGTCCAGATATGCGCTGGCCTTCCTCACGCCCGGACTCCCGTTCATCCCGGCCATCGCCATCACCGTGAACATCTACCTGATATTCAAGCTGAGTATCCTGACACTGGTCCGCTTCACCGTATGGATGTCGCTGGGATTCGTCATGTACTTCTACTACGGTATCACGCACAGCAGCCTCGAGCAGGCCAGCGACGACCTGGAGCTGCACGTCGACTACGTGAGTGCTCTGCCTCTTGGGTTAGTTGTCCCATTCCACTTATGTACCGCCTCTCCATTCCAGAGCAAAAACGTCGAGGAGAAGGCCGTGTGGGATCAACAGTCGTACAACCAGACCCACGAACCCGTCTGGGCCAGCAAGGAGGTGAAACAGCCGTCGAGTAAGTCTCTTGATTACCAAGTATTGTAATCATAAATCGCATAGAGCCTGTCTCCTCCATTTGTGAAACAATATTGAATTCTAGTTATAATTTCTTAAATCTATTTTTCTATAATTTTTCTATAATTTCTTCAATTTATTATAATAAATTAAATCTATTTTATTGTGAGTTGTACGCATCATTTTAAGCAAATCCCCTTGAACAAGATGGCGGATTAGTAATTTGTCTAAAAAGCACACAGTTCTTTAGTAGGTTGCTCAATACGTAAAGAAATTTTTAAAAAATCAAGGTATTCGAGGTATTCCACTTCAATATCCGATAAGATAATTAAGATAAGTTGAGTTATGGAGTTTAGACCTTCAGCCTTGGGACATTTCTTAAATTTTTTGAATTTCTACAACATCATCACATCAAACAAATTACTTAATTTCCTCTTGTACCTCGATCCCCATATATGTATATGAAATGATAAACATATTACTTGCTAATATAACATAATTTGTCCAGCAGAGCAACGCTATAATTACGGAAAGACCACGTCGTCTTCGTCGTCGGCCCATGCCAATTCGAGGAGTGGCCAGGGCAGTGCGCCGGAGAAGCCAGGTGGCAGGAGCACTGCGGGCTCAAACCGACCTGTTCCACCACCTCCGATCGCCGGCCAGGCGAAGGGATCGGGATCGGGCAGCGGTCCTCCGATGGAACGCCAGTACACTGGCCAGTTCAGCATGTTCGTGGACGAGGGTCAGTTCCCCACGTGGGATGACTAAGCACAGAAACCCAGTTGCAGTCCCAGTCCATGTCCCTGTCCCTGTCCCAGTTACCATTCCAGTTCCATTTCCCCAAGCCCTATTCCCGCTATTTCCCGAGTGATGTTCCATCAACAAAAGACAACCCACTCACATCGGCTCCGATCTCAAAGGCAGTCTGTTCGCTGGATCCGGACCAGTATCTTGATCCGGTCAGCCGGATGCAGCTCACTCACTTGTAAATACGATTAGAGATGTTAAGTTTAACCATACGGCGAGGTGTGTTGTTTTCGGTTTGCAGATGCATACCGTATACAAGGCATGTGCACGAGGCCTGGACGGTGGAGTCATTGTTCACAGCACTCCGCTGGACCCACAGCGTGGTCACCGTTATACACATATACCATATACAATACATAATATACACGCATATATATATATATATATATATATTTATATATATGTATATATACATATATATATATATATTGATTATACAAGCAAATATATATTTACATATATAGCGATGGGTTATTAGTTCAGCAAGAGTTAAAGTGCAAAGTTGCCGAATTCAAATTACCCAAACCTTGATACCAAACCGACCGATTAGCGATAGACGATAAATAAAGCCACGGACAACCGATTAAAGATAACAGATAATAGCTAACTGATAAATGATAACCAATAACCGATAACCAATGAACGATTGTGCTCAACTCCGATTGGCTGGCGTTTTGGGTGACGTTGGTCAATCGGTTTTCAGCACAGGCATCAGGAAGGCAGACACTATACTACAAGTGTCTGACCCAGTTCAGATACATCCCATCCGGCAGGTGGTCGGGGTGTCGGGGTGCTAGCATGCACAACTGTACATTTTAATCACCATCACCCCCACACTCGCAACCACACTCACTCACACGCTCCAATGCCAGAGACAACCTTGGAACCCTGCGCTTGTGGAAGGATCGCCCGAGCAGGTCAGAGGTAACCGTTCGTAACCCCAAATGATATTGGCCCTCTGACCCAAGACGATCTTTGCACAATGTCGGGATTTGCTCAGCCACAGCCTCAAACGAGACACCTGACGATCTTGAACCCTAACCTTATGTACCTATGATTCGATATTGTTGTTTACATATTTATGCTATGCATTTTATACGGCGCCTGGACACGAGGTTTTACAGTACAGTACGCCCTGCCTACGGCCGTCCCGTCTCTCACACTCTTTCGGAATGTTATTTGTTTTTTATTCTAGAGCTCGCGCTAAACTAAAACTCATTTTTAAGCGGCATTTCGCATTCGTTGTAATACAATTTATTTTACTAATGGAATACGAAGCAAAAATTATACAAATATGCATATATATTTATAAAAATTACCATATAGACAAATACCAAAGAATACCAAATATTTATTGAACTATTCAAACTTAAACCAAGGATAAAACCAAAGCAAGCATAACTACAAATATGTATAAACACAATGATACTTAAACCAAAAGCAAATATGATAATGAAAACATTAATGTACAAGCATACTTTTTTCCACTTTATATACTATGTACAAGCAAACCATGCATAACTATTTTTAGCTAAATTGCAAGTACATATATGGCAAGTTAAAGCAAAATCAACATTTTTAATAATAATAATACTTATGATAATTTATTCCTTTTGTACTTCACGACTTTGTACAGGAAAGAATCCGAATAGCGAATATCAAAGATTGCAACAAGAACTCAATAACCTAGGGCTAGCCCTCGATCTTTCGATCTAGCCCCACAACAGAGAAGAACACTATTTATATACAGAACAAACGTACCGTCTAAGACATTCGATACTTGATTTCGACCTATGTATTTCGTGTATGTGTTTCGTTTGAGTCCATTTCCGTTTAATCTGTTAAATTTCGAGTGCCAAATCAATGCACAATGCACTTTTTGAATCAGTAGACCGAAACCAAACGAGTTCCATGTTCCATTCACTCAATATTAGGGTTTTCGAAGCGGAGCTTTCCGGACCAACTACTTAAGATATAGTGCCACCCAACGGTCCTGCACCACGTAAAATGTATTTATGCCTTAGTTCACTAGGACTCCCTCGATTCGCTTCAAAGCTCCAGAACCGAACACGATTTGTACATACACAAATTATACATACCAAAAATGTATATTTTTATGAACAAAACACAACAAAAACGCAACTAAGGGAAACGAAACTCAGATACAAATGAAACAACTAAAGAATAACATATCCTACCACATAGCTCAAAGTTGAGATACAAAAAAACGGAGCTTAGCGAGCCCACATTTATCCGATAGTTTCGATACCCGATCACCGATCGCCGATAACCGATTGCGACAGTTCCCTACCAAGTTTTACTTTCGTTACCATTTTGGGTCAAACTTTATTAATTTTCATACACATTCTCATATGCGGACTACAGTGCGCATCGGCGAAAAGGGATCCCAACTGTCCGCTAAGTGTGCGCTCCGAGAAGTTACCATCCGTACTTCTACATGTCGGTCACCCACATTAATAGGAAACACCAATAACAAATGACAAATGTTACAGTACAGGCAATCTAGTAACTGCGGGCTGAGGCAGCTCGCTCTTCCACCTTTCGTTTCTTTCGGTACCACCAAATTAAGATAAATGTTATGAGAATATGATAGTTATAATAGATTTTCTACAGTTCCAATTTAAAGCGAATAACAACCAAGTCAACATAACGTGCAATATGTATATTGATAAGTGCGAAGGGAAAACCAGAAGCTTCCGTTAACAAAAGTACTCGTATGCATTTTACTACCACATATTGTTTCCGTACTTCTTTAATCCCTCGAACAGAGGATAAAACCCACTCCAAGGTCTATGCTCACTCAAAATCAGAAAAACTGGATAGGCAAGGGACGAGAAACCTAATCGCACCCACAAACACGCATAGACACGCACACAACAAGAGGAACCGGAAAACAATAAGAACAGCAATATGAAGACAGTAATCGATGAGAATTGTAAATCCGAGGATGAAGCAGACCGTTTACTTAGGAACCAAGCCTGATTATGAAAAAACGAAATCGGAAATAATCCGCATTTCATTGTTTTATTGATTCGAAATGGCTTTGGACGATTGTTTTTTTATTGATTGATTTTCGAGCTGAATATACCGGACCTAAGTTTCTGTTTATTTCATAAGACTGAATTACTGGAATATGATTTATTTAAACGTGTATATAATTAAGGTGTAATAGCAAACTTTACAACTTTTACTAATGAAACATCAAAATTTTTAAAGTTATTCCGAACTTATTTATTAAAAAATTAAAAATAAAAAATAAATGAAAGTGAAGAGAAGAAAAGAGGACACAAGTGATGAGAAAGTCGTGAGCGAATGAAGTTAATATGCAACTATTAATATACAACATATATGGGGAAATCCCTATATGAAAATGATATATATGTATACATATATATATATATATATATATATTTCAATGGATCGATAAAAAAAAGCAAACCAAAGTGAAATGAAAATGATGTTAAAATATAAGAAAACAAAACATTTTTTAATTCAATACTACTCTTGATTTGTTTTATGTGTTAATAACTTATTAAATGATATTTCTTGAAAATATTACAAAATAAAATTGTTAGGATATTCAATTCTATCACTTTTAATGGGAGGATCATGGAGAAATGCGACGGTGTGGGAAGTAAATACATATGTATGTATTTATGTACAGACATATGCAAAATATTAAAAGGTCCATAGAAACGTACATTGTCAATATGATTAAAAAAACTGAAAAGAAAAATACTAATGTAGTAGCATTTTGAGGATGAATTTGGTGTAACTACTGTTTAGGATTTTTATGAGCAATTTTATTAGAAAAGGTTCACATAATGTACTTTATTTCAATTTAACGTTTACACACATATGTATGCATGTACATATGTTGATACTGCCGTTTTACTACCATTGTCCTGTAATATTGATAAAGAACTTTGTGCTCCTAAACATAAATTCCGAGTAAAATTTATCACATACATGCATTTTAGATATAAATGTAAATTTAATCTGTAGCAATAAACAATTATAATATTTCTTTGAAGTTCGTTGCTTTTACGATCCGTTACTTTTCAGTTTTCATATAGTCATCTCACTCTAATTCGCCAAATTGCTCTATCGTGAGAGCGTCTACTTACTTTCATTGAGATATCAGTTTTCATCGGCTGTCTTTATGTGAAATAATCCTTTGCGTAATTTTTCAGATCAGCTATCCTGTAGGGTGACGGTAAATTGTTTTAGAAGATGCTGACTCTGAACAGGGCCACCAATTTTCAGAACATTTGTTAAGCCCCACACTTATTTAAAAATGTTTTGATAATACTATACAACTACAATATACTAAAAAGCCGATAAAATTGCTAGGTATGAATCGATTGTCTAATATACTAAACAGCAAAATACCAGCGCTTCGAACAAGTCACTCCCCGGCAAACGGTCGCACTATTTGCAGAGAGAAGAAAAAAGCTAAAAAATTTTTGTGTCCGAAAATTAACTATTTAAAAGGTAATTCAAAGTGAGATACGTCGAGAGAAGTCTCTCTAAGTGGGCATACCTACAGTCCAGCTAAAGGCTTATTTTCCCGTGATAAGTTCTGAGTAATCCCGAAAATCGGGCCCCTTTGAGACGTGTTCAAGCTGCGATAGGGGCGAATGTGTTGGTATTCGGGTGGTTCCGCCCACAAAAGGGGTGTGGTGGGGGGATGGCAATCAATAATAGCACTTTTCATGCCGGAAACTCTTCATTCAATTTTCTAAACTCTATCTCGATTACATTCCCAGTACGCAGCTAGGAGCAGCAGCCACCATGACTGATTCCAAGTACTTCACCACCACCAAGAAGGGCGAGATCTTCGAGCTGAAGTCGGAGCTTAACAATGACAAGAAGGAGAAAAAGAAGGAGGCGGTGAAGAAGGTGATCGCTAGCATGACCGTGGGCAAAGACGTGTCCGCCCTCTTCCCGGACGTGGTCAACTGCATGCAGACGGACAACCTGGAGCTGAAGAAGCTGGTATACCTTTATCTGATGAACTATGCCAAATCGCAGCCGGACATGGCCATCATGGCTGTGAACACATTCGTGAAGGATTGCGAGGACTCTAATCCGCTTATCCGTGCGCTGGCCGTGCGCACCATGGGCTGCATCCGGGTGGACAAGATCACCGAGTACCTGTGCGAACCGTTGCGCAAGTGCCTGAAAGACGAGGATCCGTATGTGCGCAAGACGGCCGCCGTGTGCGTGGCTAAGCTGTACGACATTTCAGCCACAATGGTGGAGGACCAAGGCTTCCTGGATCAGCTTAAGGATCTGCTTTCCGACTCGAATCCCATGGTGGTGGCCAATGCGGTAGCCGCTCTTAGCGAGATTAACGAGGCTAGTCAGTCCGGCCAGCCGCTCGTGGAGATGAACTCGGTCACCATTAACAAGCTGCTGACGGCGCTCAACGAGTGCACCGAGTGGGGCCAGGTCTTTATCCTGGACTCGCTGGCCAACTACAGCCCGAAGGATGAGCGCGAGGCGCAGTCCATCTGCGAGCGAATCACGCCGCGCCTGGCTCACGCGAACGCCGCCGTTGTTCTGAGCGCCGTCAAGGTGCTGATGAAGTTGCTCGAGATGCTATCCAGCGACAGCGACTTCTGCGCCACACTTACCAAGAAGCTGGCTCCGCCATTGGTCACGCTGCTCTCCTCAGAGCCGGAGGTGCAATATGTCGCCCTGCGCAACATCAATTTGATTGTCCAGAAGCGACCAGACATTCTCAAGCACGAAATGAAGGTGTTCTTCGTGAAATACAACGATCCCATCTACGTGAAACTGGAGAAGCTGGACATCATGATTCGCCTGGCCAACCAGAGCAACATTGCCCAGGTGCTTAGCGAGCTCAAGGAGTACGCCACCGAGGTGGACGTGGACTTTGTGCGCAAGGCAGTCCGCGCCATCGGGCGATGCGCCATCAAGGTGGAGCCCTCTGCCGAACGCTGCGTATCCACGCTGCTCGATCTTATCCAGACCAAGGTCAACTACGTGGTGCAGGAGGCCATTGTAGTCATCAAGGACATCTTCCGCAAGTACCCCAACAAGTACGAGAGCATTATCAGCACGCTGTGCGAGAACCTGGATACTCTGGACGAGCCTGAGGCTCGCGCATCGATGGTTTGGATCATTGGCGAGTACGCAGAGCGCATTGACAACGCTGACGAGCTGCTTGACAGCTTCCTTGAGGGATTCCAGGTGAGTTTTTCTCTAGATTTGTCAACATTATAAGGTGTTTGAATTGCTATTCCATTTCGTCAGGATGAAAACGCACAGGTGCAGTTGCAGCTGCTGACGGCCGTGGTTAAGTTGTTCCTCAAGCGCCCGTCGGACACTCAAGAGCTGGTTCAGCACGTTCTGTCATTGGCTACCCAGGATTCTGACAACCCCGACCTGCGTGATCGTGGCTTCATATATTGGCGTCTCCTGTCCACGGACCCGGCTGCCGCTAAGGAGGTGGTGCTGGCCGACAAGCCACTCATCTCAGAAGAGACAGACCTTTTGGAGCCGACGCTGCTGGATGAGCTCATCTGCCACATTAGCTCGCTGGCCAGCGTGTATCATAAGCCTCCTACCGCGTTCGTGGAGGGTCGCGGAGCCGGTGTGCGCAAGTCACTGCCCAACCGAGCTGCTGGATCTGGAGCTGGTGCAGAGCAAACAGAAAGCGCACCTGGCTCAGAGGCAATGGTCATACCCAACCAGGAGTCGCTCATTGGAGATCTGCTCTCCATGGATATCAACGCACCCGCCATGCCATCCGCTCCGGCAGCCACCAGCAATGTGGACCTCCTGGGCGGCGGCCTTGATATACTTCTCGGTGGCCCATCAGCAGAAGCGGCTCCCGGCGGTGCCACCAGCCTGCTGGGTGACATTTTCGGCCTGGGCGGAGCAACGCTATCGGTGGGCGTTCAGATTCCCAAGGTCACATGGCTACCGGCGGAGAAGGGCAAGGGACTCGAAATACAAGGAACGTTCTCACGCCGCAACGGCGAGGTGTTCATGGACATGACTCTGACCAACAAAGCCATGCAGCCGATGACAAACTTCGCCATCCAACTGAACAAGAACAGCTTCGGCCTGGTACCCGCGTCGCCCATGCAGGCTGCTCCCCTACCACCCAACCAGTCGATTGAGGTCAGCATGGCGTTGGGCACCAACGGACCCATTCAGCGCATGGAGCCACTCAACAACTTGCAAGTGGCCGTAAAGAACAACATTGACATATTCTACTTCGCGTGCCTGGTGCACGGCAACGTGCTGTTCGCCGAGGACGGGCAGCTGGACAAGCGCGTGTTCCTCAACACCTGGAAGGAGATCCCCGCCGCCAACGAACTACAGTACAGCCTGAGCGGTGTCATTGGCACCACCGACGGCATCGCCTCCAAGATGACCACCAACAACATCTTCACCATCGCCAAGCGTAACGTCGAGGGCCAGGACATGCTCTACCAGTCACTCAAGCTGACCAACAACATTTGGGTGCTGCTGGAGCTGAAGCTGCAGCCGGGCAACCCGGAAGCCACCCTCAGCCTCAAATCGCGCTCCGTGGAGGTGGCCAACATAATCTTCGCCGCCTACGAGGCCATCATCCGTTCCCCATAAGCGTTCCATGGCGCACAGCGGATGGCGGACGAGGAGCACAAAGCAATTGGAGCAATCGATTTGCGGGTGTTGAAGATTAGCTCAACAATAAGTTGTAATTTACGTATTATTATTATATTGTGTATTGGCCGAATCGCCACCTACATATATTATTTATGCATATGCACACATATAAACCACTCGGGTTCGTCGAGAGATCTGTTAATTGTTAATCGGAGCTGCTTGTCCTCAGTGTACTAACGTGTAATGGCAACGTTGCGTAACCGCATTCCAAAACTCTGTAACCCCAAATGCACGGCATCTATGTATATGTCGTGTCCTAGTAAAATGTGAAATACTAAATAATAGTAACATTGTTTTCCTGACGGCAATTTGCATTAGGCAGTTTCTATTCGTTTTCAATGCCCATTTCTGCAAGTACTAACTGCGCAAATTATAATTTTAGTATTATAATAAATCTTTGTCCGTTTCTAACACACCACATATCTTAATTCCTGAAATCTGCCAGATTATTACAACTTCAGTATGTCAAAGAGCAACAAAAATGCTAATTCGCTTAGAGAAAGGGGTTTTCCACTTTTCCCGCGCAGATCAACTTTCCGTCAAACTATGGCCACGCCCACTTTGGGCCTCGTTAGTGGAGCATTTTATAGCAGCCACATTTTGAAAGATAGAGATGTTTAACCCAAATGTGGGAATTTATATAGACACCCAAAGCTGTTAAAGCTTCCAAGGATTCAAACCCTATCCCAATGAAAGCATTACTTCCCGGTTTCGAGGGATAACTATGTTGCATATAATGGTTACATCTATTCCGATCTTTTATGGAATGGTTGCAGCAAATGATCTAACCCACTCTGCAATGCACAAGTTAAGGGTATAAAGGGAATGTGGTATACCTGGTCAGGGATGTGAAGGATAAGTCGGGGCGTCAAGCTTTGGCTCCTGAGCTTTCTGAGCTTTCGTGCGGGCCCTTCGGGGGTTGTTTGGGTGCCTTTGCGGCCCACGAGAGCGCAAGAGAGGACAGGCGCCACATCGAGGACGTGGACGTTTAGCCATCCCTGTCGTGGCCGCAGGACAGTTTGACTGTTTGCCTGCTCCACTGTTTTCCTGTTGTACCACAAGCTATTCTGGCTTGGCCCCGATTGTAACGCATCCAGATCCCACGTCGCAGTGCGAAAATGTGTACAAATACTGCAATGTACCCGCAGTAAATTGGTCGCAGGATCGGGCAATCTCGCTGCAAAAGGACATCCAGGTGCTACGCCCTATTTCGCAAACAGTCGGGCAGGTGTAGGTGTACAGGCCTCGAACGGTGCAGAAATGCGGAGTCTTATTGTGCCAGTGAAGAGCAAGCAACCCGTAGCAACGCCTCGAAAAGGATAATCTGCCTGCCTGCTGGAAGATACCTACAACAAGAGCAACAAGGACAAGACCAAGACCAAGACCAAGACCGAGACCAAGACCAAGACCGAGACCAAGACCAAGAACATCGAGAACACCAGATCGCAGTTTCGCAGAGAAGGGTCCGCCAAAAATTAGTCCGCCGGAATGAGGGTGGCGGCGGACATGGTCTACGACTACGGCAGCGAGGACTCCATGAGCACCACCCACCTGGACTGGCCCTTCCTCATCAAGGTTCGTATCTGCAGCCCCCGCCCATCGCCTCCTCCCCAAGCCCTCGACATATTTGCACGCTTTTTAGGTTAAGTCGAGACAATATGCAAAGTGTCGAGTATAATGTGTATAAGTGGGGCTTGTGTGTCAACAGCTTTGTCACTGCGGGGACGAGAATCTAAGTATGTGTGTCTGCCAGGCTCCCGAAGGCTTTATTCCACCTTGTAATCGGACATAGGAGGGGAAAACTCCACCAGCTGTAAACAGTCTAAAGTCCTTTTAACTATACACATATATATGTACATCCTTTCGCATTTGCTACCATTGTTTCCTCATATTATTTTAAAGGTTTATTTTTACACTCTCTTAACTACGATGGTATGGTATTTGATATAGGAATACTATAACTACTTGAGTATTTTAATATTATTATTTACATGACGTTTTTAAAGAGAGTTCTGCTTATCAGCACCTTAAGGATTGTAACGATTCAGTAAATTCTATAGTAATTTCATTGGGCAATATTGCATATGATGCATATTTCTTACGACGCACCGCCGGAATATTACAGAATTTGCTTTTTTGGGCTGAGTTTTAGGTTAATCAGTACCCGCTGATACAAACATATGGTATAATACTAGAATTAGGAGAAATATCGTCTTTCTATGAGTGATAGCCATTAAGTGCGGTGGCTAAGTGGCTGTAAATTGGCCAATTTAGAGCGCCCTAAGTGGGTTAAAGTGAGTCACTACTCTGGCCAGTGACCAGAAGTGAGCAGGGTGGTGCCAGGCGAGTGGCGTCAGCACACGGCCCTTGATAAGTGTGTCGTGTCCTTGGTCGCATTACGGTGGCACGCCCCCGATAACCAGTGACCTCCTCCCGCAGGGCATCCTGGAGGGCCAGACGTGCACGCCCACTGCGCCGGAGCCGCTGGCCGCCATCCTGTGGGCCATCTTCGCAGTGTTCGGCATCGTGTACGCGCTGCTCGGCTACCGATGCCTGCGCGCCGTGGGCTTCCTCAGTGGACTGCTGGTGGGCGCCAACGGCATCTTCATCCTGCAGGACTTCCAGATCACCTTCCTGGGCAAGCCGGCGGACTCGGCGCTGGCCATCGTGGCGGGGTTGCTGGGCGCGGTGCTCGGCTCCACCTATCCGGTGGCCTCTGTCCTAATTAGCGCCTTCGCTGGCGCCCTGCTCTCCGGCGCCGCCATGGCCGTCTGTGTAGCCACCTTTCCGGACAACGAGTTCGGGGTAAGTACCTCTACGAGTTGATTTTGCATCACATGTGTATATCGATTCCCCTGCTGCAGTACCGCGAGATCTATGTGGCGGTGGTGGGTGGAGCCGTCATCTGCTCCGTGCTGACCCTGTGCTGCGTGAAGTACGTGACCATTCTCACGTCCAGCATTGTGGGTACGGCCATGATCCTCAGCGCCATCGACTTCTTCATGCACGGCCTGGAGACCATCAATTGGGTGAGTGTCTACTCCAGTCTACTCCACATGGTTGATAAGAAGTAGTTGGCAGGATTGAATTTTGATGGAAATAAAATATTCTCTACAGATAATCGGCATGCGGCCGCATCCCTCGCCGCCACCTTGCTACGGTGGCCTCCTGATCGCCGCCTGGCCCGTCACCATCGTCCTCAGCATCATGGTGCAGTGCTTCATCACCGCCTGGCGCGTGGACCACCGCAAGCGGGTGTACATGCGGCACCACAACCATCCCGGCCACGCCCACGGCGCCCACCTGCCGCACAGCCAGCAGCAGGCGGGACCCAACCACGCCCTCGCCCCTGTCCGGCGATCCCAGTCCCGCACCCGGGAGACGCGCGAGGAGGCCAGGCAGCGCAAGTTCCGGTATCTGTACCAGGTGCGCACGGCCCGTGGTGACATCATATCGCAGGTGAGTGGATCGTTCCAGACTGGCACAAAAATTCCAGGAAAGGTGTCCAAAAGTATATAAAGCAGTATATATTTGATGGTTTGGATGGTGTGCATACTCTTAGACACCCATAAATATCAGTATGCATTGATCGTGTGGGAATCTATCGTTCCAGAACTTCGTGTCCGCACTGCAGAAGCGCATCCAGCTGAGCGGCACGGAGACGCCGTCGGAGAGGTCGATCAAGAGCAGCTCGAACGAGCGGAACACGTTCCGGAGCGACCGCACGCACTTCACCACCATACACGATCCGGACTCGGAGCTGTGCGACAAGATCGAGATCGTCCGTGACATTGGATAACAAACAAGCAATAGCTACATGTAACTATACCCGTAGGGGGCTACGGGCTGCGGTACTTGGGCGCGGATGTGGCCATGGTCGGGGGACAGAACTGGATAGTCGGACGGGATCGGGGACTCTACGGAGTCGCGCGGCGGAGAACTCACACAAGTACGGTTGCATGTAGACTTTGTAGATGAGACACCAAGTGTCGGACACACCACACACGGAAACGGAAACGGATGCACACAGTGGAGGATCATTGGAAGCTTTAAATATCAGAGGATATACGGATCTGGAGCTGGTTTCGCATGGGTGCCTTGGAGCACAAACCAGAGATCAGCGGGACGAGATAACCTAGACTAAGATTAATTGCATCGTGCACAGCTAGAGTCTAAGATGATGGACAGTACGGAGCTGACAGGAAGCTTTTGTTCTCTTCACTTAATCGAATGTTACTACAGATAGAAATACCTACTACGTATGGGGAATAGCGATGGCGGGATGGATACGTGACCACGTGGTGAATGATGAATCGGATTCCTGCAACTACACTATACCCAACCAAATACTAGTAGCTTCTCCCACTTCGTATATAGTCAGGCAATTGCAATTACTATCGGTTCATATCTGTGTTATAACTATACGAATATAATGGGATGCAAGCAGCTGCATGGGGCTCACGCACAGAGCGTTGGCATTTCGTTCCATTTCAACTATCTAGCAACATATACCTAAGCATTACGTTCTAGACTCCACTCACTCGATCGCACTCGACAGTTTACCAGGCAGTTTCCCAGAGGCTCAAGGCAGGCAAAAATACAATACAATACCTATTAAGTACAATAAGAAGGGGGAGAATAGGAAATGTGCACGACCTGTGCTCAGTTTGGTGCGACTGACCAGTTATGAAGCTGTACAGTTGGAGCCACAGCCATCTAGATGTAGACTAGACCTAGCGTTAGCCAGTTAGCCAGATGAGCCAAAGCTAAGCCACTTAATTGTCGATACCAGTAACTCACAATCGCTGCAGAGGGCGCACTTGGGACTCGACCAAGTCAGAATCCAGCGATCCGCTCGATCAGTCGTCTAAGCATTATCCGTAAGATTAGCGTTCGAAATATATATACATATATACTATAAGACATTAGATCCATGCAAACAGCGGTACAAACTTCAGAAATTCACGCTATAAATGCTAGCCGAGACATACATACATATGTACCAATTTAAGTGATATACAGCATTTTAAACTGTCTGGTTATGGGGCTTAATCGGAGTGCTAGCGAGAAATTAATCCGTGAATTCGCGAATCTTGCTTTAAGAAGTCTTGCGGTCTTCCAAATGTTTTTGTTTCGCCAGCGGTATTTTCGTTTCGCAGTACGGGTTAAGCCCATTAACTGGACACTTACAAGGATAAATAGATAAAGTAGGTTTAGAGGAAGAGCAGGGAGAGTTCTCCAAGCCTCGAAGGATTGGACATTGCCAGGCAGGAACTTCCAAATCGAATCGGTTGGTTTCCAAATCGCAAACACCTATACAACTCAAGTTTCCTGTTATGTTGATTAGCAATTAGTTTCTAGGAATTGCTGCCGTCCGCAATTGTTGATTTATCATTATCCAAAAAACTGTACGATACTAATACTAACGAATTTTGTTCTCTAACTCAAGTGGTTATACCCCAAATTGTGTTTCCTATTAGTTGCTCACTGCATTCTCCCGTGGTTTTAATGTTCAACAGCAATGTCTAATCGAAACATAATACTATCTCAAGTATTGTGCATTAAATTTTGGCAAACAGTAGAAGTTTTGTAAGAAAGAAATGAAAGGGGTTCGACACACTCAATCCAGTTTAATAAAAAAAACGATAATAACTGCAAACTAAAGTAGCGAAAATCATAAAAGAGTTGCACATATGTATACACTAATGAAATCCAATTAAAAACTAATATAACAAAAAGGCCAAAAGCGATTATAAACAGAATGAATCCGATTTTCAAATGAAATCAAGTCTTGAGACGGGCTGCCAAAAAGAAAAGATCTTGTAACGAGCAAAGAGAAAAGTAATATCAAATAAACGATGCAGGCCACAAATGCGTTTTTCTTTTCGTTACAGAACCCCATCATAAGTAGCTGAAAATCTAGATTTAGTTTGCACATTTTTATGTTTGTTGTGTGACCAAATGACGAAACACTAGCGTCTTTGTGTCTTATAGTTTATTAATAATAACACATCGGAATTAAGTGGCGTGGATCTGTTTTGCATGCCAATTCGGCCAGCAACGGCAGGATCGAGAAGAAACAAACGATGGATTTAGAATTCAAATAATTGAACATTTGTGTATTTGTTGTATTTGCCGATGATGGTCTGCATTCATCGCTGGGGAAAGCACAAATACGAACTTCTCTGTTGCAATTGCTGGATTCTGGTTGCCACGCTCCTCTACGTCCCTCCGCCCATCGATCGTGTCCTGTGTGTTTGGGTGCTGGGTTGCTGCTGCATCTTAGATGCGGCCGGGGAATGTGCCGCTCTCGCGCTGGTCGTCCCACTTCTCCACCCAGGCGTTGGGGCACATCGACTTGTAGACCTTCTGGAAGTAGTTGCACGGCGCGAAGTCCTCGCCGCGCTTCTTCTGGCAGCGGTGGAAGTCGATGTACGACTGGTAGCAGTAGCGAGTCACGTTCTGGTTAGGGAACCGTGGGTCGAAGGGGGCGGTCTCCAGCTTGTAGGCGGACATGTTGCTGCTGTCTGACGATTTGTCGCTGCTTTTGTTTTTGGACATGAAAAATTGCATATAGACTTTAGTTGGAAAAGGAAAATAAAAACAAAACGAAACGAAACGGAACGGAAGGAAACCGAGGGAGGGGCAAAAAACACCGATTGAAAGGCAACCAAATCGTAAACCAAGGCGGCGACCGGGACAGAGTCACGTTGGCCAAATGAAAAAGAAAGAGATGAACGAAATGGGGTGACGGGATGGGAGGTACACAACCGAATGTAAATTAAAATCAAACGTAAATACAATTTCAGTGCATAAACGGGGAGGAAGAGATAGATATATAAATCACAAAGGTTAGTTCTTCAGTTGCGGTTGCTTAATGAGCGGTATATATCATATTATATAGAGAGATACACTCGTATGGTTTTGCTAAACTTATCGCTTACTATCTAGACTATGATTATCGTATTATGTGTATGTCGAGGCTGTGGCTAGTCCCTCGATTCGTGTGAAAAAAATACAAATTACACTGCTCGCGCTTGCAGCTCGAAAGCCCTCCACTATGACTATAAACTACGCATCTGTGTTCGCTTGCTTTCGTGTACAAAACATTCAAAGGGCCTGGGGGGGATCGCAATGTGTGTATCGGGAGTGTGGAACAGGGGTATTGGTCGAATCAAAATCGAGTTCACGTTTCCCGCTTTATCTGCGTTCAAGTTCATGTTTCTATGAAAAGCGGGACTGTCTCGGCGACTACTTGACGAGCGGCCGCTTTCCGTTGTCCGTATCGCAGGCGTTGCTCTTGTACTTGTTGACCTCGGCCAGGTACAACGACCAGAAGTCCTTGGGGTCCACGTCGCTCTCATTGGGCGTCTTCACCTTGGCCACTACGCCAGTCTTTAGGACTTTTCCGCCGCGACGTCGTCCCACGATGGGTGGGGGCGGTGCCAGCTTGCCGGCCGCCGCGGCGGCAATGTACGGTGCCGCAGCACTGCTGGCAGCTCCCACTGCAATGGCCGGCAGCGCAGGCGCTGACGAGGCCTCCGGCGAGACGAACTGCTGCTGCATGAGCTCTTCCACCGCTGGCTGCACCAACTGGCTGCTCGCGTGCTCCTTCTGGCCCTCCTGCATCTTCTTAAACAGCTCCATGAACGAACCGTCGTTGGCAAAGACAGGATGCGAAGGTGGCTCCGGCTTTGGCGGCGGGTACACTTTGCCCTCCCTGGCCAGTGCTTCGCGCAGCTTCTGCTCCATCTCGCGGTGGATGCGCTCCTTGTCAAAGGGCTCGTCGGTGTCAAGGTTGTAGTAGGCGCCCACCGCGGAAGCGGCACTGCTCTTTCCAGTCAACTGAACCTGATCTGTGGCGCCGGCAGCTGTAGCGGCTGTTTTCTGTACGACGCTTAGGTCAGATTTACTGGATAACGATGCATGGTGGCCTCTGCGTTGACTGTTGCTGGATCCGGATGGGCCAGGGCCAGAATAGGCCGGCGATTCAGAGCGGCGGTAGTGGCTGGAGCGTCTTGAGTGATCCCTCTCGCGATCTCTGGAGCGATCTATGGAGGGATCCCTGGAACGATCTCTGGAGCGATCCCTGGAGTCGCGGTCTCTATGGTAACGGGATGACTGCCGCTCCTGGCGGCGGCGACGCTGACCAGAGCGTTCGGCGGAGCGGCTACGGGAACGCGAGCGGCTGCGACTGTAGCGACCGCGCTCTCTTCTGTAGGATCCGGAAACGGAGCCACGCTCATAGTAGCCACGCTGATGGCCGCGTCCGGCGCGCCGCTGGTGGCCGTCCTCCTGATCCTGCTGATAGTAGGGCAGGCGGGCCGCCGACATGTCGGATGTTGATGTAGTGATGATCTGCAAATCGAAACTGTGCCGCGTTAAATCGAGCAGTTGACAGAGGCGCGTTTACGAAATACCTATACACAATATCTGTATACTTTGTAATCAGTTATCTTTTTGTTCTTTTTTGGATCTGCGGTTCGGTTCTGTTCGGTTTGGCGCATGTCAGAATCGTGAATGAAGAATCAAGAATCGATAATCGAGAATCTAGCATTATTTTCATGCGCTGTCTTGACTTGGCTGGCGCTGGCTCCTTAACCGGGCCGAATCAACATCAGGGTGACTTGGGTGACATTGGGTACTGATTTAGGAGCCAGAACTTCAACCAAGTGGACGGGCGACAAGTAATGCTCGCGGAACAGGCTCTGTTCACTACGCAGACGCGACTCTTATGCAATTTGGATACTTAGACATTGACTTGTATTTGTACTTTTGCCTGTAATTGTACTTAGATTTGGATGCATTGATTTGATTTGGACTCGATTTGATTTGATTGGCTGGCAGATTTCTGTTTGATAAAATGAGAAATGGTAATTTACTTGTTTGCGATGTCCGCTGCGGTAGAAGTGGAAGGTGGTGTTGCTCCAACGTTGCGGCTACGTTACGTTATCATCCGTGGATGTCGTTCTCGCTGCTTGCCGTTGCTGCTGTTGTGGCTGTGGATGCGGAGGAGTCCTTCCGTTTGGCTGGCTACGTGCGAATCAGTGCGATTCAGCTTGTTTGCCTGTTTTTAGTGGCGATTTGTGCTTAACTCTTGACTTGCGACTTGATTGCGACTCTGAAACGTATCGGATTTTCGGATTCGCCTGCATGGAAAAATGACTTGAACGCATGAATACAAAACGTTACTCGAACCAGGACGCGCTGTGCAGGGGGTTTGATTTGAGTTGTCTTTCTGGCTACAAAATAGTGGCTACAATAAAGGGACTGTTTCTCTTCGCTTTCCGTTGCACCCCCTCTTTGGCGAGCGGTGACTTATGTAACCCTGGGGATCCATACTCCCATTCATATACGGATCCATTTGGGGACCAACTTACGGATGAGGATGCAAACCTTGCCCGCCCCCTCACAACTCACCCCGCCAGAAACGACTACCCCGAGTGCACCAGCGAGTTATGTAACTTGTACTTTTTTTCTTTTTTCTTTCCTGCTGCCCGAGGAATTCGCCATCGGAAATGTGTTAGTGCGCTAGTGTATGTGTGTGTGCGAGTGTTGCGATTTGGAGTGGCGAAGTGGCGCCTCACGGCCAAGTTAATTCTTGCTTTGGATGGCATCATTCGATGCCTTGGCTTACGGTCTGGTGTACTTGATAGGGTGCCAAGCGAAAAACATACCTTTGTTGTTACGAGAGTACGACGAAAAATTTTCAACTGCCGAGAATCTCACGAGCCTGGCGATAGGAATAGCGATGGGCTGACACGAAACTATCGAGAGCTGTCATAGTGACAGCTAGGGCCGGGTTGCCAGATCGCTCAGGCCAGTGTTGGTCAGCGTTCGATTCGGAGTGGAGTCGCGAGTCCGAAACTGTGACACGCGCAGGCAAATGGAAAACACAAGTTGCCTCCTCTGCCGCTGATGATGGGAAGCAATCCTCCCGAGCACGGGACCAAGCCGAGATCCACCAGACACCAAAGACAACAGAACCACCGAGTGGTGCGCAAGCAGCCGCTGCGTCCCGCAGTCAGCGACCGCCACAACATCTACATCACTAGCAAGACGGACTTCAAGGCAAGTAGAACTCATTCTGATAACTCGCCCAAGTGCTCAGCAACCGAGTCTATCTCCTTGACAGGCCCAACAGCGCCGCTGCGAAGAGCTGCTCAACTCCGGCGCCCGTGAGATCTTTCTGCATTGCATGGGCTACTCCGTCACCCGCGGCCTTAATCTCGCCTTGCGCCTCGTCCAGAATTCTGAGGGCGCCCTAAGCTACGCCATCAACACCTCCACCGTCCATCTGGTGGACGAACTGCACCCGCTGTGCGATGCCGAGGACGTAACCTTCCGCCAGCGCAACAACTCGGCCCTGCACATCAAGATCTTCAATCGCAGCCTTTTCGACATTGTTGTGCCGCAACCGTCGCAGTCCCAGACGCAAACCCAATCCCTGGGCCAGTTCAGAGGCAAGGCGAAGGCCAGGCAGTAGCATGTTCAAGCTCTCGGAGCTAGTGCGCTGGCTGGGACTCACCGAGTTCGAGATCCTGGTCAACCTGTGCGGCATGCTGGTTTTCACCATTACGCTGGCCGTCAAGCTCCACCTGCAAGCCAGGGCCGGACCCGGCGGTATCCTTCCGGAGCCCATGGGCGACTGGTTCACCGTCTTCAGTCCACTGTTCTTCATCGACATATGCAACGCGTACTTCTGCGTTATTGTGGGCATCCGAATGTACCTGGACTCCAACAACAAGCGCAAAGCCCTGCACCGCTTCATGTGGAGCACGTATTTCCTGGTGCTCATTGCCATCTTCAAGTACCTGCTCTGTCTGAAGCTCTCTAGCAAGACGGGCCTCGAGTACTCGGAGGTCTTCTCGCCGATCTTCGTCCTACTGCAGCTCGTGGCGGTTCGCGCCTGCCAGTTACCCAACTCCATCTGAACCATAGACGTAGTATAGCCTTAGATCGATATGGTACATACAAATATTCTGATCTGATACGCAGGTGGAAGCCGTTTAATCATTAATCATTGGGGGTTGCATGGATTATTATTTATCTGTATACGCAATGTGGTACAATAATATTTAAAAGGTACGGAATTTATGTTTCTGATATAGCATATCCAATATATACATATTGTGTCTGATCTGATTCGGTATGAAAGACAGATTTTTGTGCCTTTTAATCAATGGTTAATGATCTACACTATCGTTTAATGAAAATTTCAAACAATTTACTTGATAAAAAAATTCAAAAAATATTAAGCTGCTTTGATTTTATTTCAAGCTGTTGTTGCCAAAAGTGAAATTTGTTACACATATAAAAACATTTTAAAACCAAATATGTGCATTATGTATAATGGCGTTGAAGTGATTTACAATTTAATTTCATCTGATTGACAAGTTTTTTAGTAACTCCCAAATAAATCTTATATTTTCTCCGATTTTTTTGGAGGCCAGTTTCTCTTGAGTCCGAATGCCAGTGTTGGGCAACATCGGCGGTGGGTCTGCGATCAGGTGGCAGCCCCAAGGGAAACTGATTGTTCAGCTCCGCCCGAAACGAAACGAAACAATAACACAAACTGTTCATTTAGTCAGGAATTCTCGGAATCCAGCAGCACCATGTCCACACTGAACCGCCCTAAATCCCCGCACACGCCCACCGTCATTAAAAAGGGCGAGAAGGAGGACAGTTTCTGGGACAAGTTCAGCACTTTGGGTCGCAAACGCGGCACCCGCGAAGGTGAGTGCACCACTTGAAGCTCTCCAAATGGCTCTTCTTGGCCATGTATTGATGGGCATCCCAGAGTATTCAATTCTTGAACCCCTGAACCTCTAGAAAGTGGCTTAAAATAGCCCTGTGGTTCCTCCCCCTGCGCCCAGGAAGCTCTTCTGGGAACAGATGTGCGGATGCGCTGATTAATCAGAATATTGCGTCACTGTTGACCCACACAAGCAAACGGAGCTGATAATCAGAAAGTGTGTGTGTGTGTGTGATGGCCTTGTGTCGTCACCGTTTTTGTTTACCTTGTTGATTGTTTCTTTAAATACCTTAAATACGCCCACGCTTGCTCCACTTGCAGTGAAGAAGGTCCAGGAGGAGGGCAAGTACGCCATCGACTCGCCCGGGTCGCCCAGCCAGTATGACATCCCGCCAGAGGACTATGCCCTGCGTAAGTGGATTTGATTTAAATAGGCATCACCCCTTATACCCAACCCATTTCTTACAACTCATACCAGGCGAGCACGAACAGCGCGCAGTCATCGATCCGCAATCCACCAACAATCCCGAGGTGATAAAGCTGCAGCGCATCCTCGTCGACTGGATCAACGACGAGCTGGCCGAGCAGCGCATCATTGTCCAGCATCTGGAAGAGGACATGTACGACGGCCAGGTGCTGCACAAGCTGTGGGAGAAGCTCACCGGCAAGAAGCTGGACGTTCCGGAGGTCACCCAGTCGGAGCAGGGCCAGCACGAGAAGCTCAACATCGTCCTGAAGGCCGTCAACCATGTGAGTAGAAAACATTAGATTTATGTCAGCGATTTATGTCCTGTGAACTGTAAATAAATTTGGTTATTTGGTTTTATATGTATGTAGTTCAATTACTTATCTTTAATTAAAGCCAATTAGAAGGATTATTGTTGGATTAAGATATAAGTAAAATTTCGTTCTTCGCGATATAATAATTAACTTAAACTTTAACCCCGCAGACACTCGGCTTTCACCAAAAGATTCCCAAGTGGTCGGTGGCCAGCGTGCACTCGAAGAACATCGTGGCCATACTGCATCTGTTAGTGGCTCTGGTGCGCCATTTCCGGGCGCCCGTTCGCCTGCCAGAAAACGTGTTCGTGACCGTCGTGATTGCGGAGAAGAATGCGGGCGTCCTGAATGCGCAGAAGTTCCAGGAGCAGATAACCTCCGAGTACGACGACCTGGGCATGCGCTGCGAAAAGGACGCCTTCGACACGCTGATCGACTGTGCGCCGGACAAGCTGGCCGTGGTGAAGAAGTCCTTGATCACGTTCGTGAACAAGCACCTGGCCAAGCTGAACTTTGAGATCAGCGATCTGAACACGGACTTCCGCGACGGCGTCTACCTGTGCCTGCTGATGGGCCTGCTGGGCGGATTCTTCGTGCCGCTGCATGAGTTCCATTTGACGCCGCAGGACGTGGATCAGATGGTCAGCAACGTGGCCTTCGCCTTCGACCTGATGCAGGACGTGGGCTTGCCTAAGCCAAAGGCGCGTCCGGAGGACATCGTGAACATGGACCTCAAGTCCACCCTGCGTGTCCTCTACAGCCTGTTCACCATGTTCAGGGACTATGCCTGAGTGGGAGCCGGATGAAGCGAGCCAGCAGGTCGCAGGAGCAACAATCGGCGCCAATTTTACATTTTATATTAACTTTTTGATAGTGTTTACACGCTTAATTTATGTGCGTTCTCGAAACTGGTTGTAAGCGATGCAGCGGTTAAAGCTAACGATCCTACATCTCAACACCATAACTAAATGCTGCGCCGCCTACAATCAGCCTGAGGAATGTTTATATATATATATATATATTTATGTGTGTCGTACGTCTAACCACTGCGAATTGCTCCAGATTCAAATTGCTCGGAGCAAGTCGGAGAAGAGCTAACCCAAACCCAAACCCGGCGGCCAGTTGTTAACTTGTCTTACTCACGTGCCAGACGTTGTAGTTGTTACTAAGTGAATTTATTGTATTAATACACAATAACCGAGATTGTGCCTTTAGATCACACAGAAGTTTTGCAAATTATGTCACAGATCAGATATCAAACCTGTAAATGTAGAAGTTTACGGAAAAGTCTTCAAAAAAATTGTATTGTGTACGTTAAAAATTTGGATTAGAAAAATCAATAAATATTGCCAATAGCATATGTGTTATTCTATTTTAAACAGTTCCAAGGCGCAAAATTTATCTGGGGCTGCAGCACTCACAAACGCCAGCTTCCATCCCAATCACATGTAAGTTGTTCCGAGCATCTCGAATAGAAAGAGTACCTCAGTAATTTGCTGAACACTGTGCTTTTTGAATTGTGGCGGTTGCGCGCGCAACTCGCAACGGTCTGTTATCGATCACAGCTGCGAACATGCTGCCAGATCACCTCTTCTATGAAAATGATACTGTATCGATTTCCGATTGCTGGCCGGTATAATTTGAAAAAATTACTGCGCCACTCGGACTTTGATCCTTTGGTCAGGTCCTGGTTGGGATTCTTAAAGCCAGCATTTAGCAACTTCTGCTGAGTGCAACCGCTAAACCAACATCTAGATGTGACCCAAAGTAATATTTCGTTTCGAAACAAGGTGGCAACCATGCGCATGCTTTTTATGATTTTCACAATAGCCGAGCGAAGTTTCAAGATTCTAGAACTGCCCACCACACCAACGCTCCTGCTGCGCCGCCAGTGCCATAACTACGGCTACGACTACATCAGCCCCACGCACATCGAACTCAGCCGGGAGGCCACTCGCCTGGTAATCCGCCGTCTGCAACGCACAGTGCTCCGCCTGATCCGAGACCCGGACTTCATCATGTCCGCCGAGGCAAATCCCGAGACCGATAAGGAGCACCAGGAGTCCCCATTCTCGGCAAACCGAAAGGCCGGCGGCAGCACCGGCAAACAGGACTCAAACTGTCGCACTTGCAATGATTTCAAGTCCTGGTCCAAGCAGCAACGCCTCATCTCCAACGTGCAGAGCGCCAAGGTGACGTGACTCCATTTGCAACTTGTCCCCCGCAACCAGCACGTTAACACCAGCCTTTCCCGCTTTCATATTCCTCCAGGTGAAGCACATGGCCGCCGCCGAGAAACTGACCGTTAACGCCGCCGAAGATCCGCTGCCCCGTGAAGACTGCCCGCTGGACAAGGTGCGGCTGGGCATTTCCACCTGGGGACTGCTTCACACCATGGCCGCCTTCTACTCGGACAACCCCACGGACACCGAGAAGCGCGACATGAAGACCTTTTTTGAGGTTCTGTCGCGCCTTTACCCCTGCGAGTTTTGCGCCAAGGACTTTCGCACCGAGTAAGTGCATCTTCGACCCATCTAAACACGCGCTGACTCTTTAACTGGCCCTCTTGCAGCCTGGACGTCAACCCCATCAATGTGAACTCCCAGAAAGAGCTGGCACTGTGGCTGTGCAAGTTCCACAACCGGGTGAACGACAAACTGGGCAAGCCGCTCTTCGACTGCGCCAAAGTAAACGAGAGGTGGCGCGACGGCTGGCTGGACGGCTCCTGCGACTAGGCGCCGCAGCCACCTCTCGCCGCAAAGTCCCGTCTCCCGCCCGTTGCCGGTTGCCATGTTGACCACACTTTGTCCCACATATTGCTCAGCTGGCCCAAAACCACAACCACGGAACACGGGACTCCTGCTCGACGGTGATCCGTCGCCATCCAAAAGTGTGCCCTGTTTCTGGCCAGAGGCCCTGCTCACCAGTCGGAACCTGCGTCAGCGTGACATTAAATTGAGTTATGTTGTAATAGAGCCACACCGAAGGTCCATTGTTAAATGATTTGCTGGCTATGAACTCTCTGAGAATACACACATTATGTTGAGGACCCCTATTGTGCATTCTAACTGGCCCTGTTGATATCACAATCTCTAATGCTGACTGGCTGTTATTAGATAAGTATTGTGGCCGTTTTTTGTTGAATCATGGGGGTCTGGGGCGAATGTTTCGTACTTCGATAAGCTGGGAGTAGAAAGATCTAGACCGTTCACTCCTTGTTTGGAGTTCAATAAGCTGTTTAGTCTAATCGAAATCTAGGGTTTTAGGCTGTTTTATCAAGGCTGCTATATATTTTAGGTACATTTTAAATTTGTCATTTATAATACGTAACTCTAGGTCAATAGCTTTGACGGCGCTGGTTACATTTTTTGATTATTTAATTTATTATTTTTTCATTGATTGCAAGTAACTATAGTTCTTTAGATATTTATTCATTTAAAAATATTAAAGTTTTTAAAATTGAAGATCATACAAATAAATGAATTTTGATTAGCCTATTTACCTTTGCACTGGCTTAGCATTAGCAATGTCATTTAGTAGTATAAGAATAGAAATTAAATTTTGTTAATCTAAAACATTTAATATCTCAAATTTCGATGGAGGATATATTCGATATGAAATTGAAGGCGATAACTTGTTCGATACCTCTCATCCAGAGAAATAGCCAGAAATAGCTGCCTCCGCAGAACCGCTACCCACACTTTACCGAGGTAGCCAACACTGGCGCAGATCGAACTACAGTTAGTTGCCTGGTGGCTTTTGCGCGTCGCACGTATCACTTCGTCAGGTTTTTCGATTTGGCCGAGCAGAAAAGAGTGTAATTACCAAACAAAGAAATGCGCCTAGCTCAAATTGAATAAATAAAAGGGCCTTTCGTGTGTGACAATCACTTTGTTCACCCCTTTGGCTAGAAAAGGAGCGCCACTAACAGCGGAGGAAGAAGAAGCAGCAACAGCAACACCACAAGTTGTAGTAGAGGAAGAAGAAGCAGTTGCCCAGAGAGAGAGAAAGAGAGCGAGAGAGGACGAAGCAAAGACAGGGCTGTTCGGCAACCAGGTGTTTACATCCTGCTATCCGCCATCTGTGTGTGTGCATGCCTGTGCCTCTGTGTCTGTGTGTGTGTCGTCATCGAGCAGCCGATTTAAATATTGAAATTCGTGCAAAAAACCATAGTGTCTGTTTCCCTTTCATATTTATTTATTATAATTTTTTTTTTTAATTTTTCCCTGTGCCCCCACGTGCGGTTAATCGAACACTGAAGTGCGAACGCGAAATTGCGAATTGTAAAACTTACAAGCTGCCCAAATCGAATCCAAACGAAATCCGTAGCCACATCACAACAGCAGAATGGCCCCGGCTCTGAGCAAGTTGGCCAACAACCAGAGCGCCATCGTCGGCGTGGCGGGCATGACGGCGGCCGTCTGGATAATTGCCTACGGAAAAATGTCCAACAAGAAGAGGTAAGCCCTTAGGTTCTTAATTACGGATTATTCTAGCCACATCTTTTTGCGAAAGGTCTCGGTCTTGACCAATGAAATGTCCGTGATATTGAATTTGATGCGTGTGTACATACATAAATATTTGTTTGTCAAACATATGATGCCAATATAGTGGGTCATCTGGCGGACTGCAAACTGGTTTTTCGATGGCTTTTTCCGCCACACTGTATGCACTTCCCCCTCATTGTAGTACGCTTTCAATTGATTCGTCCAGAACCGTGCACAGTGGGTCAGCCAGTCCGTTTGCTACTCAAAAACAGTTGTTTTTTTTTTTAAATTGAGGTACCCTGAGCCATAATCTCAAGAAGTTTAGGACCATCAGTTCAGTTTGTGCATGCAATTATCATATATCTCTTTAATTTTTGAGTAGTTTAATACATTCACTTAAGTAGATATGAACCAAAGTAGTTTTATCTATTGCACTCTTTTCCTATACATATGTATTTTATTATCTATGAGAGGTATTAATGTATATATTATCTAGGAGGAACGGTGGAATTCCGCTTACTAACCAAGTAGAGCTAGCTAGATAGGCACTATAATTTCCGGCCAAACAGCTCGATCAGCAAAGCCTTCTCGGCTCTCGACAATTATGGTCCGAAGAACCACTTCTTGCGGTCTGCTCCATTGTTGTATCGTTCAAGGATTTCCCTATCGAGCACCTGCGATTCCCCAGTTAATGGCCACGTTTCGGTGCTCGGATGGACTTGGTCTGCTCTTTGGCGCTAATCTAATCGGTATCGCGCCAGTCTACAACACTCCATCTATATGCCCCGTTCCACTTCTCCACTTTCGCCACTCGTGCCGATTATGCTGTTGTTAACGCGCCCGATATTTGGCCATATGCGATGTGCGGTGTTCGGCGCGCAATTCCCGCTATCAGTCCATTCAATCTAATTGAATAAACTGAACGGGGGGAGCGGGCGCATTCGACTATTTGCATGACAGAGCCAATTAATTAGACAGATTGCGGCGGACAAGTGGAGTGCATTGCCGCATTAGCGCATGGGATTGGATGAACCGTAGATGCATGTGCCGCTCGATAATTGTTGTTGGCATTACTCCGAGCTATTCGAGCAATCCGAGTACTCCGAGTACTCCGGTTCCTCCACACCTTCTGCAGAGCACTGTACTTTGGCTGGCGATCGAATTCGAGCATTTTTATTGCGGTGTCTACGGTCGTTGTTTACTTTTTATGCAACTTTTACGGACGAGGTAACTTTTTGCGGGCCTCTTGTGAATGGTCAGTAAATTTATGCGGCGTTCCATTGTTCGAACTCTAAATGGTGCAGTCGGTTCAATGGATGCAGTGACTGGACACTTCAGAGTCCAGTTTCCCTGCGAAACAAATAGGTTTCGTAGGTGCAGCTTATTGGATTATTCCTGAACTTACTCCTCCTTATAGAACTCATTTTATTGTTCATTTTATTTCTTTGTATGATTCATGGATAGTATGAGAGTTTCAACTAAAGGTACTTTTTGACTATAGCAAAGAGTTTCCGAAAAGTAACGCCTCTTACACAACTATCAGGGCGCTTTTTATGGTTCTTTTTATAGGCTCATATCGAGGACAGGCACTCGAACTCACAATGAAATGATTATTGTCAACTGACATGGTTATGTTAGCTTCAAGCTATCCGATCCACCAAGGGAAGGACAACACCCAAGCGCATCTGTCCAAAAGTCCAAACACTCTGACATCCAGCAGCCTGTCTTGCAATCGAACACGCAGCCATTATTGGGCAGTTTGCTCATGGTGTTGCAACGCACTCGATTGTGCCCATACCCATACCATACCTACACCCATACCCATTCCGTGGATGGCATGATGACACCCGAGTATAAAGCATAAACATTACAGCCGTGCCTTTTAATGACTTGCGCCAGGCGCACAACTTTGGACAGGGAAAAAGCAGAGGACCAGTGGCTACTGGTTTCATTTTTCCATTTTCTTTTCCATTGCCAGCTCTTTGCCTTTGGTGTGGGGTAATGGGGAATAGGTGTTAATTTGTGTACCACTTTGTTGTGTTTTTCGCAGGTAGACACATTCTCGCCCTGCCTGCTGTTGCGCAATACTGGGCTTGTACGTGTGCTTGTGCTCCAGAGTTTCGGATGGGAAAGAAGTGGACTCATTCAGTCCGTGGAATGAGACCTTGTGCCCGGTAAACGCTTGGCCCTGGGTAATCGGATTGCCCCGAAAGGCAGCCATTTGTCGTGTAATTTGTATAATTTTCGCCTTTACTCGGCCGGTGCGTGAAATGAGATCGTAATTTCAATGCAGATTCGCAGCCGAGCTCTGACATTTGCACCTGTTGCGGATGCCACGTTGCCAAGGCCTCCCGCTCGCTCAATCTCTCTCTTCCGAGACATCGCCGAGACATTGGAATCGAGTGAGCGCGTTACTGCCGGCAGACTGACTACAGGTCCACAGGTAACAGTCAAGGCAACAGGTGATGAGTGTGCCCGCCGAGCTATCTATCTTTTGGCGAGCATTCAGACATATCAGACATTAGCTCGATAGGGGCCGCTATATGGCAAAAAGAACCAGTGAACTTCGATCGCAATCTCTATCTGAGTCAGCCGGCAACCGATCTTCTCGCGCCCGGGTTCAATGTGCCCCCCATTTGGCGATCGCCGGCGATTAGAGAAAGAGAGCTTTTGGATGAATCGAATGGGCAGGCTAATGGGTATGGGTATGGCAATGGGAGCCACCGGAGTGACCTATGGACCCAAACACATGTTCCACGTTAAGGCTGTGAAAACAAGTTTAATATACGAATCCAAAAAGGAAAACCACACGAGAGACAGCCAGACACACGGACCGATTGTAAGACAGACAGATGGACACATATACAAACATGTATATATCAATAAATACAAGAGCTCTATGAATAATTCAGTGATCTGCGCAGCGATATCTAAGAAATAACCAAGTCATCACGACTAGTCGCTTTTTCCAGCCTGCAGATAACCAAGGCGCGAGCTTTGTACTTTGTTTGGCGTAACACACCAGTAGCACCACCGACACAACCACTACCAGCTCCACCGCCCCACATCTCGTAACCCACATCATCCACCTTGTCGCATAGACTTCGTACCTTGGCGATGTCGGACTCCATCCGATCCGATGGACTAGTGGCTTTGTCTTGAGCTGCTCAGCGCTGCCGGCGCTCTTAATTGGGCACCAGTTTTTATCCTGACCTTTGATTCCACACGGATTAGCTGCTCAAGAGGATTGGAACCCTTTTCTTTGGAGTATTTCATGCAGCAAATGAAAATGCACTATTTTACAGTACACTTATGCAAAAGCGATAAAGGAAGCCCATAGCTTGAAAACATTGAAAGACATTGATAAATAATGGAGTAAAATTTCCATGCAATCTAAAAAGCGTATATCTGGGTACTTAAAATTATAATCCGTGTTATCGATAAAACTCGGAAAAGTTATTCTAAACATTTGGTGAATTCCCACAAAATCTTTCACATTAGGTCGTTAAATGCTGGATTTTAAAGTTACCCAGATGATTTATTGATCGATTAAATGGCATTT